GGTAGTCTTTAAGGTGAGAAGGAGGATGTCTTTCTCGATGTGGTCTAGATAGTAAGTGAGTTATTTGAGAATCAACCATTGGTGGGATTTCATTTGTAGTGGAGGGTGATGTGGAAGATGTAGGAACAACAGGGATTCTGTGAAGGTGGTGTAGAGTGTTCAACATTGTTGTCCAATTCACCACTAATGGGAGTAGAATTTTGAGTTAAGTCTCTAGGAGATAATTCTGAAGTTGAAGTAGTGTCACTAGATGGTTCACTTCTCACATGGTAAAACAAGGAGGTAAACTGAATTCTTTGAAACCTTATTTTAGTAATAATTCTATAATTATTGGTAATGGTAAAAAATTACCAATTACTCATACTGGAAAAGTATTATTGAATACCTCGCATGGTGAACTTTTACTAAATAATGTCTTAGTTATACCTAAGATTAAGAAAAATTTGTTATCTGTTAGTAAACTTGATGATGATAATTTTTGTACTATTTGTTTTGATTCCTCTGATCCTTAATAAGAAATTTGTTAGAATCAAATAATACATTAAAGGAGATTGCCTAAACATTAGCTAAACTAAATGAGGGAACATTTACAACTTTAATGTTTGCAACATTGCAAGATTTCTCTTCAACGGGTATCTTCTATTTTGCCATGATTGTGGCCATCATCATCTCTCTCCTTTAATCCTTCACTAGCATCATTATTGCTCTGAGCTAATGCTTGATTTTTGAGGATCTTATCACGGTGTACATGAGTATTTCTCTATAAACACTGCAACCAAAACAACACTTTTCAAACTCGACATCATCGATGAATGGACAATCAATAACGTGAAGATTTTCAGGATTGGTGTAAGGATCGTAGGCTAAAATTCACCCATCCTTACTCGTAATGGAACGTGTTGTTCAGTAGGACCAGTTTACTCTGCCAAGTGGAAAATCGAACCGGACTTTCCATGGCAAAGTAAGCCCATCTTCCGGTTTATGAAGAAAACACCTACATCTCAAGCGGCCTTTCATGGAGAGTGAATAGAAAACGAACAAATACGACATTATAACTAGTCAGAGCTCTGGCTTTGACTTGTGTAATCAAACCCAAATTGTATGATTCGGGTTTAACACCCTCTGGAAGGATAAACCATTGGTTGGTGATAACAATAAATATATAATATTCGTAACTCCAGTTTAGTGTACTAAAATTCTTCAAAAATTATACCATGCACATTAAGTGCATGTAACTAGGTACACATAGAACTTTATTTGGCAATTAGTATAGGAAAGGAGGGCTAAACATGCAAGCCTTTATGAATTAGGTGAAACACACGCACCACTCTTCCTTAATTTTAGGAAGTGGGTTTTAAAAATTTCTTTATTTTCCAATGATTTTATTTCTTAATCCGTAATGAACTAGACGAAGTGTCTTATATAATTTTACAGTACTCGATAAGATCTATCCAACAAGATCCATCATGAATATGTTTTTCAAAACTTTAAAAAATTTATGCAGTTGCCTTTGTTTTTCTAAAAAACTCCATGGTGTTACTTGTATTTTTTAGGACCAAGACTTAGAGCAAACACCAAAGACCAAAAAGCAAAAACCAAAGAGCAGAGACAAAAAACCAAAGACCAAAAATCAAAGTGAAGAGCGTGTGTGAGAACCAAAGACCAAAAACCAAACACCGAAGACCAAAAAATCAAAGACCAAAGACTAGAGTGAAGAGCGAGTGTATGTGAAAAATAAAGACCAAAGACAAAAGGCCAAAGACTGAAAACCGAGAGATCAAAGACCAAAGACTAGAATGAATAGCGATTGTGTATGAGGAGCAAAGACCAAAGACCAATAGCCAAAAGACCAAACTAGGCCCTAACCAACACGGAAATGTTTAAACCCCCCTAAACCCTAAACAACTAAACCCTAACTGACACGGAAATACTTAAACCCACTAATATTTTTTAATTTTTTTGGTTTAAATTTTTTAAAACCACCATAGCCTAATTGGTTTAAAAAAATTTCATAAGGTTAATCGTGTTACGGCACAAATTAGGTCCTAACCGACACGGGAATGCTTAAACCCCCTAAACCCTAAACACATTAATTCCTTTTTTTTTTTGGGTTTCATAAAATTTATAAGGTTAATCGTGTTACGGCACAAACTAGGCCGTAACCGACACGGAAATACTTAAACCCCCTAAACCTTAAAACCCAAACAACTAGACCCTAACCTACACGGAAATGGTTAAACCCCCTTAAATTCTAAACTCGTTAATTTAATTTTTTGGTTTTAAAAAATTTATAGGTTAATCGTGTTACGGGACAAACTAGGCCCTAACCTATAAGGAAATGCTTAAACCCCCATAAACCCTAAATCCTAAACAATTAGACCGTAACCGACAAGGAAATGCTTAAATTCCCCTACACCCTAAACACACTAATATTTTTTTTTTTATTTTTTATCTTTGGCCTTTGGTCTTTATTCCTCACACACGCTCACTTTTAATTCTGGTCTTTGGCCTTTGCTCTTTGGACTTTAGTTTTTGTAAATTTTTTTTGGTCTCTGGTCTTTGGTCGTGGGCCTTTGGTATTTGGTCTTTGATTTTTAGTCTTGCTCTTTTGCCTTCGATCTTTGGTCTTTGATATTTGCTCTTTGGTTTTTGGTGTTTGGTCTTTGCTTCTCACACAACGCTCGCTCTTTCACTCTAGTCTTTGATCTTCGGTTTTTGCTCTTTGGTCTTCGGTTTCTTGATCTTTGGTCTTTGGTCTTTTGTCGTTGTTCCTCACACACGCTTATCCTTCACTTTGATCCTTGGTCTTTGGTTTTTTGTCTTTGCTCTTTGGTATTCAATTTTTTGTCTTGGGCCTTAGCTTTTGGTCTTTTCTGTAGGTCGTGGTCCTAAAAGAAACAAGTAAGACTAGAATGTCTTTTAGTAAGATCAAGGCAACTGCATAAATTTTTTAAAATTTCGAAAAACATATTCATGATGGATCTTGTTGGATAGATCTCATCGAGTACTATCAAAATTATATAAGACACTTGATCTAGTTCATTAAAGATTAATAAATAAAATCATTTGAAGATAAAAGAAAATTTTAAAAACCCACTTTCAAAAATTAAAAGGAAGAGACACGTATATTAAAAAGAAAAAAAAATTAAATAATTATACATGAAGTCCCCCGTTATTAAATAATCAAAAAAATTTTAAGTGCACCTAACAACTCAAAATTCTTTCCTTTAAAGGTGATGCACTTCGCGCCTTCAAGCAAAAGAAAGCCTTTGTCGTCTACTGCTGTGATATTGTTGATCTTGCACGTAGACTTGGTGGAAAAATAAGGTTACGGAGACAAGATTTTTGGGATTCTCTTTATTCTCAATATCATCAACCAATTCAACTTTTGAGCGAAGGATGAAGCAAGTTTTCTATGCCCGGATATCTTTGAGATATACGTATTGTAGAAAAAGGATCAGAGATGAAAGAAAACCATTGTCTTGAGACGCACTTTGGACAAAAACCACTCCGCTATGTGGTAACTAATATTACCGCCTTGCTGGTCATCATCGGATTTGGTTCGGGATCTGGACTTTTTGTTGCTTTTGTTTCCACCGTATCTCTCTTGGACGTCGACGCTTCTTCTTCTTGGAGTTTCCTCCATCTTCGAATCTTAGGACGGAGTCACGGAGGAAACAGAAACTATAGCATTTTGTCCTTTGCTTAGGAAACTATAAAAGTTTGAAGTATATATGAACATGGAGGATTTTTTTTTTTTTAATTAGCCAATTACAACATGTTTATTTTACATTACTTCATCTTTTCTTTTCTTTTCTTTTTTTGGTTACATTACGTCATTAAACCTTCGGAGTTGGGCTTTTGCCTTTGAAATCCAAAAGACTTGTCCTGGCCTGATTTTGCATTTTTTTTTTGGGTTACAAAAGAGACATGAACCCTGGTATCAAATTAAAACATTCCAAAGCCCACTACATCATACTTTAACCATGGTTTCACCCGATGGTGGAGCCTCAAGCCATTGTATCCCATCTGGCCTTGTGAAGTTAAAGAAACTGAATAGTCGACCACAAAAGAATTAATACTTGCTTTAAGTGTGACTATTAAAGAAAGAAGGGAATTAATACTTCCCATCCAATTCAATAATTTTCGGACAATACGTTCAAACAGAAAAGTTTGGGTAATCAAAGATCATGATTCTTTTTTCCGTTCCTATATACTCAAAATCTTAGGTTTCAAGTAAAGTGGAAATCGAAGAGATTGGTTGTTGGATTGCAAAACATAAAATTATTGTAGCATGAGAAATTATATGAATGACTTTTTTAATATATTGTACATGCGATGAGAAAGTCTTTTACAAGAAAATATTCTAGACCAAATCAAGATACAGTATATTCAAATTTATATTTACGTGATCCTAAATAAATTTGCCATAATATGTAACATTATTTTTGGGTTTCTTTTTTTTTTTTTTTTGGGTGGGGGGGGGGTTTCTCATAAATGTTTTTAGATTAAATTTCACAAATTAATTGTTAACATGAGTAAATTAACAAGATATATTTTTTTTGAAAAACTATAACAAAATTAATCTTGTCCAAAAGGAAACGAATGTGTTAGTTACTATTTAATGGGATCTGGAGATCAATGAACTAAGTCAATGATATGGCTTAAATGTATCACAATCTTTTTCAAAAGTCAAAGTCGTTCATAAATGTATTTTGTGAGTTAGCACGTGCAGAATAAGAATGTGTTGACTAAAGAAAGACTATGTACTATCATTCACATTAATTAGGCATCTGAAATTGTTCGAAACGCACCTTGAATTTCTAAGTTGAATAAGCATGTGTTGACTAAAGAAAACTTGTGTATCATTTAGATTAATTGGTTTTCTGAAATTGTTCGAAACGTACCTTGAATCTGTAAGTTGACTGATGAATAGATTGTTGTGTATAAAATGAAAGGCAACACTTCAAGGGGGAATTAAACATTACTATTAGGTAGCTAATACTAATAAGTTATAGTAGAATAGAGAGTGATGGCATCATTAGCTATATCTCCATTGTTAATGATTATTATGGCTATGGCCATTTCAATCCTAAAACTCAGGGCAGCACCAGATGAAGGATACGACATCGGAGTTAACTACGGGATGCTTGGCGACAATCTCCCCCCGGCACACGAAGTCGTCCAACTTTTCAAACAATATGGGATCACCAAAATGAGGTTGTTCGACCCGAATCACGATGCCCTTGAAGCCTTACGAGGAAGTAAACTTCTGCTTTCTCTAGGAGTTCGCAACGAAGACATCCCGAGCATTGGATCAAGTCCGGATGCCGCATATCAATGGTACGCGGCCCACATTCAACCCTACCAAAATGATATCCTCTGGGCCTACATTACCGTTGGCAACAAAATCAATCTCTTCAGCCAAGATCCAATTTCCACAAACCTCGTACCCGCCATGAAGAATCTCCGTACCGTCCTAAACAACAACGGCCTTCCGAATCTGTTCGTCACGACGGTCCTCGCTGCCGAGGTGCTGGGTGTTTCCAACCCGCCGTCCGCTGGGGACTTTGCGCCGGCGGTGAAGCCCATAATGCTCGACATCCTCACCTTCTTGTCTACCACGAACGCACCGCTTATGGTGAACCTCTATCCCTACCTCGCCTACGCGGGTGACCCGGTGCACATTAGTCTCGACTACGCGCTCTTCAATGCGAGTGAGCCTCCGGTGGTAGACGGGGCGCTGAAGTATTACAACCTATTGGATGCCATGACGGATGCGTTTACGTATGCTATTGAGAGACAAGGGATAATGAACGTGGGTTTAACTGTGGCAGAGAGTGGGTGGCCGTCGGCCGGTAACGGACAAATCACGACGCCGGAATTGGCTCAGATGTATAACCGGAATTTCGTTAATCACATATTGAGTCGGCTTGGTACGCCTAAGAGGCCTGGAGCTTATGTGGATGCCTTCATTTTTGCAATTTTCAATGAGAATCAGAAGCCTCCTGGTGTTGAGCAGAATTGGGGGCTTTATTATCCGAATATGAATCGGGTTTATCCACTCTTTTAATTTCTCACAAATTTGTTGTATTTTTTTTGGCTACGATGATTGATTACATGCATTAGTACAATAAGATATTGTTGGTGGTCAATCCTAACCTATTTGGGCCGGCCCAACTTGCTGACAGACTTGGGCTCCCCTTACAAGCCCGAGTCACTTATTTAATTCCTTTGAGCCCAAACGGGTCACAAGGAATTAGTGCATGTGTATTTACTTTCTTGCCCCTTCCGACACAAGGGTCCACAGGTATTGTCCCATTGGGGACCTATAAATATACCTTGTTCATTTATTGCTGATTTAATTTTTCACACTTTCATTTCTCTCTCTAAGTGTGATAATTTACTTCTCTCCCTAAAACTGACTTGACCTTCGGAGTGCTAACCTCCATTTTGTAGGTTCTCGTTTAGGTCGGACCGTTGGCTCTCCGCCTCCGGGATTTACCCTCGACAGATATCTAATGCTGATTTGATTATCAGTGGTCCAAATTGCTTAGTAGGACAGGGAGGAAAAGAAAAAAGAAGGGTTCTTCTCTCTCGAAGGCGGACAATGTCATCCAGTGATTCTTAACTTGTTATGAATGTTTGTTACTCCCTCTATCTTAAAAAAAAAAATTTATATTGAATTTTAATATTTTATTAAACTATTTCTTTGAATAAAGAGAATATTAAATAGTATTTATATTTTCCAACTTCTAATAATATTAACAGTTTGTAAATCATCCTATTTTAGTGAATACCTTTTTTTCGAGACGCATTAGCAAGCAAGCTAGTCACAATTGTCCATTTTGTAACTTTTTAGGGGTGAAATAAATTAAAATAATGCAATGATTATATATAATTATGTTAGGACGAATAAATATTATTTTAATTGAATAAAATGAATATTGTATCATACAAGGGAATAACTCTGAGATTTCACATTTATGTTACATCTAGCAATCGTCGTCATTTCTCAAATTGATCAGTTCTTTCCTAGAAAAATTCGAGGGGGGAGATCTTCGTCAAATTGCTCAATGGGCCTATTGCTTTCGGTAAAATCCAGAAAAAATGGGGAAAAGGGGCTGTTGTCACGAACCGGGGGCAATAGTCGAATTTATCGAAAGAAATGGTGCCAGGATGTGAAGAACGGCAACCGGGGGAGTTCAGAGGGCAAAAGGAGCAATAAGGAAAAAATAAGAGAAATTCTTGAAGGAGAAGGAGAAAATGATAATTTGGGAGAAATCAGTTTTCATTTCATTTCTTGAAGGAGCAATAAGGAAAAAAGGAGAAATCAGTTTTCATTTCATTGATAATCCTTTTCCAAAACATGGTTAGAACACCTAAGCTATTTTTACTATTACTAATTACAACTTAACCCCACCAATTTCCTATAAGCTAAAAGCACCTCTATGGCATGACAGCAGTGTTCCGGAGAGCGGTGGTGGTGAAAATAAGGACAAGACTTAAAGAAGCCCAAAACCGAAAGGAAATTCAACCTAAAGATTGGGATGATTGGATCATTGGAATTACTACTTGATTTGGAGGCATATGCTTGGCGTCTCTCAAGTTCATCAACCTGTATTAATTCCGCGTGCTTTAACATTTGGAAGCTGATGGATGCGCTATCATGTTGTGATTTCATTTAATTTCAAAGTATATCCCGACTTAGATTCATGGTAAACATTTTCTTTTTTCTTCTTTCTACATTTCTTTAGATCACTAGTTTATGTTTTTGTTGAGTGCATTTTACGTTTGAATACTGGGCATTTTGCTTTAATATTTATAGATTGTTCTTGACGAAATTTGGTCAAGTCTTGTTTGACTGTCTGTTTTTCTAGAAGCAAAAGATAGATGCCCTTGGGCGTGAGGGGAAAATCCGGTCCTAATAAGACTAAGAAAACATGGACTTTTCCATTAAAATTGTTGCCAACTTTCAGTAACAGTTGAATCAATAATTACTTAAGACTTCTAATTTATTTGTTGAATGAACAAGAGTTTCTTTTTTGACTCACCTTTTGTCCTAGAGTTTTCCAAATTCAAGACTTTTCTGCTGAAGTTTAATGTCACATTCATTCATATATAGGGCAAACCGGATTGGCTGGTCCAAATTGGAAAACCCTGAATTTTTTGGATCAGTTGAAGGCAAACGACTGCACGAGCGTTGGAAAATGCCCACGTTTGATAGTTATTTTTTGAATTATGAATGCACAATTACATCGATCATAGGATCACAAAATCAGGTAACACTCGCACCGCCATAAAAAAAAAAAAATTGAGGAACGCAATAGAAACAACGTATTATATAGATCTACGCTGAAATGACATAAGTTACTCTAAAAACATAGTCTAACATTCTTGTGTTAACGAGGATGGATTACGGTAATCTGCGAATCGTCCACAGATGCTTCAAGACTTGCAGACGATGAATATGGATGTAGACTTTGATAACTAGGCTTTTTAATAACAAAAGCAGGTTCCTTAGGAGAGATGGAAGAAACTGATGTTTCATTGCTTAGCATGGAAAGCACTTCAGACATGGTGGGCCGATCCATTGCATGTTCTTGAACGCATAGAAGTCCGATCAAAATACATCTCCCAACTTCATCCGGATTATACGACTCCCCCAGAATTGCTGAATCAATTATATTTAAGGCCTTCCCTTCTTTCCACAGCTCCCAAACCTATGTAATCAAATGATTGTAGATTCAATCAGCAAGTTCAGAATGCTTTATACTACTTGGTGTTGTACTGCAAACATAAGATTTGAATCACATTACAAGTGAACTTACGTATCCAATCAAATTCACTGCGTTGCCATTGAAATAGCTGCTATTTCTCTTCCCGCTAATAATCTCCATCAACAAGACTCCATAGCTGAAAACATCCGACTTCTCTGAGAACAGCCCTTGCATTGCATATTCTGGAGACATATAGCCACTGAAATATAAAGACCAAAACAATGAGTTGATTAGTCTTTTCTTCTCCGTTTGAATGTTGAACTCTGCGAACAACTTAGATATGATAATTAAAAATGACTTACTATGTCCCAACTACTCTGTGTGTTTTTGCTTCCATCTGGTCTGCTCCAAAAATTCTAGCCATCCCAAAATCTGATATTTTTGGTTCCATATTTGCATCCAGCAACACATTACTTGCTTTCAAATCTCTATGTATGATTTTTAACCGTGAATCGCGATGGAGATATACAATTCCCCTAGCAATGCCTATGATTATCCCAAATCGTTTTCTCCAGTCCAGCAAAGTGCTTTTTTCTCTGTCTGCAAGATATTGCAGAGAGGAAAACCATATCATAAAATCGTGAAACAAAAAACTAATTGGCTACAACGACATAACCAAAAAAGATCGAGTGACGCATACCAAAGATGAAATTGTCGAGTCCTTTGTTAGGCAAGTATTCATACACCAGCATTTTCTCCTCTTGTTGGATGCAACATCCTAGAAGCTTAACAAGATTCCTATGCTGGAGCCTAGCAATCAGGGTAGTTTCATTCTTGAATTCCTCTACTCCTTGTCCTGAACTACTGGACAATCTTTTTACCGCTATTTCTCTGCCATTTTGGAGCTGACCCTGAATCAAGTTTTACATGTTAGTAAAGCGCTAAATTTGCAGCACCTTAAAAACCATAGAGGGACAAACCTTAAAAACTGAGCCGAAACCACCTTCGCCGAGTTTGTTAGCGAAAGCAAAAGTGTTGGTCGCTGAAACTATGGTTCTCAGATCAAATATATGTATGTCTCCCTTTTCATCTATCTCATCTTTCCTTGGAGTGACTTCATATGATGATACCGGATCAATATTAAAACTAGGCAACTTCCTGTTCCGTGTTGGACCTGCATTTGTACACAAATGACTAGTTCATCAACTCATCCAGTAGAATATATAACTGGAAGAAAATGTACATCACTGAAATGATCCTCTGAGGATTCAATCTCATGTTCTTCTTTGAAAAGTGAAAAGGCAGGTCAGATGATGTTAAAGTTTTAATTGATTTGGAACTGGAAAGTGGAAACCCATGCATCAGGATGCATTAACTAGACTGTGATGAGAATATTATGTTGATGAAAAGAAATGTGAGAAACAATTATTTTTTATAGTAAAAACTAAATCTACCTTTGCGCTTCCTCAATGCTAACCGAATGGCGCAAACCAATAACAGAACCCCAATTATTGACGCTGCCAGGATGATTATCACCTTCTTACTGTTGAAGCCCTTTGAATTCTTCAGATATTGAGCTGGAGAAATGGAGTGCAACCAGTTGTGGTTAGAGCAAATGCTGCAAGGTTTTTGCAGGTAGTACTTCGCTTAAAAATATCAGATGTTGAAGAAAGCACGCATGACATATAACCAAGATTCATGAGCATGACTCCAAAGTTGTTGAAAAGGAAGATATTGCGATTTCATAAATTTGAAAAATCGCTTATTGAAGCAAAGAAAGCTTCAAAGAATTCACAGCAATGACTGAGTTGTTTGTATTGTTTCAGTTCCCAAATTTTCTACTTCCATTTGAAGTTAGCACAAATACTATGTATAAGTGTTAGAAAAACCATGCTTCCAAATCAAACTCGAATCCTATTCATAACATTCAGAGCAAGAATTCATCCGCTGAAACCGTAAACATTAGTAATACCGTCTTACCTAATTCATCCGCTGAAACTCTAATATAAACGTCCAGTCCCCCGCCATTTGAATACTTCCTCATGTCATTTAAGTCACCATACCAAGTAATGCAACCACTTCCACCATTGTCACCATTAGCATTTGAATAAGCGGTGCACGAACAATTTTTCGAGCACAAATCTGCGCATTCTATAAGTCCCATACTCCGATTACCAATTGCATTCGTAGTATCTGGCACCTTAACAGATGTCAATTTTATGAACTTGGCATCAGCACTGCTACCGTTTCCACAAAATTGTTGTCCAGGCTTTCGAGTGCAGCCATTGATTGCGTTCCTCGACTTCCATTCGCTTTTGACTTTAGGTTCATATCCAGGAAGACATTGACACTCAAATTCACCCAACTGATAAGGATCACAGACACAGTTTCCACCACAATGCATGTAATGGTCGCAAGGTTCGTTTGGGAAGAATAAACTAACCCAAGCATTTTGGTTGTTTTGCCATGTTGCCATTTGGACAAACCCGGATTCATTTGCGGTTACCCTGGATAAAACCGAGGGATCAGGAAGGCCGTACAAAAGGCTGACTTCCTCATTGCTCTCATTATAAGTAGAGCTGAAAAAGTAACTTGTACTCATATCAGGGATTTCACTCAGATAATGCCCAATCCAGGGCCCAATCCGCCATATCTTTTCAGATTTCTTAAACAGGAAAATCTGTGGTGGTGAACTATTCAGGTCAAACTTTTTCTGAAAATCCCCTGTTCCCGGATCATCCCGAGATTTCCAAGATGTTAAGGTCCATTGATGACCGGATGTCCGATTCACCCCTTCTTTCATGTAAGGAAGCAAAGTATTCGTCGGAAAATCGAAGCTCTGCCATAAAGTGACACTCTTAGTGCTTCTTTGATTCAAACCTTGGTATAACACCAGATTCCCTGTACCCAAGAGCTGAACAAAGTAAGAATCTGCAGCCAAACCCGAAACGTTAGTAGACCAAACCAGCCTGTTGTTGCTAAGGTCACGGAGGACAAGATTCCCAGAATCTTCAATGGAAAGAGCTCCATTGGTGCCATTGATGGGGTCATCCCGATTTGCAACCCAAACCACAGTTAGTTCGGATACTCTATTGTACCAGACGCCAACATAACGATTCAGGGAATTTCCAGGGCTGAAGAAACCAAAGGCAAAGGTATTCCCACTAGCAACTAATATATCTCCATCTTTAAAAGACTGTTTTTGTGTGATGGTGTCTTCGGAAGTGCAATAATTGATGAGAAAACTTAAAAACAAGAAGGTGATCATCCATAAGTACCTGTTTATCCGTAACATGTTCTCTTAACAACTTCCAGGATCTTGGTACCACCCAGCTTTCATATTAATTAAACGATGATTTGTTGGAAAGAGAGGGGGAGATCTTGGTCCCTTCTGGCTTCTGTGATATTTTCTTCTGCGGAAAATTTATTGACTTTTTAGTATAAGAAAAAAATGAAACGGTTGATTGATCTAAGTATGATTAGTATTTCCCTCCTTTTTTTTCCCTTGAGGCGCCTAGCAGCCCACTAAGTGAGAACTGAAGACTAGAAAGGGAGAATTTTCAAAGTCAGCCGATTAATTGTGGTAAGTCATGATTCTACAATTGGAAACCTGTAGGAGAGATAATTCTTTATCTTTCATTGTGTTAGTCTGGTAAGTCTACGCAATAAAAACGCGTTTATGACTTTATGCGACGTTGGGGTCACGCTGATCAAAATTTCAAAACTAATCAACAGAAAACAAACTGGCATTCCATGTAAATTCATCAATTTCTCTGTTTTTGGTTCCATGTGTGCATCCAGGAAGACGTTGCCGGATTTCAAGTCCCAAACGGAAGATTTTTAAGCAATGAATCACGATGAACATTGAATATCATGAAAGAATTATTGTGTATATTATTGTGCTATTTATAGTACAATAGTGTAACAACCCTAACCGTCTACATAGAAAACCCTAATTAGAGTTTCGATTATTTCCATATTCTATCACTATTCCCCCAAGGCAATGTCTATGATTACTATTCCAAATCATTTTCTCCAATCCAACAATGCCACTTCTCTACCATTATGAAGGCAACCTCATATATGCTGACAAATGAGGAACGAATAAATAGAGTAACACCTTATAAACTGAGACGGAACCGCCTTCTCCGAGTTTGTTTAGAAAAAGAATAAGAAGCAGTGGCAGAAACTATGGTTTTGAGATCGTTGACGGATAAATCTTTGTGTTCATCTGCCTCCAGAAATATAGTGCTGTTCTAGCAGTCTTCAAAGAATCACGATGATTGAATGGAATTACTAATAATCATCACAATTCACTCAAACTTTAATTGTTTAGTCTGGAGAGATACGAACCACACCCAACTCTTTTTTTTTTCTCCTTCTTTTTGGTTTTGGACAAAATAGAGGAAAGGGAGCTGACATTAATAATAAAATAAAATTCCCTGAGAAAATATTATTTGGATTTCTTTAATAAGTATCCTTCCGATCATCATACTTGTAAGGCGTTAAATTAAATTAATTTTGGATTTTGTAGTTTGTACTTATGGTTAAGCCTGACAGGAGTAATTCCGGGTCGGAAATTGGCAGATACTGAGACTGGCACCCACCACTGGACCGTGAAAAGACAAATAATAATTGGATGCCACGTCGATTGTGGACAGCTGGACCCACGCACTCAAAGTTGCCAGCTCTTCTCGCTTTTCTTTTCGGTCCCACCCAGACACACCTATAAAGTCAGAATTCCAGTCCCTTCCTCCCCTGACATCTTCCCAAACGGCCAAACCTATACTCTGCTGCTGCCTCCTTTGTCTGCCGGTTCGCTTTCTTCGCCGGTTCTTCTCCCCGGCTCTGGCTCAAATTTGCAGGTCGGTTACTTATTTTACCGTTTGATTTATCTGTTCTTTTTCCCCATTTATGAGTACTTTTATTTTATTTTTTATTTTTTTTTTGTGATTCGTATAAAAGTACGATCAAATATATGAATTGTGTCGAGTGTGTTCGAGATCATATGCACGAGTCCAATTGCATTATAATCTTGTTTCAATTAATTTTCCATTTTGAAAGCGTAAAAATTTACACCAGAAAAAAAAAAAGGATCAAAGAGTTTTTTTAAAATTCAAAAACAGGGGTACCCCAGGTTCTTTGATAATGGAGTTATTTGTGTGATGAACAATTGGGTAGCAGTATCATTTTGTCCAACCTTTTTTTTTAATTTTTTTTTTTTTTAAAAAAAAAGAAAAAAGAGAGATGCATTTGTAGGTAATAATTGATTGAGATTGATGTCTGTTTCTGAGTTTGGTATTATAATGTGATACTCGTTTTCTTTTTTGCTTTTATTCAGTGGCCACGCATTGGCAATTTGGTATTGTCAATATTGTTGGTATTTTTCAGCCATACTCTAGAAAAATAAATTGCAATAATGTAGGAGTACAATGTAATAATCGAGGTGGCGTGATCAGGAAAGAGTCTGCGTACGAATGATCAATAATAATGACATTAATTCTTATTCAATTTCAGGCTGAATAATGTTACTATTTTTAAGTGAACGAATAGTACTAATGGTGAGAGTGAATCACATGATCACTTAGTACTTGATGGAGGTCAAGTAATTTTTTTTTTTTTTTCATGTTAATGCATGTGAGACAAATTGACAACTTTCAATACTTGGCTTACACTTCCAGGCTTAGTTGGATTGGTGTTATCACCGATCAACACTTATCCATATCTCTAGAAATGAACCTTATTTTGGGAAACAATCAAACTTTTTTTTTTTTGTGGAAAACAATGAAGAATTAGTCTAGGGTATATATTGACACTGACTTACCCTGTTCTTGAAGGCAGATCATGAATTTGTAGGGCAAAAGGCACAAATTCAGAAAGCTTTTCCAGGTTTTATGGGTTTGTCTTTTTTTTTAAACCCTAAACCAATAGTGTAGAGGTCTGCTTTGTTTGGCCAACCTACCATTGTGCATTTTGTCTCATTTTACCTCTTAAACACAAAACCCAATGTAAAAGAAAATATCATCCAAACAACGGTCTGATTTACATTTTAAATTCCAACTTAAAAACACTTTTTGTTAGTGTAATGACCATTTTAGAACTACAAATAATTCAGTGATAAATTTGGCAGGATTCCGTTGTTGAGTGATTAATTTTTGAAAAGTTCTTTTTTACAGTGACTATAATTGACAGTATTTAATTGTTTAGTGATGCTTTTTGCTCAAAATACCATCCAAACAATATTTTTATTTTCCATTTTATTTTCAACTTAAAACATTTTTCATTTTTAAGTGGCAAAATAAAATGTAAGTTCATGTCCAAACAAGCACTAGTAATTAAAGAAGCGTGGATTATACTTGCCAAAATGCCCTGTTCAGGCTGTTCTGAAATCTGAACCGAGCAGAAAATGTCAAAAAACAGTGGACTAGTTTTGCTTGTTTTGTGCCGTTTGAACAAGTTGCCTGGATTCTTGCTTTGATTTTTAAAAACCCTGGTTGCTTCTCTTTTGGTTGTAGTATTTTGTTTTCTTCACAGGTAAATGTAGCACCAACCTATTATATCGCGTAAGATGATATAATACTATATTCCATGGTGCACTAGAGTTTCCCCTCATCTAGGAGATTGTTTCATGAAAAAATAAATAAAAAATTTGTTGGAGTAACAAATATTTATTTATGGGGATGATATGATTCTCATGTTCTCCCTGTCAAATAGTATGCCATAATTAGATTAATTCATACGGTAAACAAAGCCAGAGTTTCTTATTATAAAATATGTTGATTTCTCCTAAATTTATCATATTTTCTCAATCGAAACTGAAATCTTAAAAGAATATCTTATAATAATTAAAAAACGAGTAGATACAAGTATGCATTTTTAAATTTTATTTTCAATTAAAAAAAACATAACAAATAAATTTAAAAAAATTAAAGCAGACAGAAGGGTGTCATTGTAAATAAGTTGCTCAATATATATCAGTACAGAAAGCAAAAAGTAGTGAATAACTTTCCACCCCTTTAGGAAAAACAAGAGGAGGACAATTAAAGGGTTATAAACTTTGTAAAGCTTTAAAGTAACCCAATCTTTTGTACTGGTCAATGAAGGTTGGTCATAAATAATTTAATTTTGGTGATTTGCCGCCAAAGATGATCTAGTGGAGGGGCGATCACATCATTGGGATGGAGATGTTGGCCGACTTTTTAATTTTTTGGAACTTAATTCTCCTGTATAAAGAATCCCAGCCAATCAATGGTTTTAATGTTGAAACTTGAAAGAGGATCCACATTCATTACTTAAATGTAACTTTGCTGTGATTCTGGACTTTTCTGACTGACACTAAATCTATCAAGTTAGTTACTACTGACTCTTATTATTATACTTCAAAAGAGAAAAAAAAAAAAAAGAGGCAACATCACGTTTAAACTTTAAATTAGTTCGAATCTGCTGTAAATATATATATATATATATATATATTAAAAATACGTTGCATTATTATATGCTTACTGGAAAAATATGAATAATTCCTCTTAAATTTAAGTTAAGAGCAATTGAATATTCCTAATCTTCTGCAATTATAGTTGGGTGTTAACTGTTGTTGTGATGATGTTTAAGGTTTTTACTACAAGTTCTTTGTCCGTGTTTCTATTGCTATTTTGACCTGGATAATTGACATTTTGATATCAAATTATAAATTCTTTTTTTTTTTTTGCTCAATCAAAATTAAGGAAAATCGATGGATTAAATCAACATCAAGTTTAGGTCTAAAAGTATATTCCAGTCTTTTCCCGCTTTATATCTATCACTAAACTTGGGAAAAATGATTAAAATGGGATTTCCAAAGGGCATTGTGATGCCATGATTAGCGAGTAATGACGTAATGTACCTCATATAGGAAAAGAAAAAGGTACTCATTTTTTATCCCAACAAACCAGATGGTAAAAATAAATAGCTGGAATTGATTAGATTGTCGCTTTCATCCATGACGGTTATTTCTCTACTTTAATATTGTCCCCAATCATGATCATGCAAACGTAGCGGACCCCCTCCACACACACACACACACTCACACACTATAACATGAAAAATCCTCCACCCTTTTGATTCCATCTACCCCCCAACTGCCTTCTCCCCACTCCTTTTTCTACTCCATCATCATTTTTTGTTTTTTGTTTTGTTTTTTTTTTTAACGAACTGGGTTATTGTTCAATTCAACTATAATCATGGCAGCTATGACGACGGCGACGGCGGCCCACCACCACCCGTCCACCGAACTCGACTCCGGCACGGCGGATTCACTCTCAGTCGCCTCAACCCCGCGCTCAATCCACCCCAACGGCGTCCACGATGACAGCAACCCACCGGCTCCGGTGCCGGCTGCTCCAACTCAGCGCGTCCGCTTCATGTGCAGCTTCGGCGGCAAAATCCTTCCCCGTCCGCACGACAATCAACTCCGCTACATCGGCGGCGACACCCGCATCGTCGCCGTCAACCGCCACACCACCTTCTCGGCCCTCATCTCGAAGCTCTCCAAGCTGTGTGGGACCCCCAACATCAGCATCAAGTACCAGCTCCCGAATGAAGACCTGGATTCTCTGATCACCGTCACCACCGACGAAGACGTGGAGAATATGATGGACGAGTACGAGCGGCTTGTCCAGACCCAGAAGTCGGCTCGGCTTCGGATCTTTCTCTTCTCCACCGATGCTGATTCTAGAACCAGCTCTATCAGCTCTCTTCTTGATGGGTCAACTAAGCGAGAGCACTGGTTTTTGGATGCCCTTAATGGGGGATCGGGTCGTGGCCCGGGTTTGGAACGTGGGCAGTCGGAGGTTTCCTCCATTGTTTCTGAAGTCCCGGATTACTTATTCGGGTTGGATAATTCCGATGATGCTCCACGGGAGCCCAAATTGAGAAACACCATCAAGAGTCATCTGAGTGAGAATCATCCTGGGTCGGATCCTGGATCACCGAATCCGGTTGTGTCTTCTCCATTCCACTCAACTTCATCTTCCTTGGCTCCGCCGCCTAGCGTGCCGGCGATTCCGGACCTTCCACCTGTGAAAACCAAGCCAGTTAACTCAGCTCCGGTTACTGAATCCGGAAAAGAGACTCCGGTTGAGGGTGTACCGGAAGCAGGTGAAAATCAGACGGTGGTTTCGCAACAGAACGGTTATGCCAGTAGCCCCATGTGGCATTACCCTGGTCCGGCTATGCAACCCGTACCGGTTTACTATTACCCAGCTCGACCCGGAAATCTCCCAGTTCAGCAAGTTCCCATGGGAGCTCAATATGTCCAACAGATCCCTGTTCATTCCGGGCAAGTTTACAGTCACCAGGTATCGGGTATGGGTCAGGTTTACGGTGGAGGAAGACCCATGGCGGCGGTGGATCCAATTTCGGGAAGAGTCCTGACGGAGGGGGTAAATCAGCCTATCTATTATAATGTTAGAAATGGTGGGATGGTTCAGAATTATCCGGGAATGGTGGTTTCTGGTGCTGAAGAAATCCAGGGACCCGGAGGTGATGGTAAGATGGGTCGGATATCTCAATCTTGAATATAATGATGATCATCATTAGCTTTCTTTTTTTACTGTTAAGTGAAAGTGCTAGGTAAATACTCATAGACTGAGAATTGGATGAAGTTATAAGTGAAAATATTTGTAGCATCTTTGAAGTTTTCTGTTAAAACATTGTGCAAGGAGAGGATTGCTGGATAGATTTGGAGCCGTGTGGTAAAACTGTCAATATCTTTTGCTATCATATATGATGGAAAGAAAATTTGAAAATTGTAGAAAAACATTGCTCATTTATTGTTATTTATCAAGCACCTAATGTTTGGAAGCTCATCCTTTTTTTTCTTGTGTATGATCATTGGACTTGAAAATACTGAATGTTGCGTAAAAACAGGATGGCAACTGTGATCTATATAGACGATCCTGCGTAATATGATCATTGAGATTACAAGTGACAAATGTTAATGCATTTCATACATTAGACCTACTTGCCAACAATTAGTTTAGCTCTGGCATGGCCTTCACTAATCTGAAACTGATCACCCAACCCAAAATGAGCCATCAATAGCCAAACTACAGTGATCAGCTCTCCTCCTTTGCTGAGTTGCTGTGCATGACTGTTTGCTCTGCAATGTGTGGCAGCATAAGAGAGTAGCTCCACCCACACTTTGCTCATTATCAACCACTTGTCTGGCTTCACTTCACCCGATTTTTCGAGATCTTTGAGCTCTTTGGCCAGAATGCATCCATCAAACAGAACTGATTTGCTCCTATCTCCTTTGACGGCCACAGGTTTGACTTCAGTATTCACTTCAAGAATGCTTTTGCAGACTCTTATTTGATCCGCCATTTCCTTTTTCTTCCCTTTGCCAAAGTAGTTTAAGATTGTGTGATGGTACTGGTTGGCTTTTTCTATCTTTTCATCTGCGAATTTTCCTCCACCAAGGCACTTGATCAATCCGAGAGTGATTGACAATGGGCAGGTGATAATGAAGAATAAACTCAGGATGAAGAAATATAAGCACAACAAAAAATACTTGAAGAAACTGATAATGACATAAAGAATCACTTGAAAGAAGTTAGGCTCTTTCTTCTTCCTCTTTAGGTTTCCTCGACGAAAGAACTTTTTGGCCTCAGCACAAGTATCTCGAAATCTTATCTGCCCAATGCCTGTAACTGCAGACATCATTGCAGGCTGCATAACCAGAAGATACATCATATAATCAGAAAGAAGCTTGGAGAATTCACGGTATTTATTGTTCTGGTTTTTGTTTGTCTCAATTTCGTCATTGTAACAGAGTTCAGTTGCAATATGCCATAGGAGAAGACTTTCATCATAATCTACTTCCAAAATGTAAGGCAGCAACTTAGGACAGCCATCAACTCTGAGAATCCAATCACCTCTGGCTGCACTAATCTCCTTAGCAGTATCCAAATCATCAGCGATATCTGATTTTCTCAAGAGCTCTGTGAAGATATGATCCCTTAGCTCAGGAGTAAATGGTTTTGTCCCAACATACTTCAGGTTATCCAAGAAATTGCTCATTCCAATATAACCAATGAATTTTTCCTTAACCTCAAGCCGCGGATGCAAGCAACAGCCGATCAAATTGTAGGTCGAAATTGACTCTGACCACCTGCGGCTAAAGATGTGCCTGATCCTTGGAAACCAGTCTAGAAATTTATCCGATGCGGTAGTAGCAGCACCAACTTGCTGAGAACTCTGAGTACTTGCAGGCTTCTCTTCCACTTCTGGCAACTTTCTTATTGCAACCACAAACCAATCAGACATTATGAGCATTAGAAAAGCTATAAGATCCAAAGCAATTGCACCACCAAGTAATGTGTAGGTAATGTCAACATCAGCTTCATCGTATTTGTCCTTCTCTAAACAGAACAGAACAAGCGAAACGACAGTACAATTAAATGAGATAAACCGGCCTATGTATCCCAGCCCAGTGTAAATTACGGTTACCTTGGTGAAGAGGACATCATACATGAAATTGAGTTCTACCTCTATAAGTCTGAAAGCATCTTCTGCTGTTCTCTTGCCAAAAAATTCCCTGCTTTGATTACGTTCACGGAAGCTGAATATGAGATCCACAAGAAGGCCCTTAAAAGTTTGGAAATATCGGTGAGCATAGATTACAACCTCCAATTCACTCAGATGCCCTTCTTTCACTCTACTTGTAGCTTTGTTACCTCTATCAGGTTCCCCAATCATCTGAATCCTTGTAGGAAGTCTTGCTTCTTTCTTCGAGTTGTATTCCTCCATCAGCTTAGCATAGTTAGGCCCCGGGTCTGGTCCAGTGAGCATTGAGTCTCGGAAGCTACCCATGCTCGCAAGATAAAGTGAGCGGGTTCTCTCAGAATACTTGATGATGCCTGCAATGAACATCAGCATAGTAGGAATCCAGAGTTGGTTTTTAGGCAGTGACTGAAAGAAAACATAAAGCGCTGCCAGTGACTGAAATATGAGCCCAAGTAGATGCCTAAGCCAAAGCTCATTATCCTCCAACGCAAAGGCAGTGATCGTGTCAGGACCACCGAGATGCACCAGAAGAAAGGGAGCCCAAAATGCTAGAAGATTTTCGGTGGGACTATCCTGCTGCTGTGATTTTGGGTCGTCAGGAGTACTGTTGCCTTGATCACTGGAGATGAGTCCAACTGCAAAGTTAGCTGCCCAATCAGCCAGCAAATATGCTGACCATGTCGGCATTATTAGCCAAAAACTCGATATACGCTTCCTCAAAGGAGCAAACAAGATCAAAAAAGTTTGCAACGTGAGACTTAGGACGATGAATGCCCTAAGATCCCATGTATCCCAGAGCTGTTTCCAAGTTTCTGGGATTGGAAGCTCCATTGTATGTTTTCTTGTGCTGTATTTTGTGCTTTAGAATTTAGAATTTTGAGAGAATAAGTTTCTGGATGAAGTAGAAATTTAACTCATTTGAGTCGCTGAGAATGATCATTGAAGAGTCTTCCCCAGAAATCAATCCTGGAAAAAACCGAAGAACAAGTGGAAAAGTGAGTCTGCATGACTAAACTGAAAAAAAGTTGATTCTTTTCTTCAGCTACTTAAATGCTCTATTCATCACTAAACAGCATAAAGTGAGAGTGAACAAGCAATAATTGTCTAAAAAAATATGATAGATGCAGACACAATACTAGGAAGACCAAGTCAAAAAGGAGCGTTATCTGTATTGTATGAGAACTCTGGGCAGCAACCAGAAGTGGGGTTTTGTTCTTTTGAATTTCCCTGTTCATTTTTTATGTTACTTTGAGCTTTAATGGGAAACCTATGAATACAAGGTTTGTGTTGTAGTTAAAAGTTAGATTTCCTGACCAAGCAATGCATCTCAATTTTCTTGTAAATTGAGTAAAGCACGAGGCCCCCTGGAAACATATAGAATCCAGTCAGAAAAAAGTGAAAGCAAAATCCATGATTCCTGCGACAGTGCTCTTACATATCATCACCTATAATGATGAGTGAGCTCTTGAAAAACATGTCTAATTCTGCTCGGATTTTCCAGCAGACTCATTTTTTCTGTAGGAGTAGAAAAGTTTAATAACAGGAAGGTTTAGTTTGAATGGCTGGGGTAACGGAGAACTTCCTTCTTGATAAGCTCGACCAAGCTTTCGAAGACACCAAATCCACAGAACATTTTCTGTTCTCGGTCTTGTTTGATGTGCAGTCAGACTTCAGAAAGTTGAAGGAAAAGCTTCAGCCAAATGCCGGAATCTCCCCAGCTCAACGCAAGGAGAATCTTTACTACCTCAATAATCTGCTAAGTGAGTGGCAGCTGTTATTAAGAAGTCAGAGTATATACAGTCCTGAGGGACTAAATTCAGCCTATAAACTCAGTAAGAGGGTCAAGAAAATCAAGAAAGATCTAAAAATTGTGGCCAGTGGAGCAGCGACGGCAGATGCCGCTGATTTGAGCGCACAGAAAAATTTGGACACTTACCGATGGAGCTCCCGGACAGTTGATCCGAGCAAAGTTTATGGACTGGGTGACAAAGAGAGGTTCTTGGAGAGAATGCTGGTCAGGAAAGAGAGCAAAAATGGGTTCAAGGCTTTTGCAATTGTTGGAATGACAGGAGTAGGAAAGACCACTCTTTGTCAACTAATGCTCAACAATAGGGAGGTGAAGGAGCACTTTTTCCCTAGAATTTGGGTGTGTCTATCAAAGCAGCCTGAGGATGATGAGGACAAGAGAAAAGAGGTGATTAAAAGAATGCTAATGTGCTTGGGGGTGGATGATGATATCATTGAAAAAGCTGGAGAAGACGTGAATTTTGGGATCGAAAGACTAATCTTTGCGCTTCGATTACAGCTGAAGGGCAATAAGTACTTAATTGTGCTGGATGATGCTTGGAACTCAGACAAGTGTTTCGAAGACTTGCATTCTGACTCATTGCAGGATGAGAGCAGCTATGAAAAGCTTGCATATGGACTGCCCAAAGGACATGGTGGGACAGTGGTGATTACAACTCGGTCCAAGGAAATCGCAGCGAAAATGGTTGGTGAAGAGAACTTGCATCAACTCCCAATCCTCAAGGACAGAGAAAGCTGCTGGAAAATCTTCAAAGATTCAGTTGAATTAGGTGGAAGAAGCGAGTTTCCAGAAGAGCTGACGCCCCTAAAAGACCTGATTGTGGACAAATGTGCTGGCTTGCCATTGGCTGCCAAGATGATGGGGGAAATTATGCATCAGCAGCTCCTGCAAAACCCAATTCAAAACCAAATTCAGCAGAACCGAAACCAGCAGCAATCACAACACTCCACTGTTTAGTAGTATTTGGGAGAATTTAACCATTTATGAGATTTCTTTGCTAAATGATTGTTGAACTCCCGTTGTAGTTCTACATTTCTATCCAATCGAAATAAAACATTGAGTTATTGAGTGATTTAATCATCATCTTATTCTGTGGCTCGATGCACTGATACTGAAATTCATCGAATTTTGGTTAGTTTGGACAGTCAATGTCAATTCAGGACTCAAGGAGATAGTTGAAGACTCTACAACTCCTATAATGCCATAATAAACATTCATTTTGGCACTCCTTAAATGAAAAATGTATAGTGGCAAGCTTGCAATGTTGATTGTTGCAGACCAATCTCACATAGTCTGATAAAAGGCTTGTTTTTTATTGTATTTGTCTTAGGCATGAGTACCCTTCTGGCCAACACAGTTCAATCAAAGAAATTCTTCCAATCATGGGACTAATAACTTTCCTAGTTTTCCCAGTATTTAAGATTCATCAAAGAGTTGTTCTTTGCCGGACCTAAATCTGTCCACCAATCATCAGCCCTCCACGTCCCAGGTTCCGCCATCTACTTCATTTACAGAGGAGACAGAATTTTTCCCTTCTTCTTCAAGACAAAGAATCACAGATTCATATTAATCGCCGTTCAATTGGGTGCAGCTTGCTTATTCTCCTAGTATATGTGAATTAGCCTATAGAATCTTGATCAATTAACAATAAACACCATTAGAATGGGAAACAAAAAGAGAGGAAAATTTATACAAGTTACAGTAAATGGAAAAGAATACTTACAGTGTAAGGCCATCTTCAAATCCTATAAAAGTCCTATTTTTGGCCTTTTTCTTTCCTTTCTTCCTAATCATACCAAATCATATCCTTCTTCCTCAGACATACCTTCCTTAATTTTTACCCGAAACTGAATCCCACATATCTTATCTTAATATAAACGCTTTCTCACTCATCATTTTCTTTTCTTTTTCCCTCTAGAGTCTAGACCAACCCAAAAACGAAAAACATTGATGAAGAATTATGACTTGGGAGTAGGAGAAATTAGACCCAAGTCACAAAACGCCAATTGACAACTATTTAAGGAAGAAAATAATAAGAATGTTCATTAATTAATGAAGGAAACTTCCCACAAGCCATCACATAACTGTCAACCAAAAAAAGGTTCGAATCTTTCTAGTAGAAACAGAATTCTGAATCGAACAGTTACCCAACTCTAATCCAATCCTTTTCTTTAACAAACATCCCTTTTTGGAGTAAATATCAAGCCTCTTCTCTGTTTATTCTCTCTATCATCTTCTTCAATCTTCTCAGAGTATTTCTGGAAATTCTTCAAACTGCAGATTTAATTCACAGAAAAACTGGCCCTTTGTAGTGAATATGCAGAGGCGCCAATCCAGTTATGCAACCGTGGTGTTTTTCTCTCTGATTATCCTGCTTGGCCTTGTTTCCTTCACCCTCTGTTTTGCTGCTGAATTCAGAAGATCAAAGGTACGAACTTTACATAAATCTGTCCATCTTTATGCTTATTATTACACGTTCGTTAGTATTTGCTGAAGTCTTTTGTTTTTTTTTTTTGGTGTCTCTGTATGTAGAAAAGTGATCTCAGATTAAACGGGAAGCTTTGTTATTTGCCAGGAAGCCGAGGATTTGGATTGGGAATCGCTGCCTTAATCTTGCTGGTTAGTGCTCAGATCATCGGGACCCTTTTCATTTGCAACAAGTTTTGGTCAAGAAACCATGACGACAGGAGAATCTGCAAGACCAAATCATCCAACATCATCATCATTGCTCTTCTTCTTTCCTGGTAAGTTACTCTGTCATCATTCATTTTACAGCATCAAAACGAAAAATGGCTGCCCTGATAACAATATTAGAAGCTTTTATGTACTTGTTAGGCTTATTTATTAATCGCACAAGTCACATCCTCTCCAAAAAAATAAAAAATAAATAAAAAAATACTAATAATAAAAATCCAATATTCTCATTATTCGGACTAAAACTGAATATGGTTTTCAGATAGAAGTTCCATTATATGGTGTTCAGATGGATGTAGCTTAAAGTTTGTTTTTCTTTTAGCTTTGAGGGCTTATTCAAGTTGTGATCAAGTGTATCTTTGTTGACAAACTAGTCTTAATGAAAATAATAAATAATGTTATTTCTCTAACGTCGCATGATATAGATTAGAAAATTTGCAAAAACATTTTTGATTTTTGAAAATGATTTAACTGCTCCAATGGGACCGGAGAAGGTGTTAGCCATCAATTTCGTCAAATGAAAATAATCCTAGGGAGAACTAAGACCATGAACGTGGGACAGCTATATGTTGAAATCCTCTTTAAAAAAAAAAAAAAAAAATCAACTTGAAAGTATTATTTGGGGAAATCTAAGTTGGGAGGATATATTTGTTTTAGCAGGATCAGTTTTGGATTTGCTGCAATTTTGATAGGTGCAGCCACAAGCATGAGCCAAAGTCAACAGTTTGGAAAAGGATGGTTAGATGGGAATTGCTACATTGTGAAAGATGGAGTTTATATTGGTGCTGCAGTTTTGATGCTCATCACTTTAGCCTTAACAATTTCTTCTGCTATCATGACTTACTTAAGTAAGATACAATGTGATCAACAGGGCATCAAACAACCCGAATCAACTCAGGGAAACGCCGTTTCGTGTCCCTGAAATTGATGATTTTGATGTACAGAAAGAAAAGCCCTTGATGAGTTAAAATACAACACATAATAGAGGTTTAGATCACAACCTACTTTTTGGAAGAGATTTTTTTTTTTTTTTGATTAATTGTTTTTGTACATTTATAGTTGAAAAGATAATCTAATATAAATGAAGGGGCAGTTGCCACGAAGACAAAGAAGAACAGGGAAGAAAAAAGGTTCTTCCTTCTCAGAATTATATGATGTATCATCCATTATTTATTCCATTACAAACACATCACAAACACACCTACTAAAAGTAAGCAATATCTCACAAAGTTGAACTCCACCGAGGGTTTGGAATAACTTTAGTATCTTTTCATATAAGAAGTATGTCCAATGTTTAAATTAAGTGGAAATGGTAGACCAAATTTACCATTTTGTTTCTCTAACTGTAACAGAATATCCTTCTATCCCGGAATAAAATTCGTGTTTGTTATATAGATTAACTAGATGTTTGGCCGGGACAGATGCCCGAGTGCCCCCTCTACTTTAATTTTGTGTTAATAGATAAATGAATTCTTGATTTGTAAAAAATAAAATAGCTACACATTTATTTTTTTCCCCTTTTTAGCTAAAAATAAAAATAAAAATAAAAAAATCATCTGTAAAAGGAGAAAAAATATTGAAAAGTACAATGATGTAGAAAGCATACAAAAGAATGTGGAGTAATAAAAGGGATAAGTTTATAGGTAAATTTAAATACTATCTTAATTTGATTGATAAATAAAAAGTGTTAAGAGTTAAAATTGTGTAGTTATTTTTGTAAAGTAACTTTTGTTTCTCCGGATAAGAAGTTTTTTTTTTAAAAAAAAGGGATGATACGTAGCAGGATGGTCAATGCGATATGGTGCATTTGGAGCCAAAATTTTTTAATAAGAAGTTGCCACATCAACATCCTGTATTCTGCTTTAATAGGGTAAAGGATAAGTTTATGGGTAAATTTAAATACTATCTTAATTCGATTGATAAATAATAAGTGTTAGGAGTTAAAATTGTGTAGCTATTTTTGTAAAGTAACTTTTGTTTCTCCGGATAAGAAGTTTTTTTTTTTTTAAAAAAAAGGGATAATACGTAGCAGGATGGTCAATGCAATATGGTGCATTTGGAGCTAAAATTTTTTAATAAAAAGTTGCCACATCAACATCCTGTATTCTGCTTTAATAGGGTAAAGGATTAATCAAACAAAGACTAATTTTTTATTTTGAGACGGAGAGGAATAACAGACTATATGTTCCACAAATTTTTTCTCTTATTTTACTCAGTTCCAGACCTCTTCATCTTTTGCGGTGTGTTCACTCATCATATCCTCTTCCAAAATTTTTGAGCTATTTGTGAGATTTGTTTCAACTTATTGCAAGCTTATTAGTTAATTATTATATAATTCAGTGACTAAACCATCAGCCATTCTGCTTATTGCAAGCTTTCATTCTTCTATTTGTTTGTCTTAACATCTTTAATCTTCTCCTTTTGATTTAGAATCAGAATGAGTGACTTCAACCTGCGCATCCTCCCATGGTATCATTATCCATCTGGAATGACGAAACAAAATTTGTAAAGCAATGCTGATTCTCATGGAGACGACAATGCCTCACGTCCCACAAAAATAGTTCACCTTGTAAATAGTATCAAGTGGATTTCATGGGACGGATTACTCCTAGCTAGTCTAGACAAAAGATAGAAAGGAGCGCGAATTTGATTTTGTGAAGGAAGAAAAGAGAATAGATTTCAGCTCAAAATGATACTAATTATATCACAATCTTAAAACCATCAATCAAAGGCTACCGCCTACCAGTCATCATAATCAATCATATAGAAATAACAGAGGTAATAAGAATCCTGATCTCATATCAGGTAAAAGAACCCTACAGATAACTTGGTTGAGAACTGTCTTTTGGTTGGAGTTAAATCTTGAGTAGAGCATGGTGTTTCTAGGGATTTGCTCACGTCATATGAGTTTTAGGATTTTTGCCTTTCATTATTAAAACAAAAAAAGGAAATGCAGACCACATTGGTAGATAAGTTCAGGGGCAACAACAAAGCTGAAGATCGAACTCAAGTAACATGAAACTTTAAACAACCTTAATATAAGACTAGATCAGAAACTTGCCACACAATCATTATTTTATCTGATTTGCATCTGCTTCAGTTTCTGCTTGTTGATCCAAACTCCATATCCATCAGTTGGGAAGAAACTGAGCTTGGGGCAGTTCACTTTCTCCAAGTAAACCAAATTTGGAAACAACTCAAGTAGCTTTCTCCAATCCATTTCCAGATCACTCAGGTACTTGACCCGCAATATTTCTACATTCCATGTGTCCATTTCATGCCCCTGTGTTCCTTGCTTAAGTTCAAGGTCCTCCTGATATTGACCCAAATCGGAGAACTTTCCGCCCCTTATGTACAGTTTCTTCAGGGATGGCAAACTGGAAGGCATGAGCCAGGTAGGTGTTTCCGTCTTTGGAAAAGATTTCAGGTCCAGCTTCTCCAGCTTCTCCAGCTTCAGGGGAGTTGTAGCTAAACCAGCAGAGGCTTTGAATGTACCGAATTTCTTCAGAGTCCTGCTAAGTGTTCCTGCTTTTTTCAATGCTTTCTTCCTCTGTCCTCCATTATCTTGCTTAGGTTGCTCCTGTTTCGGGCTGGGCTTAGTATGCAAAGCACTCCCACCCCATGCTATGGTAAGCTTCTTAAGCACTGTGAAATTCTGCAAAGCAGCAATATCCTTATCATTCGGGAATTCACTGAGGCCAGTATAAATGGTTAGTTTGATCAACTTCTTCAATTTCGCCAAGTCATCGAGACAACAGGTGTGTTTGTTCTGCTCTTCTCCCACGACGAACCCCTTGAATACCTTAAGATTTGAGAGAAAAGCAAGACCCTTTGGCATATGCTCCAGCAAATAACACTCAGATAAATCCAAGTATGTTAAATTCCTCAGGGAACAAATTCCTTCAGGGATGGACTCAAGACTATGACATGCTCTCAAATCCAAAATGATCAAATTCATCAACTGCGAAATGGCATCGGGAAGCTCCATGATTCTCGAAACTCCCTGAAGACTGAAAAACCTCAAATGCTCCATAGAACTCAATCCATCTAAGAAATCGGCTTCCTCGACTTCAATGTGATCAGTTGCTGATACTTTCCACCTTCCCAAATAAAGAACACTCAAATTCTTCATCCTCATAAACCAGTCAGGCCTGATCTCGAGAATAGGTTCGTTGACATTGAAAACGACATGGAGTTTCTCCAAATCTTGACTACTCACAAGCCCCTTCTGCAGATCTTGATAATCTATCAGGCCTCTTCCCATCAAGCATGCCTGGAATGTCCCAGAAGATTCCTCAGTTGGCATTCCCTCCTCATCGAAATTAAAGAACTTTTCCCTTTCAGCAATCATGATCAGTGCCAGTCTAACGAAAGGGTGCATTTTATAGCAACCAACAGAAAGGCAATGCCTATTATTCACAGGCTCAATGAATCCCATTTTGGTTAACTGCTCAAAGAACTCATCAGCAAACTCCTCTACAGTTTTTCCTTTCTCAATTTGCTGCCTTATCTCATCATTTCGTGGAATCGGAGGCACAAAGCCCTCAGCTATCCACCAATACAGCATCAGCCTCTTCTTGATGATTACATTTTCAGGGAAAATTGAAAAGCACATCAAACAAAGCTTCAATTCCCCACTAAGCTCGTCAAAGAGACGCTCAAAATCCCTCACTTCGGAGCAACCATCAAACTGATTGCTTTTGTACAATTGAGGCATTCGTTTCATCAGCAATTCAGGAACGATTTTTTGCCTAATCTTTGAATCCTGATGACCTTTGTGAGGGCCTCTCTCTTCAGCACCTTTGTGCTTTGAAGGTATTTGAAGCTTCAACTTGGTCACTTCCTTTTTCAACTCCCTCAACTCTTTCTCAGTTCCTACTTTCTTGAGCTCTTCAAACCTCTCTGCAGCATCATTCGCAAGTGAACTTACATGGTCTTTGTACTGGCCAAGCTTACTTGACTCTAGCTTAATGAAATTAATATCTGCATCAATGGACTTGGAAAGCTCATCTTTAGTAGAAATGTTGGCATCTTGTTGGGTTACCAACGACTTCTTGGTAATTGCATCTTTACTGGGACTGCTGGCAGTTGATTGCCCTGAAGTTGGAGCTTTTGAAATTTCTTTACTAGGAGCTACAGAGATTTCTTGGACTAAAGCTGGCTTCTTGGGTTCCAAGTGTTTATCTTTTAATCTGTGGAGAAGACCTGGAAGAGGAAGGCAGATAGAATCTTTCTTGGAAACAACAGGATTGGTCTTCTGATCAGTTTGAAGTGGAAAGTTGGGTGAATCTTGTTTTAAGATCTCACTTTGAGGTTGGGTAATAGTTGTTGGCTCTTGTTTCGCTGTTTCAGTTGAAGGTTCAGTGGTAATATCGGCCGAATCTGGTTTGGAGGTTTCAGATGAACAAGGTTCAGTAGAAATAAGGGCTGAATGTTGTTTGGAGATTTCAGGTGAAGGATCAGTAGTGACATCGGCTGAATCTTGTTTTGAAGTTTCGGTAGGAGGGTCATTGGTGATTCTGGCTGAATCTTGATTTCGGCTTTCAGGTGAAGTTTCACTAACAATATTGGCTAAATCTAGTTTCTGCTGGTTCTCAGTCATTTCTTTGGGGATTTGGGCTGAAGCATCAGTAGATAAGGGTTTTACCTCTCCTGTAGTCTCTGGAACAGGACTGGGCAATGTTTTTTGATTCTCACTGTTTGTAAGCTGCACTGAATCATCAAGTTTAGGAGACGTCGTGGTGCCGGCTGGATCCACATGACTGGAAGTGGTATCTTGATTCTCCGGATTCGCACCCTGAGCCAAATTCTCGTCTACGGGAGGATTGGAAGCGGTGGCAACGGCTTCCTTGTCACCGATTTCAGGTTTGCTTGGCGGATTGTGCTGAGTATTTTGGGTTTCGGATGAATCATTCAGTGCAGTAGGGGGTGTGATTGATTCGGCAGGTGACATTTCCTCTGGAATAGTGGAGGTGGTCATGGTTGGTTGGTTTTCACCTTTTGTTTCTTCCTTCTCTTGTAGCATTTCTGGTGCTGTGGACAGGATTGATAATGATCACGGTCTGAATCAAGAAAGAAGAGCTGAATAAAAACAGGTTCGTAGTTGTTTTCTGTACTCGAATTCTTAAAAGAAGGGCCTAAGAAAGAAGAATCAAGAAAGGAATCAGTTCATTAAACAACATGAGCAAAGAAAAGAACACGTTGTTTGCTCTTTTCACTTGCTTGAGTGGGATTGTGTGTGTGACCCCAGACAGCTAGGCAGTTCTTTTTCGCTTTTCCTTTTTCCTGCTTTGTGGAAAAGAGAAGAAAATTCCTGCAAATAAGAAGATCCTGTCAATGTGTGTTGAAAAATGAAATATCAGCTAACAACTACTTAGATTTCTGATGCATAAAGTGTAAAGGTCGGAGAAAATAGAGATGATTTTTGCAATTTGAATTGAAACCTCAGTTTGAAAGTATGCATATCAATCTATTTCCGGATCCAATTGGCATTGAAACATCAGTTGGAAAGTATGCAGATCAGTCTTAGTTTACAAACACTTCTAGACATGAGGAAAACCGGGAAAATTTGAAGTTGATCGTGCTGGGGAACGACAATGGACTATGGACAACCTGACAATACATGGATTCTGAACAAATTGCATTGCCATAATTTCATAGTGCCAAATTTCAATGAGTTACAGTTATGATCCTCTCTTTACACTTCCAGGTGTTCGCTGAAAACTCGTCAAAATTTAAAAAGAACATTTGTAACTTCATACGAAGACGGTCTAGATGGAAAATGTTGCACTGATGATTGCAGATCCAACTTGAAGCCAGTAGAGCTCGATCGAAAATTTTGGTATGAATATCAACCTTCTCTCAAGTAGAGAAATTGGTTCTTTAACTTCCAACCTCACGAAATGTTCTTGACGTAGTAGTAACATTGCACAAAATTCAGACTTGGCGAAACTTCATCTTCTGAAAAGTGCTGGCAGATTAAATTGAATTCTCTAAGTACTGACCTCTTTTCGACAAAGCCAAAGCTATCAATTTGACAAGAAAGAAATAGTACCTTCTTTAAGATTACCAAGAGTCCATTGATTGCACTCCAGCACTGCAGTGCAGATTCTTCAATGGTTTAGGCAAATTTTCAACATCTGGAATCTAAAATATGAAAAAAATAAGAAAAGTAACAGTATGAAAATTGACAGCAAAATGTAAAATTTAAAACCTCCAATCATCATGTGAAAGATTAAACCAGCATGGAGGATGACCTCATGGACTAAAAGGGAACTAAATTTCAAACCAGAGTGTCACTGCCGACAAACCTGAAGATGCCACTGCTTTTGTAATGTAGTGATCATTCACTAAATGAAGGAAATTTCCTCCATGGACTGTTTGTCCAGATGAGCTTCAACACCTTTTCCAGATAAGCTTTGTCCAGATGAGCTTCAACACCTTTTCCAGATAAGCTAAGTCATTTTTGGGCATCCACGAATGATTTTCTCTTTCTCTTTCAGGTCTGGCAGGTCTGCACCAATAGTCTTCAGCTGCGGTAAATCGCACAGACACAACCTTTGCAAATTTGTCAGTCTCCTGTTTGTGGACTCAAAAACAGTTTCTAATAGGTCGCAAAATTTAATTTGAAGGCTCTTAATGCCTTCAGGGACCTGAGTTGAAGAAAAGACATTCACAAGAATGAGGCACTCTCCGATCTCCAAAGTTTCTAGACTTGGAAAAAAGCATGTAATGTTTCTCAGTTGTGGAAGCGCCCAGAGTTTTAAGGTTCGCAGTTTCGGAAATATAGCATGCTCATGTTCAGATATCGCGACAAGCCTGTCACAGTATCCAAGTTGAAGAGTTTCAAGGCTTCCTAGCTGTTCAGGGGCAGAAAAGAAGGCTGATATCTGAGGACAATGCTCTAGACATATACACTTCAAATTTTGTAATCTACTGCTTTTCAGGCCCCCTTGGAACATGCTCTTCAACTTTGGAGCATGAGAAACGCACAGAATTTCTAAACTGTCCCACGTCTTCGTAATGATTCTAGCATTCTCCTCTGCCACATCGGTGTTGCCACTGTCCTTTAGCGGGGGAGCATCCACAATTTCCTCTGCAGGGAAAATATATTCCATCTCGGTGCATCTCTCCATCCAGCAGGCTTCCAATTTCCTTATATTGTCAACTCCCAAGTCAGATAAACATGTGACAAATGGATTATCGACCAAAAATACAGTTTCAGAATGAACTAAGATAAGCCCAAGACTCCTGGGGAAGCACTTGAATCCCCGAATGTCCAAGGACCGATCTCTGCCTTTGGGATTGGAAAGTTGCCTTGTCCTGAAAAATGTATCTTTAAGAAAAATTTCATTCATGAGGAATCTCTTATCTCCAAAGTTTCCAAATGCTTCAACAGGATGAACAAAGAAATGGAAGTGGCTGAAACTTTTGTCCCGCAATTTAGGATTTTCCTCCAATAGCTGAACAATCTCAACACCATCGAGAGTCAGGATGAGCTTATTGCTTACAGCTGACATTTCTGGCCAGTTTGAGATGCTCCATTTCAGCTGGTCCTCCCTGTGCCCTACAGCACCGAAAATTGGAAGTTCAAGCTGCTCCAGAGAAGTCAATTTGGAGATCCCAAATGGAAGCTCGTTGATGCTGTCTTTAAGTACTTCATGAATCTCCAGTTGCCTTAGCTTCTCTAGGCTTAAACAATCTTTGAGGAGAAGCCTACGAAGATGAACAAAATTCTCCAGGGATGGTATCTCCTTCACTGCTGTTCCAGAAAGATCAAGAACATTCAAATTTAACAGCACTTCCAGACATGGTAACTCACTTAGAGATCGGCAATCTCGAAGAGAAAGATAATTAAGGTTCTTGAGATTTGACAAGGTATTCAACTTCTCTACAAGGGTTTCAGACAGGTCTAGCAAACGAAGACTAGTCATATGCTCAAAATCAGGCAGTACTACTTCTATGGATCTGACTCCAGAAAGATTTAATTCTTCAAGTCGAGAAAGATTCTTCAGGGATGGAAATTCTTTCAAATTGAAACAGTTTTTCAGCACGAGCTGACGAAGATTAGTCGATGATAGATGTGGCAGACGAGTGATCTTTGTTCCAGACAGGTCAAGTTTTTGAAGGCGAATCATATCCTCAAGGGACTCGCCCTGTATTTCTTTAAGAGCAGTAGAACCTGAAAGGTCTAAGATTTCAAGTCTTGTTGTCGACTGCAACTCTCCCAATGAAACCAATGCAGTACAACGTGATAGTAACAAGAGGCGAAGTTTATGAAGATCTGAAAGGGCAGGCAGACATTTTATGTTTGTGTTTGAGAGATTCAACACTTCAAGGAATGTGAGGCAAGAAAAGAAACCGTTTGGAATGACATCCAGATGGCAGGAACCTGAAACATTAAGTACCCGAAGGCCTTTAATTGGATCAAAAAGTGGTAATTCTTTTAGCTTCAAGCAGTCAGTAGCTCGCAGTTCGCATAGAATGCTGATGTCCAAGGGTAGCTTATCGACTGAAGTTCTTGAAACATCCAACACTTTAAGGCTGGAGATCTTTTCGAATGATGGATCAACAAATTCCTTAAAGTTTGTGCAACCTGAAAGATCAAGAATCTGTAGACAGGACAATGCAGTAATTTTTCGAAGTCTCTCTAGCTGATCACAATCACGTAACAAGAGATGAGTGAGGTTTGGAAGATCTCTGAGCAATGGTAAGTTAATAATCTGGGATTGCGAAAGATTTAGGATCCTAAGCTCCCGATTTGAGGAAAAGCTTTTGTCATGTATGGTTTTCAGAGAGTACGCGCCACTTAAGTCAAGAACCTCAAGCTTACTACACTTTTTCAGGCTTCCTAGTTCTTGTAAATGAGAACATTGTCTAAGGATAAGCCAAACAAGTTCCCTGAGAGAATAAAGAGACCTAGGCAGAGACTCAATCCGAAGAGATGACAGATTGAGGCTTTTGAGATGAGGCATATTGAGGAAAAGTTCATCAGGAATTTCTGTCAAGGGGCTGGGACCAGATATTTCAAAAACAGTCAATTTTTGAAAGATGGAAGTGGGATTATTGACTTTTATAATGGACTCAAAAGTTTCCAAATTATCACATCCCCTAAGCACAAGCAGATGAAGTTTGTGCATTTCATATAAGGGGAGTGGCAATAGTTCAAAAGCAGGATTAAAGACAGCAAGAATTTCAAGCTCCTTTCTGAAACGGAGGAAGTCAGCAGGTATCTCATTGTTGAGTTGATCAACACCAAGCATAAATGTAGACACCTTTCTTCGTCCTTCAATGGAACCAATACTCTTTATCATCCCTTTTGCTGCTGCAGTGGTTCCGAGATCACCATAAAATGCAGCAGCCAATCCCAGTTGAGTTGCCACCACATAGTTCAGATAATCAGAATCACTCACCTGATAGTTTGTGTCGCTGATGCTAACCTGGCCCGGCTCTGACTGTTTGAGTAGTCCACAATCGATGAGCTCCATCAAAACAGAATGCCCATCATTATAAGTATCCTCAATGGAATCAAAATTGCAAAGATAACCTTCTAGTATCCAGTAGTTAATCAACTCATTGTAATACACGCTTCCACGTTTATGCAAGAATTGGTTTTCAATTCCAAAGCAATCAATCAGAATATTCCTTGGAAGAAACTCATACCCAAGGCTGAGTAACTGTGGTATACTATAATGATCAGCATTTTCCTCCTTAACATTTTCTAACATGCTCAATCCAGACTCATCTCTTCCAAAGTAACTCAGGGCTTTTCCTATCACAAGCACCTCACGAGGCAATCTTTTGCTTTTGCCAAGAAAGTAGTTAGCGAGTTCTCTTATACGAGGACTCTCATCAATATTCTTCCCAACAATTCTTTTCAGTATGTTCAGCGACTCATTCTCAGACAAGCATTGCACGTTTATTATTTTCGTCTCCTCTGAACGGGGAACATCTCTTTCTCTTGTGCAAGTGATAATGAACATTTGTGGAGCATTGCCATCCATGGACAGCTGGTCTTTAAATTCTTGCAAAATTTCCTGATCCTTCATTTGACTCCCCTCACCATCAAATATTAAGAGAACCTTCTTGCCTTTAAGCGCTTCAAATGTTCTCACTTTCAATTCTTCATTTTCTCGGTCAGAATCTTCTGCATCATTCTCATCCAATTCATCAGCATCATCCTCAAATTCCCACTCATCAGAAACAGGAAAGAGAGAAATCTGCCGAGCAACACTCTTGTAAAGAGAAATAGAGTCATAACTCTTGTTAAGAGACAACCAAAGAGAAATGTCAAACAGTTTTTCTTTGATTGCATGATAACTTAGCTTCCTTGCCATCCATGTTTTCCCAACTCCCGGTTCCCCATGAAGAACAATTTGTCTGACATTTCCATTTTTCAACTCTTCAAATGCTACTTTCAATTGTTCCACCGAACCAGCAGTAGCCATTGCAAATGGAATTCACCCTGAGGTATACAAAAATGAGAAACGCTCATTTGGAAGAACTGGTATTTCAGATTAAAGTATATTAAAATGGGGCGCAGAGAAAACATGTAGAAAGGGATGCGAGATACAAATAGGAAAACGTGTAGCAATCATTTCTTCGTTACTCCCCAGAAATGCACCTCGGAAAAGGTTTGGAGAGGCATATTGTTTATGAGACCAAAGTTTGAGGCTTTCGCAGACCTAATAGCCTAGAACCCTACCTCGGCGATCAAGCTGACGAGAATAGAACAAAGGTGTTGTACTATTGCTCTATTCTTCTGCTACATTGTACTTCCGTTTGGGATTTAATAAAACTTTTGATTCTAGAAAAACATCCATATAGCAGACCTCAAAGCAAGTTCGGAGCAGTTCAAATTAAGTACTATTCTGCATCCGAAACCTAATCAACAACTTATGAAATACATTAAAAAAATCCCTGCGAAACCAAAGATTCAAACCCTAATTTACCTAAGGCAGTCCAGTAAATTTATTAAACATAGCTGCTGTGAACTAATCACAAGAACCAAAGATTCCCAGTTCCTTATAATGAATCCTTACATTGAACATATCATATACGAAAGAAGAAAACAGTTAGTTAAAACTTCAGAAATCGTCTACCAAAAATAGCAGGAAGAAAGAGGAATTGATGTGAGGAAGAAAAACCTGGAAAAAAAAAGAAGCAGCAGCAACAGTTGTGTTCAATGGTTAGAAACACCAGACAATTCTAAGTGGGGGAAGTACCAAGAATGGTTGCCAAAAAGATCAGAAGGGATAATCAACCAACTCCCCAGTTTAGATCAATCATCATACCTTATTCAGGATCGGGAGAAATGAATATTCTTTACCCCAACTGAAAGTTAATTGAGACGACAAGGATTCAAAAAGTGTCACTGCCTTCTCAAACTTTACTAAAAAGCAACATCGTACAACAACGAAACTATTATTACAATTACAGGAGTACTACTTTATTTTTTCCATTAAAAAAAAAAAAAAGGAGAGGCCCCCTGAACTCGGAAATTACAGACCGAGTGAAATATACTTCAGAAGCAATTTTCAAAAAGTTGCGATCCCTTAACCCAGGTTTTTCATCCGGATTGGAACAGCATCAAATTTGATGCTTTTCATTATGGACTGGTAGAGGGATGAACTATTTATGAATGCTTCCGTTATACATTCATTTATACTCAATCCCGTCCATTTATTCATTTCTTCTAAGCTCGAGGTTCTAAGCAGAAACCATGGAGAAGAAGAGTTCGAGAATTTGAACGTTTCACCATTAGTTAGACTGTTAGACCTTTAAATAATTATTATGTGTGGACAGTCCAAATCTTTTTCTTTATATCTTTCAGATTTCGCAAATTCGAAAGTTAAATTAAGTTTAAGAACTCAGATTTCGAGAATCCGTCTTATTTGGTCTCATGACATATATACCCGACTCTGTTGTACTTTTTGATTGGCGAATTCCGAGAGATATATTTTTATTTGAACCCCCCAATCAGAAATAATTCTGTCCATTCCGGTCCTACAAGAATGTATTTAGGTCGAAAACTCGGGATTGAATCTGTGAAGTTTACCATGGATGAAACTATTGCAACCATATTGAACAAACCAGAGAACAATAATGTACATAAAAGCTTGGTAAAATTACATTTGTACAGTTTTTTTTTTTTTTTTTGAAACGGTACATTTGTACAGTTAATATGTACAAATCATATTTAAGGTTAACATGAACATGGTAGTTTCTTATGGGGCAGCTTCCTAGTTCATTTGTACATATTGGGAGAAGAAACAGGATTTTCAAACAGATGACAGAATGTCATCTATTTCTGAAAAATCATATTTAAAATTGAGATGAAAATCATAATCAGCAAAGCATGAGCTTTCCAGAGGACTGAAGCTATCAAACTGAGAATCTTGATATCCAAATTGCTGATACTCCATGCCTGAAGCTTCAATCAAGAATGGTTGAGTCCAGAATATCATGTCAAAGTCCTCGACCGAGAATCCTGAATTGGATGTATCAAGCATGTCTGTGCTCCCAACAAGATCATCATTTACTGTCACAGTGCTATCACTTCCTTGACAACTTTCTTGGATGGGTTCTTCTTCACAAGCTTTAGTTTCATCACCAGCTTTTTCCTTATGAATTGGATAGGCCATGTTCTTCTTCGACAGTAATTGTTTCTTCAGCCTTGTGTTCCAATGGTTCTTAATTTCATTATCTGTTCTTCCAGGAAGTTTTCTTGCAATTTCAGCCCATCTGAGATAAGGAAAGAACAATCACAAAGTATCAAATACAAAGTCAGAACCATGTCCATTTGGAAACATCACGTCTGCATGGTGGAAAGAGTTCAACAATGTAATTTGGATGGTGATGAGATTTATTCATGCACACTTAAAATTACAATATAAAACTGAACACACATCAGGTCAAAGTTGATGGGGAAGTTTTTTCGGTCGTTCCATTGTGAAATGCTGAATCAATCTATAATGAAAACAACATAAGTATGTGTGCAGACATTAAGAGAGTAAACGAGTATGGCTGTTCACCTGTTGCCTAACTTCTCATGCAGATTGATAATGGTTTGATTTTCTTCCTCTGTGAACTTTCCCAGCTTTACATCAGGCCTCAAATAGTTCATCCACCTAAGTCTGCAGCTCTTTCCAGACCTCGCTAAACCTGATCAAAGGTTAACTTTATCAACCATTAAATCAAACAGAGTTCAAGCCCCTAAAACTACTAGCCTATCTTTCTCATTCCAGGAATAAAGGAAGCAAAGCAGTAAAAGAATTCAGAAGAAGAACCTGCATATTTCGGCATCTGATTCCAATTCCATATCCCATACTTTTTAATATAAGCAGTCAGTTTCTTGTCTTCTGCATAACTCCATGCACCCCTTTTGATTGCTGCCTTCTCCATCCTAAAAACAACAAGATATCTCTCTCGCAAGATTCTGAAAGTGGCAGACTTCTACCAGAACCAGCCGTTATTTAGGTACATATATATACATGCATGCATTAGACGATACTGACTATCGACTAGATGGGTCAAATTTTGTGACGTCAGTAAATTTAGCATTGTCTGCTCTTGATTAGACTGTTAACTAAATAAATTAACTGGTTATCCCCTAATACGGGCTAACGATGGAAATTTCAGAGTAATTTATAGACTTGTAGAAGTTAGCAGCGTGCTTTATGAAGTCCTTTATATGATTTACTAATAATGAGTTTGAAAAGCTGGAAATTTCATGGTAATAGCAACTTGATTAGCATATTTCCACTAGGAAAATTCTGAGAACTGACGACAAAGTTTTTCCAATATGGGCTAAACTGAAAGGACTGACTAAGAACAGACTGGTCAAGATACAACAGATTCTTGAGCCAGTAATTTTCACGAACTGACCAGCCTATCATTTTTCCAGAATCCCTTGACGTAGAAATGAGCCTGTTCGAGTTGCTATTCATTTAGTGGAAGCTGTCAAACAGGTGCTTTGGAATGATTTTGAGCATTTAATGTTGTTCCATTTTTCACGTCTTCTTGGTGCAGAAATTTCATTAAACACGTAGAAGAGAAAACCACAATTAGAATTTCTAATCTACCACGCACTTGGTGTTCAAAATCACTCCGACTAATTCGGATCAGGTAGAGTAGGTTTCTTCTTCGATCACCTAAACCAAACCAGAAAGAATTTTTGATTGAAGGAAAACCCACCATTGTCCTTCATGAGCCTTAATAGTAAGCATGGCTCATACGCGGACCTATACCTAAAATGATAATACACATTTTCTCACTAGCTTCGTCCTCTAAGAAAAATAATAATGTAATGACAAGTTGTCAGTATATAGAGACAACAAACGACAACATGAAATCATGTAGAGTCGCAACTGACCAAACCACTGCCAGAAACAACTCAGTAGCTTCACAGAAATATGAACTGAAAAAGGCAAAAATAGGTGGTCAAGAATCCGCTTAAGAATCAGCTGAGCTCAGTTGGAATATCCTTACGTGGAATAAGAAATATCTCCCCGACTGATTGATCAACTCAGAGACAGAAAGAAAAACAAAACAAATTAACAAGAACTCAAAATTGATAATACCTCATCAAATATACATTTTTACAAGCGTTTCGGCAAGTCCGTATGTACAATTAATTTGTGGGTTTCTCTTCTTTTTCTCTTTTCTGTTACCAAATCCAACTTGAAGACAGTCAAAATGGTAAACTTACCTTCCTACGTCTTACTCTAAATTTGTTCACCATTCTTACATGATCAAGCAACCGGAGAAGTGGGCTCAAATGTAGGAGCAACAGAATGAGTGGTTTCTTGAGTAGATTTTGAACTAATTTGTGGCTCTGGGGGATGTATGAACATAACAGGAGGTGGACTTCGCTCAATATAAGCCTTAACACCTTCAGAATAACTTCCTATACATATTGTATCACCTCTGCCGTGCCAAATTCCATCCTGAACGTTATTCATCTCCAACGTCCGAGATTCCTGACCCAAGTTGAAGCAGACAACGAAAATCATTCAGCAGATACAGATGAATGAAATGTAGTTTTAAACCATCAATCGAGGTTACTGTCGCTTTTCATTCTTTTTTCCCATCATTAGAGAATTGAACGTCGGGACATTTTTAGAGTCAGCGCTAAATATAGTTGCGATTGTTATGAATAAACGAAAAATACCTGGCACAAGGAACAGCAGGGGCAGACGAGATGGTACACACAATCGTCAAAGGCACCATCACTTTCCTGAAGAAACATGTACAGCAAAAGTCATCAGAAGTTTACAAAAATGAATGAGAAACTTCTTGAAACAAAGAAAAATCAAAAGTATAATAATAATAAACTAAGGTCTAGCGATGACCAGACTTCATAATAAGCATCCCTAATTGGTTTTCCAGAAAAAAGGAAAACCAGGACTGGCTTGTCAGTAATCATCTCATGGATACAATCACTACAGGTTTGTGTTTCTGTAAAGATACATATGAACTGGTGCATCTACTATTTTTGTTAGAATTGTATCTATATTTATCTTAATTTCTCTGACCAAAAAAAAAAAAAACCAAAAATTTAACAGTCTACAAGGAAAACACAAGTTTGATAGTAAAGGATGATTTTTCCAAGAATATGAAGCATTTCAGTCCAGTTTGCATGATCAGATAATTGGAAAAAAGGTCATGGTGAAGAATGCAGAAAGTACATGCAACAAGTGATCTAACAACAGACTTGTACATGGAAATGGGATATCTGAGTTATGTTTATTGCTTCCAAGGCTATTCCTTTCTCCACCAATTTTGGGTAGGATTTCAAGCACGTGTGTAGAGGGTAATAGCAAATACATTATCGTAGAGAGAACTCATATTTCCAAGCTATACTACGGATGATCTTGAAAGAGACTTCACTTGCTTCAAACCATTTACATCATGAACAAATAGAAATCTAGTGTCTGATGAACATGAGTTTCTGTGAATAAAGTGGATTTTTCCTCCCATGACCAACCAGGCATACTATTAAATTACACCTAAGACCTAAAAGTGGAAAAGTCATGGCATTCCTGTACCCAACTGAATCCAAATGACGATTAATAATTGTGGGCTTTAAATTTGGTATTTTGGTTCATCAACTACTTATGATTATAAGTTGCTTTCTCTTGGCCGGCCATTGAAGAACTAGCTACAGTATCAACCTTGACCCTATATGAGTTTACCCAATTCTAGATCATCATGAACAACCAGCTGTGCCTTAAAGCCACTAGCCATAAAAGAGAGAGAGAGAGAGAGAGAGAGAGAGAGATCGATTTGTAGCTTATAAGTAGGTGCTTCTAACTGTAAGTACAGAAACATTCATAGAAACAAAATTGAAAAAATAATATGGCTGAGGAGAACACTTACACTAATATTGAACTTTTTCCTAATCTGAGTGCGGTACATTCCCAAATATAGTCCCACCAAAATGGTAAAACCAGCTCCCAAATAAAGAAAGCAGTGTCTCCTTGTGACTAAAAAGGCGAGAATATTGACAAGGACCAGTAAACAAAGACTCACATAAACAGATCCCTGCACAATGCAAGAATACCAATTAATTTGCTGAGAAAAAATGAAATTACAAACAAAAAACAAAGAGATAAGTGATAATTGCTCTTGAAAGGGGGGGCAGGGAGGAAGGGAGAGAGAGAGAGAGAGAGAGAGAGAGAGAGAGAGAGAGAAGTACTATTGACAAAGAAATGCATGATACTATATTGGCCAAGGAACAGATTTAGATGACAGTAAAGTATGTTTCAAACATGGTGAAGGATAATCCACTTCAATACTGACTAGTCAGTCCATAACATGGATAACACAAGATTAGACTAAATGCAAATGGCCAGAAAAATATTAATTTCCATATTCTACTCCATGCAAATTGATTATGAATGAAAAGATCCAAGTCCAGGTAAACTAATTGAAACGCAGCTGGCCGCCTTATGATTTTACAGTTGGTGCTGTGTGAATGACTTATTCGATAAAAAGTTGTTACCTGAAGAAAACAAGAACCAAAACCAGCTCGTTTCATGTTCTTCCCAAATCTGTAACATGGGCAACTGCAAAATGTAGAAAATCATATTAACTCATCTAAAATTCAATCGAACCCACCAATAAAGTACAAATTTGTAATCACAAAACAAAAACTTTTGATGCAAACACTTCATTAAAACCTGAAAGAGAGAGAGGGACAGAGAGTACGGGAGCTAGAGTCACTGCAGAGGATTTTCTAAGCTACGGACCTTTGAAACAGAGTTATTACCTAAATATTTTGATAGCACTTACAGACACAACAATAAAAAAGCAATTATCCTACCTCCTTAAATAGTTGGATCACATCCGAGTGCATAATCATGTTTTGCCAAAGCACATGTTCAACATTTCCAGTTCCATTTACGCCATTCCTTCACGTTTTAATTTGAGGAAGTAATGCCTTACAGGGGCATCTACATTTTGAACCAGAATGCATTCTTTTCTTTTTTTTCTTTTTTTTTTTCTCAACAACTGAGGGTAATCCACTTTCTTTCCTCCTATCTAATCTATAGTCATCACTAACCCAAAACCCTAAATCTTCTGTAGCTGTAATCCTATTAAAACTTCATAAGCATTCCACTTACTTTTAGCAAACCATAAGACTAAGAAGAATGGTGCACAAGAAAGCGCACGTCAGAGCACGACGTATTTACGGAAGTTTATTATCCTCAAAAGTCAGAACTAAACAACCTATAAGATAATCTTTCACAAGCTTTGGTAAAGTGAAGCCAGCCAAAATTAAGAAGTTCTCAGAAGTGGAAAGGAGGAGGTAGAATTCATGCAAAATAAACAGGCAAGAAACATCTTTTTCCCCAGACAAAACTTCAAATTTCCATTAAAAAAAGAAAAAAGGCAAAAAGCTAAAATGAGGGGAAGAAATTTCACCAGGCAGATTGGAGAGCGATGCGGCGGTCATCAAAGCAATCATTTACAAGCTCACCTTCCCACATCCTAAAAACTCCTCCTCCACCATTTCCGTTTGCATAAATGAGCCCTTCTTCTTCTTCATCATATTCATCCATGTTCAATTTATCCCACTTGCCCTTCTGATTCTGCATAGCCACCGTTGCACAGAGCATATCGAAATCCAAAATGGTAACTTTTTCCATCAAACTCTGCTCTTCCTCAGCCACCTCTTTTTTCTCCATCTCCGCCATGAAACTAATCAGACCCTTTTTTTTCAATATATTTTCTTAAATCAACAACAACCCTTATCTTCTTTTCTTTTTTTTTGTTGCTGGAGAATGAATTATCAAGGAAGTGTTTCCCTCAAAATGCCTTAACCCTCCTCTGTTACGTTCCCCTGCTTTCTTTTTTCTTTTTCTTTTTTCTTTTTGGCAAAATTCCTCTGTCCAATGCAAGGGTGAATACAATAATACCCCGACCCCGTCCCAATAAATAATCAATCCCCTCAGGATATTATCATCATATGTCTGAAAATAAACTGAAAATGCATTTTTTTATTTATTTGGTTTTGGATTGGGGAGAATTTGGGAAGAATTGGGGTGGCTGGCTGGTGGGCGGAAAGGCTGGCTTGATTGGATAATTTAATTTAATTATTGAAGTTGTTGGAGATGAAAAGATGACAGGAAGTGGGGGTCCCCAGGCAACAACGGCGGCTGAGCTGTCGCCACGTCATCACATGAATATAGGCTTTTTGGAGGATTTTTCTCCTCAGCCACTGAAATTGGAAGAAAAAGGGGAATTCAACGGTCAATAGCATCTTTGACTACAAATTTGACCTCATCCTTACATAATTTATTACTGATTTCTGTTTTGTTGAGTAAACTTGTGAAATTTGCACGGTAAAAATAAGCTTAGTTAGCGTGCCAAGTTTATTTACCTCACCCAAAAATTGGTACAAATGAAAATTGAGCAAAATTTACTGCCGTCAAATTCTTCATTGTGATTAAAAAAAAAAGTTAAAATGATAAAGTTAATCGCTTTTTTGCATTTTGGGTGGTGAGAGGGAGTCAATTGTTTGGTCACCTTCATGAGAATGATAGGAAGTAGGAAAGTCAAAAATATTTCTTCTAAACTCTCTTGAACTTAACCAGAGTTTCTTGACAAACCACTTTACATCTGTGATAATATAAGACGAGGCGTGAGAATGTGATTAGAATTTTTAATGTTGTCAGATTAATTCAGTGTGTTAATTACTTTTAAAGCGTATACACTGGCTTTTTCTCTTGATGGAGAGAATCACACCATAGTAAGAAAAGAAAAAATAAGCATAAGTTAACATTATGAGCATAATTCCTCGTAATAGGATTGATTTTCTTCACACAAAAAAAAAGAAAAAGTGAGAAGATAAACATTTTTGGTAGTCAAGTTGACTTCTTCCCATTGCCCTAATAAAATGCAGACACTACGTACAGTGGTAATCCAGAGAGAAAGAAGTAGGATTGATGTTCACTGTGAAAATAATGGCACCCATGAAATACTCTATAGGATTAGGAAACTGTGTTTGGATCGTTTTTTCAGTGTGTGTTTTTAAGTGTTTTTTTATTAGAAATGTAAAAAAAGTATGTTGAGATATGACAGTTAATATTTATTTATTTTGAAATTACCATAAAAAAACAAACCAAACAAAGATATGCGATCTCAACTAAGGCCTTGCAACTTGAAAAACTAACATAACATTTAGTTGACTTGAACCAAGAAAAAAAAACAATAAAAGAGCTTTTGACAGGAACATTAATATAATCTCATTGAGCTTCGCACAGCTCCATCTTTATTTTAGGGGAAAAAATCATTTATTGAATTAAAATATTAAAATAAATTAAATTATATATTTTTATAGTCGGAGAAGAGTTAACACTATTTATTCAGCTACCTGAATTGTTTGAAAGTTGGAACCGATGATGTGGACTATAGTTAAATGGAAGATACATATTTTTTTGCTTTCTAGACAAAAAAAAAAAAAAAGAGCTAATATGGGACATATTGTATTGGGATTAAGATAAATTATTGATCAATCTTTGCAACCAGCTAAGTACGTGGCGGATGGGCTCAATCAAATAGGCAAAAGTAATAATAATACTCCCTCGTTCCAAAATAAGTGTTATTCTAGAGTTTGGACAAAGATTAAGAAAATAATAAATATAATTGATAAATTACTAGAATATCTCCAACCAACCCCATTGAAATAAATATTTACCAATAATAGTATTTCTTTTAAGGGTATATTTGAAAATTTTTGATAAAAAATACATTAGAATCTGAAAACGACATTTATTTTAGAATTTTTCTATTTTATTAAAACGATACTTATTTTGAAACTGGGAAGTACGTAATTGTAAATTGTGGTGATTGATGAAGAGGACAGCATATACAATACGATGATAATGAAGATGAATTGATACCTTGGCATCCATGAAAAGCCAAGTGCGGTTGTTGAGGTTTGATAGGTTTTGCCCAAATTCCCAAGGGTTCATTTCTTTTTCTTTTTTTTTTTCCAAAGCTGGCTTACATAATAATGCAATTTGCGCACCGAGCAAGCAACTACTTACAACTTGCTCCCGGTTTCGGCAAACAACTTACAAAATAACAAACCCGCGTACCGTGTTGGCAACTTAATCGGCATTATTCGCAAACGCAACCATTTCTTGCATTATTCCATAAGAATATATTCCGTTATCATCAAACTTTATAAAAATACCAACCAATTTCTAGCATATTATGTAGTAGTAATTTTCTTTTTTGAAGTTAACTTGATAGTGATTGAAAAGTAACTACTAACACAATACACGTTTAGAGCCCAACACCAACATTGTATAATATAACATCATCACAGTGAAAGGTAATATTCAATGTGATAATACACACTATACCATCTTATATCATTATGCTTTTAATGCGACGTCAAGCTAATTTCTAAGATTTACACTACGCATGGAGACCACATTACAAGCGATGCCGACCCAGGGGGTGGCCAGCCGGTGCGTGGCAACCCCTCTGTTTTTAATTTTTTCCATAATTGTAATATAATTATTATCGAAAAAATACAGTTTCTTCATTTTCGCACCCCCTTAAAAATTTTATAAAAATAGTTAGAAATCTAGCAATTCATTTATATACAATAATTTGAAGCAATGCCTTTTTTATGCTCAATACATGTAAATCTTACGTTAAAAAAATTGAAATAGTAACTTTTAAAGAATATTAATTCCAAATTTTCTAATAACAATGATGTAAAATATCATTGCAAGTCAAGGCCCAAATCATCAATTATAATATACATTTGAGGTTAAAATCAAGACCAAGATTCATAGAACAAAAACATAAAAGCCCAAAATAAAGTTTTAAATTGCTAAATACTAGTTAATGCAAAAACTGAAGACGCGAAATGATCAAATCTGCATGTTTGCGACACTGAAAACCACACATTCGATGTCAATTCAAATTAATCATACTAACTTTTGTTTTCTTGTAGTGGTTTTAACATAATAGGAGAGGAAACTGTGGTTTCTTTTTACCCTATGGATAAAAAATTTGTCAAAATTTACCATTCTTTCTTCAAAACTTGTCACCACTCCTAAAAACAAACTTGAAGCACATAACATTATAGATTCTAGCTGCAAAAATGTATAAAAATATTATTGAGTAGGCTCTAAATTATTTTTATACATCTTTCAATGAGATGTATATTATTATTATTATTTTGGAGAAAATCAAGCACTTCCTTAGTCCCAAGAAAAATTAGTTTATATTAAATTTTAAGATTTATCCTAAAAACCATACAAATATCAAAACTTAATGTAAACTATTTTTCTAAGACGGAACGGATTTTAACAATTAGTATTTTTTTAACACACTTATTCTCTTAACTTTGTTTTGCACCCCCTAATCAAAAATTATGATTCCGCCACTGACTACGTTTAAGCTCCTTATTGGAACTGCAACCTCGCCTCAAGTATCGAATTTAAATCTCTTGTTGACAATGTACCTATACTATTGTGTTCTAACTCTTGTATTAATGGCATCAAAATCGTAGTTGATGAGTTTTCTTCAATGATTCTGAAAACACAATAACACATGCCCAATCCTGTTCACTATTCATTAATCTGTGTTTGTACTTTGGTAGAAGGCTCTATAAATGGATGTCAACTATCACGTGCCCTCATGTTCCAAGGTTCAAACCTCTAATTATGATTGGTATAGACTTTCTGTCGGAGCCGGCCTTAGGGTAAGACTGATGAAGATAAGGCTTTAGGCCCAAATTTTGGAAGGCCCCAAAATTTTATATATTATTAACAAAATGATACATATTTAAAAATATTTAAAAAATTAAGTGTTTGTTTGGACAACGTTTTGTTTTATTTTTTTATTTGGATTTGAGAGGAGATTTAAAAGATAGTTTAGTTTTTTATTTAGAAAGTATTATAATATAGTGACTATTTATGAAATTAAAATAGTTCAGCGACCAAAATGAAGATTTTATAATAGTATAACGACCAAACACAAGACTTTACAATAGTTCAGTGACCAAATGCAATACTTTATAATAGTTTAGTAACTAAACGCAATGAAGACTTTACAATAGTTCAGTGACCGAAACGAAGACTTTACAATAGTGTAGTGACCAAACACAACATTTTAAAAGGTAAATTAAAAAGTTGTTTGGATGATGTTTTTTTCATTAGATTTTGTGTTTAAAAGATAAAATGAGTGAAAGTGGAAAATGAGTCATTAAGAGGCCAAAAATCTAAAATTATCTCAACATTAATCCAAAATTTTAATTTATCCAACTAATATTTAGGCCTCCTAAATTTGATTCTGATTTGTACTCTGAAATTTAGAAAGACTTAAATACTATTTGAAAGGCTTTGATGATTATCTTCACAGCTAATAACTATTTAATCTTCCTATTTTCTTGGTGGGGTTCGACATGCATATTGATTTAATAGTGATACTTTGTATATAATTGACCATGTCATCTTTCTTTAATGTTTATACAATTCTTGATAGTGATATTTATTGATACTCATTTTTAGTAATTGATTAATTTTGATAACCCATTACTAAGCATAGAGTTTTCGTTTCATAAACTAAATCAATATTTAAAAACAAATACTAATATATTAAATTTTGATTTTAGACCTCAAATTTAAAAGTGGCTTTAGGCCCCAAAATAGCTTGAGCCGCTTCTGCTTTCTGTTGTTCTGTAAGGTTCTTTTCATTATGCATGCTAATCTCAAACAAAGAGAATATTACACTACCTTCTTCTTTGTCTCTTACTCATTTTTAAACACCAGTTTATATTGCTAGAAACAATGAAGTTCTTTAATCTCTCTTTTCTGGTCGCGTTAAGAAAAATATGTGAAAAAATTTCGTCTATCCAATATTATATGTGCTATTAATTAAGGAACTAATTATTTTGTGTGACTATAAAAATTTATTAACGATAAATTTATTTTGGAAGAAAATATTTAACCTATTCATTGTTGAGAATGATTTATTGCTTCCGAATAGTATAACATGTAACAAGTAAAAACAATTACACATCAATTGAATAATCTATATTTACTAAGGCAGTTTTCACATAAATCATGTGACAGCTGCACATAAGATATTTTCTCGCCTAAAGTTAGTAGTTAAAACACAGGAACAATTCATAATAATCTATTTTAGTTCCTAAATTCATGCTCCAAATCCAGAACTGCAACACAATCTCCTCACTCCTAAGTACTATTATGAATGGATTCCTTCAAACAAGTCAATCAACGTGATCGTTTCACAAATTAGTTTATGATTCAAATCAAAAAAGAACTCCTAAAACTAAAAAAGAAAAAAAAATATCTATGATTCCAATTCAAATTGCCAATTTATGTTTATGACTTTACAAGTATACTTATATTTATTTTTTAATTATTATGTTATCATAATAAATGTAATTTTTTTCTAAGTTACATAGTGCCTTATTTAACTACTTTGGGGTAATGACGTCGGCTGAGAATCTAGTAATCAAATTAGAGCAATTACATTGTTACATTAATATAGTGGTAATAACAAAAAAAATTAAAATTATATATAATAGACTATACTCTTCATAAATTGTAGTACTTCCTTCATCTGAATCACGTTTACTAAATCATTCAAGCACACAAATAACGACAACTATACAATAATATTTTCCGAGCGAGGACTAAAATTTACATTCTCAAAAGGAAGAACATAATAAAATGAAAATTTTTGAGCAAAAACAAAAACTATACAAAAAGAATTGCAAAACGTTGACTTGAATCATGTCGTGTGTCCAAACACCAAAACTCGCGAAGCTTCACCATCTTACCGAATATCGGTAGTTACTCATCCAGCCCCAAATTATCCTTTCTGTCTGTCCCTGTTTCTAAATCGCTTTTTATTTTTCAATATTTCCTTCCCACCCCAATCTTGGCAACAACAGTGACACACAGTCCAATTCTCACGAAAACCCAAAACAAACACCCGAAACGATTCATTCCCCGAAAAAGAAACCCGAATCCAAAATTCATCAAATTCTATCCTCCCACTCTCAGAACCCTAGATTCGTGAAACCCACAACGATTCTTGATCGAATTAGCTGAAAAATCAATAAAGTTATCACTTTTGGCGCATGGCATCACCTAATAAGAAGCCACCCTCGGAGCCCGACCGTCCACCGGCAGCGATCCTCCACCAGCCAGCTTCACCCCGTTTTCCCTCCGGGACGCCGACATCCAGGGCCAATCGTAAAATCGCCATCGCCGTTGATCTCAGCGATGAGAGTGCTTATGCCGTGAAATGGGCGGTTCAGAATTATCTCCGGCCCGGCGACGCTGTGATCCTCCTCCACGTCCGACCAACCTCCGTTCTCTACGGTGCTGATTGGGGTTCCGTTGATTTATCGGTCACCGATGAAGAATCTCAGCAAAAGCTGGAGGATGATTTTGATAATTTCACCACCACCAAAGCTAACGACTTGGCCCAGCCGTTGGTGGAGGGGAATATTCCGTTTAAGATTCATATCGTGAAGGATCATGATATGAAGGAGAGGCTTTGTTTGGAGGTCGAGAGGCTGGGATTGAGTGCGGTTATAATGGGAAGTCGTGGGTTTGGAGCATCAAGGAGGACCACGAAAGGAAGGCTGGGTAGTGTGAGTGATTATTGCGTGCACCATTGTGTCTGCCCTGTGGTTGTGGTGAGGTACCCTGATGATAAAGATGGAGTTTCTCAGGGTGGTGAGGCTTCAAAGAAATCAGGGGAATTGAAGAATCTTGAAGTGCTTCATCCTGTTCCTGAGGAAGAACCGGTTTACCATGATGCCACTGACAAAGATGCAGGTGAATATTAATCGCATTGTCTCTAATGTATTTTTTCGGATTCGTGTGGTTTAATTGCTTGATCATGAAATTCCTATGTAGACAATTCATAGTTTAGTGTTGGAATTGCTTTGCGTGATATATATTCTCCTGTTGATTGAATTGTTCTTTTAGTAACCTTGTCTAAGTGCTGCTATGTTAAGAAGAGTGTCTTACATGGAAAAGATTTTGGTAGTGGCATGTGCCATACTACTTCAGTTTGTGTGCCAATTCAAATGATATTGAAGTAAGTTTGCATTGTAAAGTCGAATAGAATCTTGTTTTGTTTGCAAAAATCTTTGATTGCATAAGTTACTTTATTGATACTAATCACTTGACTTTGTTGATTATAATCACTTTGGAAAATTATGTTGGAGTGCGACCATTTTTCTCTGCTATTTGGACGTAAAACTTGGGATAGGCTTGCTTTGGTCTCAGGAACATGTAACTTCTCTGCAAGGTTGTTTCTTGCGCTTGTAATCTCTTGGTGTCAAAAAAATTAGAAATGAAAAAGTTCACTGCTTTTCAACTTGATTTCATCTGTTGCTGACTATATTGGGTTCTACAATCAACTGTTTATGAATTAAAATGTATGAATTTATCTTTCTTCAATCACGTTCTTGAGTCATTTCCTTGTTCTAAGTTCACGAAATGAAGAAATGTTCTGGTTGTTGTGCTGATACATGTGTACTCATTTACATTTTAAACTCCCTCTATCCCCAAAACTTAGTCCACATGTTGTACTGTTTTACTACAACAAAGTGGACTATATTTCTGGGATCCGGGGGAGGGGGGGGGGGGCGCGGTGGTGGGGGTGTTGTGGTACTTGATAGTGTTTGAAGAGTTGGGTAGAAATTGGAAGGGGAACTTTTGTCAGTTCTTTGTTCAGTTGTTACGAGACCATTATACTTGTGTTTTACTGCTGTCTCATTCTTATTTGAAGGGTACTCAGTTTTGGGGAATTTCTCTAGGACTACTTTTGTTGTTATTGGGACCATTTTTTGAATGTTGATTGTCTATGGTTTGGATAGGTCAATATTGTAAATAGTATGAGAAACAAAATGACTAATGAACGAGACCATGCATGACAAATTGTGTCGTGGCCCAATGGCAGAGACACTCTTTGCCCATGAATGAGATTTGCAAGAGGGCGTATCCAAAGTCCTCTACCTTCTTTCAGTTGTTTACTTTTATTTTGTGAACATGGTGTTTGATAACCTTATAGATCAGACCCCTTATTAGAAAGGGGAAGAGTTTTCCATTGATTTACTTTAAATATGTCTTCATAATATTTTAGATGTGGTTCACGATAAGCCAGTTTCTGCAAGTTTTGTAGAGTGTTGTGACTTAGTTCTCTCTTTATCTGTGTGTGTAAAGCCATTAAACTTGTCTTGGTCAATATCTGACTTAAGCTTTCATTTGATGAAAGATTTGGAGAAGGCATCGTGAGCAGACGGACTAGCTACTAAAAGGATTTGAAGTGGTGTGTTTCTTCCCTTTGTAGCTGAGTGGTTGATTTGAGGTCTTTCTTGCCCACTGTATTTTGAGGTCAAATGAAGTTTGGAATGATCTTTCCTTTACCTTGAGCTTCCAAATATGTTACGCCTTTTCGTTTTTTTTTATCTCTGTTCTTTTTTTATCAATTTATCATCAGTACATTGATTGACTTCCAAACTCCATCTACAGCTTTTAGAGTTATCTAAAAGCTAGTAAAAATGGTGGGAGGTGATTACAATATCATGTACCAATCGAGTAATTATTATGTGGATAATGAAGAGGTAAGGACAAAAGAATCTTATTCAGCCGCCTCAACAACTCTATTTCTTATCGGCCTTTGAATTGGCCGACAGCTATTGGAGCAATTGCTGATTACCTGTTAACCTTCTCTTTAATAGACACATTCTTCTCTGTAGTTCGGGTTAGTTTTTTTTAAAGCAATGAAGTGAACTGTCTTTGTTACCCCATCAACGGCCTTACTCGTCAACCATTAGAAGGTTTCTATGTAACGAAGCTAGTAGGTAGGATGGGGGATGAAGTGGGGGATGAGATTCATTCTCTTTGGATGGCTGAATTTGGAGGAAACAATGTTTTTAGTTTGATTCTCCAGTTGACCTGTAAATTTTATTAAGGTGTACACCTAATGAGCTCAATGCCTGTGGAAGGTTTAAGTTGTGTGATGATTAATGAAAGTGTAGATATGTTGAGAAAATGTTTGGATAGTTGAGAATTGGGTTACCTTGAAAAGGTCACTATGATTAAATAATGAGTGAATCTTTGCCTGGGGTACGGTGAAGGTCATGAAATAAATAGAACATTCAACTGGTACGTTTATCAGATTAGCTCGAGAAGCCCGAAAAAGCCAATGATGAATCTTTATTAACCATGCAACTATATTTCCCCAAATTAATTGTTTTGTTGTTTTGTTTTAGTTCAAGTTATCAACTGTTTAACTAAGTAGACTTTTTTGTTTGGGATGGCGGACGAAGTTCTGGGATGAAGGAGTGCGTAAATGACTTTTTTGTTTGGGATGGCGGACGAAGTTCTGGGATGAAGGAGTGCGTAAATGATCTGTTTTGTATCTTAATTATATCTACAAGTTAACAAGTCTGCAACCAAACTTTACGGGACCTTCATTTTGGCTACTAATCCTTTCGTCGCAGAAGGCAGATATGAGTCGCCTTCCTAAATTGATCTCGAAGAGGTATTGCAAAGGTTCGGCAATTAGCAAGTAAGCTTGTAATCTTCAGAAATTTCCTGCAGTGAAATTATTGGTCACTTATAGAGTTCGAATTGCTGCAACAAAAGCTTATTTTCACTAAGAGATACTTAAAGTTAATTATCCTCTCTGATTTAGCAAGAGATATGCACTTATTTGGCTAGCTAAGCCTCTCTTATTGTTCATTGACAGGCGAATAAGAAAATCATAAGCAATTTGGATTTCTTAGAAATTTCGCTCGTTAACCAACCAGCATAAGCAATTAGTTTCTGTTTTGTGGTTTTTACTTGCATTCTTTATGGTGTAAGCCTTTAAGGTTTCTTGATATGGATTCTTGCAAATCTAACAGAGCGCGACTCTAAATTTACGGAAGCTTGTTTCAAATTACGGTACCAAAATTTACACTTGTTCCACCTATAACTTGCCAAGACAACCAAAGACTCCGGAATATTTCGATTCAAGAATTATTCGAATAGAAAATTTAAAATATGAAAGACAAAAAGATGGAAGAACTGTTTTCGGATCAAACCCTATTAGAATGTGTCAATTAAATTCCCACCTTGCGATGGAAACAAATCGATTTGTTCCAAAAGGGCCACGAATTTAGTATCCAAGTTGAGAAACACCAAATCTCGAACAAAGATAGCCGCGCAGTTTGCAAGAAATCAAATTCAAACTTATACACATAAAAGTTAATCACCCAGATTAATACAAAAGAATTTCACTCGTTCTAATCAAATATCAATCAAAATTCATCAAATCACATCATTAAAATTTCTGCCAAACACTCCTATTTATGGGAAGAAACGGGTCTTTACAAAGGAAAGCCCAAATTCAAGAAAATCCTAATTAAATTTGAAAAAATATTAAAATAACTAAAGTTTAATCCTATTAAAAAAGTAAGTGAAAAGTCTACTTCTATTACAAGTAAAACTTTTATAATTGGAAATTACCAAAAAGAGTAAAAATCTTGCAATAAAAATTACCATTAACATCGTAAAAGTGATTAGGGTTTTAAAGAGGCCTTAAACCCGTAAATCCACATCACTTACGTTTGGTTGTGGAGGATTTTATGGTAGTGATAGCATTATGTTGGTTAGCTTATCACCATTCTTTGATAAAACAGTTTTAACTCGTTAGTCAATCCGAGTTTCCAATACACGAGAATAAGTAGCAAGACAGAACCATGGTCAATCAAAGCAAATAATGGGAGTACGAGCTTAATCTTCATCGTTAGACGCAAGTTATTAATGGATAGCGCCAATAATCGAACTTCATATTTACTTATAAAACTCTAAAAAATAGTAGTATGTGAATGTGTTTGGCACGTGAAGGTGTCTCTTTTCTTCAGTTTCCTAGGATCCTATCTATTATTGGGAGAATATAACGATAGTATCTAGTTGGTATTTTATTTAAATACGCAGCAATGAACCATAAAGCTCACATAATGTGTACATGTTACTTCCCCAGATGATAGATGCCATGTGTGGTTTCGCAACTTGTACTAGGTTATTTTTATCATCATTTATTTATTAATTTTTAGGAAAAAATGAAGATAGTTTAGAGAAATAATTATCCACATCATATCCTGTCTGACTTTTGTCACTCCTCCGTAGCTTCTTGTTGATCTGGCTTTCGGCCTTCGGGTCCATTTCCAAGAATTTTGAGTTTTCAATATTCAGACAAAAATTTATTTACTGTTTCTTTTCACTCAAAAAAATAGATCCATTTTGTTATATTCCTTCTTACAAAAGCATAATTCGTATTGTAATTTATAAAATTGTTGTACTAATAATATTACAACTTACAACTTGTTATGTAGAGTTTTTTGGGGGAAAGAAAAGAGTAGTACAATTTTTTGGGGGAAGGATGATAAAGTCGTACACTCATAATCAGAACCAAATATTGCTGGTGTTCCACACTAACATCCAACTTATGTAAAAAGATTTCTTGTATAATAAATTACTGATATTTTTAGCCCAAATTGGAAAGCACTCAGTTTAAATTACTTTCTTATCTCGAAATTATTATTTAATTTGGATTTTCGATTTTATTAATAATCAAAACTTTAAACGGAATAATCATTTTGATATGATGAGAGAGTAAATAGCTTCTATTGACGAGTTTGGTGGCTGCGCAAAATGCAAATGAAAATTATAACGTGGGAATAGTAGGGAATCAAAGGGTCAAAGGCCAAGGCTGAAGTAAGCCAAAAATCAAAGCGGGGTCCGGAACCAAATCAAAATCAAAACTTGTGGCTTAGCACCAAACTAGGAGTCGTCAATAGCCCGTACGTACCCATAAACCAAAAATGAGACTGAAATTCTATTTTAAAAAAATCACAATAATGCGATTTTTTTTTTAAAAAAAATTTAACTACTACATATGATTTTTCTTGCTAATAAAAATTCAGTACTACATTTTATTAGTCACCAAAAAAAAAAAAAATTACCATCATATCTATATGTCCCTTAATTCCGTCGTTGGATATACATGTGTAGGATAGGAGGGAGGATATTATAAGTTCAACCTATCAAGCACTGGTTCAATGGATACATCGCATATTATAAACAGAGAGAAGAAGATTCAAGGCCGTCCAGAGAAAGTGATTCTCAATTAATTAGTGACCACGAAACATTGAGTAAAAGCAGAAGATTTTTTTTTTTTTTTTTTTGGTGCTTTCATTATTATGAATTATCAAAAAACCAAAAAAAAAAAAAAAGTGGGGGGATTGCCGTTTTCATCCACAGAAATTCCTACCCTGCAAAATCAATAGGGACCCATCCCACTTCTTCAATATCAAAGTTCAGCCACCAAATTTATCTTTCGCAATCTTGGAATGGAATCATGGGTTAGAAATAAGATTGTTTTTAATTACTTATTAAGAGTGATTTGAGTCATTAATTATTTGATTAATCGTAGAGACACCAGTGTTCAATTATATAGTCAAATGAGACATTGAAAAATTAAATTATATATATTTGGTGGGGTTGGTTTGACAATTTAATATCAAGGGATTCTGTTTTGATCAACTTGCAATTGGTTAGTGTAATTTACTAACATGGGGGAACAAAGTCATAGACAAGAGAATGCATGCTAGTTTTCTTTTCTTTTTAAGACTAATAATTTGGTCTGCTTCCTTGTCCTTAATTGTGCATTTTGTTTTAGTTAGGGAGAACACCTTAAATACTTTTCTATGCGATGTGTTTCGTTTTTTTTTTTAACATTTTTTTTAATCACGAAATCATTGACATTATGCGGTAAGAAACTCTTAAGTAAATCATGCTCTTTATACTTTTTTTTTATTTTTTTTTATTTTTGGATAGGCCTTGTTACAGGAGATCATAACATAACGTGGATAAAAAACTCCAATTAGGTCATGATGTTCTAACCACGATCTAACTTCTTTCGAATGAGTTGACGAGGGTGGTATCCTCCTGGACTCCGAGAAGCTGTATTCGCCATACATTCAACAGCAAGAAGCTAATTTCACTATTGAGGTTTGAATATGGTTTTTGATAGTTATGATAATAAATTCAAATCCATACTTATGGGGGAAAGAAAAACGTAACTATAAAATCACAGTCAGAAGAAAGCTTAAACATACTCCAAACTCAGCATTGAATCAAGGAACAAAGTATCATAAACTCACTTCAATCTTATCTATAATTTACGAGTTCAAACTTCAAACCAAATTGATAGTTTCAAAATGATGTCTTATTTTATAGTAATAAATTGAAGAAAATATAGACAAGTAGTAAAAATGTAGTCATTCCTTGAAATGATAGCCAAATGCAAAAGACATGCGGAAGGTCTGCTCTTATCTTGTCAACGTTGTCACATTTGGGAAACAGACAACAAATACATGATCATGCACCAATAATTTCCAAATTTTGGAACTGAAAAAAACTGAAAAGCATTCTTCATTGCCAATGAGTACAGCCATGACTCGTCAAACATCACAGTTTCCGCTGGAACTTCATTATCCCTCCTCATTATTTTCCTCTGCTCTCAAAATAATACTACCTCTGTCCCAAAAAAAAAGTCCACATTAAACTTCTAATTTTATACTAAAAACAATACAAAATTTAAAACTCAATGTGGACTAACTTTTTGGGACGGAAATAAAACTAGCGTTTAATTTAACGTAACATATCATTTTCAAACGTGTCGAAATCGAATGTTATTTATTTTTTCATAGATATATAGCAAATTCGTGTTATCAGGGCATCAGTTAAGAAGAACAGTATTGATTAATAATTAAAAAAAAAAGATGAAAGATGTGAAGTTAGATATTTTAGGGGCTCCACTAATTACGTCCAACTCATACAAATATTAAAATGGAAACAATCAATCTAACTGGAATTCCATATACAACACCTTGACGAAGATGCTATCTGTTCAAAAGTGGTAAAAATGGTAGTCATTTCATACATCAAAATTATCTCTGCCAACAACAAGTCAATAAAGTTAATGTAGCCTCTAATTTGATCTCCAAATCTTGATCATCATCTCCATTGCCGTGATGCCCCCATATGGCCTGTGATCTTTCAATCCTCTGATTAAGAATGAAAGTTTAATTACTCATAATTTCAATTTTAATTTGTGTGTGTCTATGTCTTCTCTTTAAAAAAAAAAAACAAGGAAATGTGGTCCACTTAATTGCTTTAAATAAACTATAAGAGGTAACACGCTTGTTTATACATTGGGTGACATTTTATATGAAAAGAACACTACAAAAATTTAATGGAAAAAATTACATGTATCATGTAATTATGGATGTGTAAATAATGCATAATTTAAAGTCACAAAGGACTGAAAATAAACTAGTATAACACGGTTAACAAGATAAAGCAGAGAGAAACAGAGCATCTCATATGATTAAAATCAATCAAGCAAGAAAGAACTTACATCATCAACATCATATGCAGGAGATAATCTGGCATTTTTTCCCATCAATCAGCAAGGAACTAGTAAAAAAACCCAAATCTTGAATTTGATTGGCCATTTCTCCTCGAAGATCTTTTCGTTGAAGAATCTTCACTATTACTTGAAGAAGAACTCGAACTCAGGGGAGGAGGAGAAGGTGGTGAATTTGTTCCGACCAAAGGCACAACTTGATTGTCACCATCACCTTCATCACTACCATCATCATCATCACTGTCTTCATCATCATCATCATCATCATCATCCTCATCATCTTCATGATTACCATGATCATCATCATCTTGATGACGGCGGCCATGATCAACTGCTCTGTTTACAGTTCCATGGGCAGCACAGGACTGACAAATTGAGACAGTTGGGCCAAGTTTAGGTCCGGAAGCAGTCCATGGAGTTGGAGATTGGCAGGAGTTGCACAAAAGAGTCCTCAAATGCTTTGCCACAAGGAAATTGGCACCATGAACTCTAGAATCACAATCCCAACACAGGCTTGCTTGATCTGATTCACAGTACATTCTTGCAGCAGAGTTGCAGAGTTCACATTTCTTCATCTTTCTTTTTCCTTTGTCCGTCTTTTTCTTAAAGTCCGCTAAATAAGTAGTGAAGAAACAAAAAGAATTTTTGAAGGGTTGTTGTTAATCAGTCAAGAGAAGTGTGTGAGAGATATTTATCTACTTCAGGTGGGATTGGCTGCTGCAATTCGATTTTTTATGTTAGTATATTTTGTCCTGGTTTTCCGGCTAAAACAGAGACAGAGAAGAAAAGATGATGGGGGCAAGTGGCAGGTGTTTTGGGGTGTTTCCTTCTTCTGCCATTGTGAATCACTAGTGTAATAAAGTCATGAATAATAGCATGGCCAATGAGGGGGCAAAGGGAAATGAATGAATGAAGTAGCATTTGGGAGGGGAAATAAGTTCCATTCAAGTAAACAAAATTATATAAGCCAAAATGTTGTTATTGGTCCATTGATTTTTATTAATCCTTCCGTCCTGATTGGTCTTTTTTTTTTTTAATCTAGAAAATGTCAAAAGATCTTATGTGTTACTTTCTGCGTTATCATTATTCGTGTCTTAAGTGTTTCGTAACCTGACACGTGTTTATTTACTTATTCATCGAAATTCACTAATCATTTTGTTAATGATCTCAATATTTATTACGAAGACAAGCGCCTAGCTACAAGGAGTTTAATACAAGTGTTCACAAAAAATCCTACATATTATGTGTCCCATAATAATGGTTCAATTTGTAAAAATGATTAAAGTGATTGATTTTAGATTAAATTACTTTCAGATATGATATATGCCCCCAGTTAAGAGCATGTTCAGTGCTGAAGCACACAATTTGCAAATTGGGAAGCCTCCTTTATTCCGCTTGCTTTTGTGTAAAATCAAATAATTCTTGATATTATCAAGTTGAATTCTCAAGTCAAGATTCAAGGGTCACAATACTGATTGACATGATAGTTAACCCCCTTTGGACTATCTTGTTGTTTAGCGTTCTTTTTTCAATGTTCCCCCTAACTAATCGGACAAATATTAACGGTGAGAACTGAGAATCAACGAGATGGTATTAAAAAAAAATGTTTTTTTTTTTGTCAAGAAATTTGAATCGTGCTAAATAAACGTTATCGTTATTTGTACATTGAATTTTTTTTTTTTATAACAAAATCACATGAATTTTTTTACGATTGAAGACTTGAAGTCATATGTTCTGAAATAATTATCTAATTCTAGTTTTCATTTTTCGTTCAAGTTGTATTAAAAGTAAAAATAAAATGTTTAGTTTAAGAAATTGAAATATGTAACTTTTTAGAACGGATGTAATACATTTGACGAAGGTCGTTTTTGGGTCTCATAAGTTTCAAACCTTAACAGGGAGGTTGAGGTACTTAATCATCCCAGTTAAATATGATGATTAATGTAAATACGAACAGTTCCTATTTCTAACCAAACAAAAAACAGCTCTATTCTGTCTGGACAAGTTAAAAAAGAGGGAGCTTACACACCGCAAATTTATGTGTGAATCTAAATCGATCCCCCAGACAGTACTACTTCGAATCTTTCTGGCTCCCATTTTGAAGAAAATTCATGTTATTCAATTTGATTGCTTGAATTAATTAACTTTGATCAAGATTTTTTTTTTGTCCCACTTGCCATGTTGTACGACGACTGCTGTTAAAATAATACTCTTTAACATTATCGTAAATCATAGTTCTTTTAGTTAAATAATCTTACAGATTGTTACAGGTGTTGGTTTTAGATCAGAGCTGTGTTTTTTCAATTAGTGATACAGATTTACTGAGAAGTTCATCAATAGGTAACTGATGACTAATCATATATAGTAGTACATTAGAGAGTAGTTGAAAATTCATTAAATTTTCCAGTTATTCTCCACTTTCCTTGAACTGTACCGCAAAAATTATTACTCCTTCTATCCCAAAATTATTGTTCAGTTTGAGATTTCACTTTTAACACAATTTGAACTAAAAATAAAAATTCAAACTGGACAATAATTATGGGACGGAGGGAGTATTTTGCAATCATGGCCGCACAAAAACCACTTTAGAAGTCATCCCCATAGGGACTATACGTAAAAGTTACTTCCTCCAGGCTAAGAAAATTTATTTAAACTAAAAAATTAATGAGAACAATGATTATATTTTATAGGCAAAGAGTGTAAAGTTTTTAAACCTTGAGAAAGAAAAAAATATCACTAGTCTATACCGCAAATGTAATGCACATAATACTGCTTCCCCACACCACCCCGGCGTGATGAGTGACAATTTGATACAACAATGGACTAGGAATACAATTGACTTTATATATTGCATTCTTGTTATCTCAAAATAAAAATCATATTTTTATTATATTATATAGTTCAACAAATAGAGATTTTGATTTTGGGATTCTTGGAAGAGCCATTCTTGTTATGTGATTGTCATTTTAACGGGAATCATGAGATAATCTTGATCGGATAATCGGCTCAATATTACTTTTAGTTCAAGTTGGATAAATTACTTTTCTTTTTCAGTCAGTTCATCACCGTACGTGATGGAAAAATGGATTTTAAAACCTCAAAAAGGGGAAGAACTCGATGGGTCCGACGACATCATGGTGAACAATTGAAAGTCAATACAAATTACCCTAAAGCTCACTTAAACCTACGTATTTAGGCATTTTTTCTTAAAAAGAATTAAAAGAGGAACTCGATAGAGTTCGCTTACTTCTCGTTGATTCTTATATACATACAACTTTTTTTTTTAATTTTTTTTTTTATGTCCTGCAAACCCAAAAAACAAAAGGAAAAATGAAACTAAAAATACTTTAATACAAATAAAATGGTTTGAAAATATGAGCAGCATTATTTTCTACCATCTCAATCTGCTCTTTGGAAAGGTGCATATAAACCACCCAGTCTCCATTTCCAGATGGGCTTGGCATGGGCATGACGTAACCCGATTGTGAGGCCCATGGAAAATGGTAAGACCCAAAAACTGGAGCGCCCCAGCCAAAATCCATTCTCCTAACAGGAAATCTCAGTCCAGATGACACCACCAAAGCTGGCTCCTCTTTGGTCACTTTGGATGCATAGATTTTCGCCAATAATGGTTCAGGACGGTGGGCCTCCACAAAATCAATAAGCCCAAGAAAATGTTCTTTTGTCAATGCCTCATCAAGAAAGTTGTGAACCTCATTTGCAATCAAACTCAAGGGCAATTCTATCAATTCCTTATTTGTGAATTCTCCAAATGGGATGGAAAGAACATTTCCAAAGTATGTAGCCATTGCTAATTTAGTTTGGATTCGATCGTCCCCTTCGACTATTCTAGTCCTCCCGTCGACCACAATCCCTAACCGACTGTAAGTTTTGGTGTCGCTCGTACTATTAACGCTCGTCCTAGTGGCTAACAATTTCCATAGAAATGCACAAAAGGACTCAAACTTGCTCCTCTTCGATTTTGGGCAGTTGTTACCGTAGTTGGCTAATAGTTGGAGAATGCGGACTTGTTCGGCTTCAACGTAATATATACGACTTATGGGGGTTGATGGTGGGAGAATGGTACAATTTGTTGTTGGTTCGTTCTTAGGAGGTGGTGGTAATGTGGAGATTAAAACGTACATGTCATTTAAGGAACACTCGAATTGGCCGGGCCGGCGAGGAGAAAGCAACGACCGTCGGAAGGAGGGAAGAATGGAAAGGGTTTTGGATTGAGACAGTTCGGCCCATGACACCAAGAACATGTTGGCTGAGTAGGCGTCGGCGACTCGGTGGTCGAAGGTGCATCCCACCACCACTCCTCCGCACTTGAGTTGTGTCGCCTATACATCATCATTATTCAAGTGACAACTGTGAATTAATTAGTGAAACAAGATTTATGTTCTTTTTCTTTACGCGAAAATAATACTCAATATGATTCATATAATTGGGATAAATTCCCAAATTTTAGACGACTTAGATTATACAAATAAAAATATTCTTACATACTTGGCTAGACTCCAAGATTTCCATATATTATTTCAAACTTAGAAGTTGTTACTCCTTTAGTTTCAAAATAAAATAATTAAAATAAGGATAATAATTTGGGCATGAAAATTTTAGAGAGAATTTGTAACAAAAAATGAATCATAACTGGTCATTTGGGGTTTAAGAATTTAAAGTTATGACATAATTTTGAATTATGCTATTGTCATGTAACTTTTTAATTATTTTATTTTAATGCAATTGAAATTCCCAAAAAAAATTTTAAATTGATAATTACACATCATTTCCATGTAAATTTTTCTTGTATGTATCACAACTCTTGAAATTATGCCCGTACTACAAATCACACTTCATTCTTTTTTGGGGGCTGGAAATAATGAAGTTACCATAGACTTAATCCATGCGTTCCATTATTGAACTGCGTCTTACGCAGTAAACTTGAAATTGATGACTATCATGCAAGACATCAACGTACGTATAAATTACCCTATCCATTCATTTATTTTGTTGAAAAATGACTATTACCTTCAACACTGATTCTTTCTCTTTCTCTTTCTCTTTTGGACATTTTTATTTTATTATTAAAAAAAAACAACGGTTGCGTTGTTTCTGTTTATTACGTCATATTAGTACTACAAACAGGACAATCTTTTGGAAATCATAAAGGTTAATTAAATAAAGCACAAATTAGCTGTATGTTGATGGTTGGTACTGACCTGAACGGCCAGGACGCCGTTTTTCTTAAGAGGAACAAGTTTGCCTTCAACGCTCTCGTCGGGGTTGTACAAATTGAGTTCCCGGAGCTCGACATCAGCGTAGGCCTCCACAAAATCCACTCCCCGGTTGTTGCAAAGGATCTCCGGCTCCCCAACCATATTGGCATCCATCTCTCCGGCGAATGCATAGTATATGACCAACGCCTGGCTCAATGCATTCTTGAGCACTTTGACTAGTGAACCGAAGTTGTGATGACCGGCGCCGGAGATGAATTTCGTCGGTTTTTCGTAGCAAAAGAAAACGCCGACGTCGACGGGAGGCAAGAGCAAGTCAAGGTTGGAAAGCGGCAACCAGTGCTCGTGCACTGGAAGCACTGCTGACACAACCTCGCTCTTGCTTACCTTCACCTCGAAGGGGGCCATTTCCTAATTTTGCTTCTTCAAGCTAATTACACTTTTTATGTTTATAGCTATAATAGAGGTGAATTGGATTCTATATATAAGCGACATATACATATAGTAGTTGCTGGATATTTTCTTCTAATAAATTATGGTAAACCATTCAACTGGTCCTTCATTTTATGTACAATATCCCATTTGCCCTTCATCTGTAAAAATGCAATCAGTTCCGTCCACCTCGATCGTTGCCTAATGTTTCAATCTAGTCCATACTCCATATACCATTCCATTTGTTTCAAAATTATTCTTCTGTTCCGAATTTCACTTTTAGCTCAATTTATACTAATAAAAATCTAAATTAGACAATAATTTCGGAACAGAGAAAGTACTTAATATCATCGATACATTGGATAACTCATGACTGCGTTCAACAGGACACGATTTTTTCTGTTAGAGGATTTTTTTTTGTTAATACTATTATTAATGTAAATTACGTAGATGAACTCACAATTTTGGAGGAAATTGCCGCTCACACAATCATCTCTTCCACCTATATTATGAGTTATGAGAAATATATTTTCTGGATTGTATTAAATTATCAGAAATGCAATATATATGGGGATGGAAATTAGAACTTGTCGGAAATGATGGTCAAAAGCAGACCCTGTCCAGAAATTGCCGGACCATCGAGTAATTTGCCCCACCCAATGTCTTTCTAAAAAAGGTTTCTTGTATTTTCTAAACTGTGACGCATTCAGCTCCCGTTAGTTGTGCAAGTATTTTACTAGTGAAGTTTTTGATTTCTTAAAATTTGGTGGCTTAGTTTTTAGTTAGGTATTAATTTTATGTGTATGTTTTTACTGAAGAAGTTCATGTTGCCTACTATGCTTTTTTTCCCCTAAAAAAGAGAGAGAGGGAGAGAGAGATCGGGCTGGAATTTCAGAACATGGACGGCGTTATAATAAAAATGTATAAGTAATGAAATGGGTATTGCTAATTAAGATATTTCTTCCGTTCTGATATAAAAATTTTGTTTATTGAACTAAGATTTTTGTTCTAGGACAAAGGAAGTATTTGATTGTGGGAATCTTAAGCGAAGGAAGATAAAAAGCCAAATCTTTGTGAGGGTAAATCTTGTCAACTTCATGGTACAGTAGTGTTATTATTATGCTCCACATAAATTGTGCCGGTAACGGAACCAAAAATATTTGGATCTCATATATTGTCTTCTTCTCTTGAGCCTGCCGGAACGGATTGTTTAAATTATTTTTTTCCCCCTCAGTTAATCTTACATTTTCAAAGTAAGATTTGTATATTGGGTTGAAGCTGATACTCTATTATAAATTCAACATTTTCTCAGATATATTACGTATTTTTTTTTCTATCTCGTGTTAATATTTCTTTTAGTTGAATTGTTTTGATTCGTTAAAAATGGACTATCCATCAATATGAAAGTGTGGAAATATTGATTTAGTGTTTCGGGCAGCCTAATTTTTGTTTAAGTTTTCACTATACCCATCAACTTTTTCATCAAATGAGAACTCAACATGTTACTCCAATCACATTGATGTTTGGAAGTAGGAGACAATAATTTACTGTGGCGTACGTAGAGGCATGCATGGTGATGTATCACAAACCCCGCCCCCTCCCCCATAACTACTATCCAACGGCCACGTTAAACTTTAGTCCTTTTCTTTTTAACCCCATTGGCTTAGTTTAGCTCTGGCCGTACGAGGAGTCGATTTCAACCCAATAAACTATCTCCAATCGAAAGGAAAATTTTCCTACCTGAATGGAAATTAATTAGTTTGGAGCATCAAATATCATTGGTTGGCGGCAACGATAATTATTAATTAGTTGTAAATAAAGAGGGTTGGTGCTGGAATTAAGAAATTTCTACATTGTTCTTACTGAGATTGCCCAACAACATTTATATTTTTCTGGGTTTCTTCTCCTTTAGCCTACTTTCAGTTGGTCTTTGAATAGTTGAAATTTTCCTCCTTAACATTCACTACTTCTTGACCAACCTTGATTGATTATCGTCATTTTTAGAAATGACCTATCAGCATCCATCCAATTATATAAGTGTTAATCTAATGAAATGTTTGATGGCTTCTTCAAGACAAGATACAGATTTTCAAGGGTTTTGTTGTCAGCTTATTTCATCATTTAGACTATGAATTGACCATATCGTGTTAGCAAATGACATAGTATTAGTCACCACCTTGTTGAGATCGATACGTAAACATGGTAATCTAAATCTCACATTAATCAGTCAATAATTATTGAACTCAAGTAGTAGTAAAGGATTTTGAATTCCTTAATTTTCAAGTTAAATACTCCCTCCGTCCTATAATTATTGTCCACTTTGCCCAAAAAATTTTGTCCCAAAATTATTGTCTAATTTGACTTTTTATGGATCAAGTTACACATTTGTCCTTAGTAAAAAACATTATCCATAAAATCTTAGTGGTTAAACAATTACTTATGTAGGAATATATCCGGTTGTTTAAGGTAAAATATAGTTAAGTTTGACAAAAAATAAAATCTTTCATTTTAGTAAAACTGGACAATAATTATGGGACGGAGGGAGTATATCACAGCAAATTTATAACTGACCATTGATAGTCTCTCGATTCTAAAATTGATCCGAAACCTACTAATATATGCATATATAGAAATTTGTTTTTGTCGAAACAGTTACATGCATCATGCCTGCAACAAACAGTATAAAGTGATTAAGAATCACAGGACTAACGTAGTTTCTTCTTCCCTTTGTTTTTTCTTTTAGCTCTATGCTTTTGTTTCTGTCACCTAATCGAACAACCCTAACATTAAAATAAAAAAATAGTTACCAATAAACTTCAATGATCTGGTCATCAGTAAAACTAGCTAGCTAGAGCTAGTTAAAATTATAATACATCTGGTTGTTGAGGGGTTGATTCATATCTCTCTCTCGCACATTTTCAAGTTTTATCTGCGTACTGCAGAGATCCAGTTAACAATTAATTTGTTCTATTTAATTCAACAAGTTACTATCTAGTGTACTGAGCATGCCCAACATTTGTCACTCTCTAATTGCTTGTTGAGTACCGCAGAAGAGTGTACATTTTTGTTAATTTAATTATTACGAGATTGATTGAGACCTATGAATCTTCACTTTTACACACACTTCACAAATGGACCAAACCGAGAAGACTATCGATAATTTTATAATTTAAGTGGTTGTACATTTTCATGGCCTTTTTTGCTGGATGGTATTAAAAAATTGCACTTATCCAATTGTTGGCACACGCTTGCATTTTCAGGTGTAACTGACGGAAAAGTTGTAAACTTTATGAAGTCTGAGTTTTGGCAATGGCAAAGTGGACAAATGATAGCCTTTTACTGGACAGGAAATAAATCAAATCTTAATTTTGGAATTGGTTAATTTAAATTGATTTAACCCAATACGGAGTCAACTTGAACCACGCAAGCAGGTAGAAACATACACGCATGTCATACTCGATCTAGCTAGCTCTATTTAATGTATTCTTTCCATTAAGAATAATTGTTGTATTCGTTAAACTAAAATATGATACTCTCTTCGTATAATAAACGGAATAGCTATTTTGACACCAAAAGAATAATATAAATAAGGCTATCATTTTGAGATGCACAAAACGTATATACAAAGACAAATATGGGGGCGCTTCTATTATGTATTATAAGTTTGAGATTGATCATAATTATAAAGTATAAATTAACTCAGAAAGAAGAACCATTTCCCGAAAAAAAAAAAAAGACTCGCTGGAATGCATATATTTAAGCACTTAGGCGTTTAATCTAATGGAAACAAGAAAAAGCCACAAATAGAGTTTAATATAATATTCCATCTATCTCGAAATTATTTTCCAATTTAGATTTTTATTTTTAATTTAATTGGTACTCCATCCGTCTTATAATTATTAGTACCAAACTCACATATAAACATTTGTTTCCCACGTATTGTTTTGTTTTACAAACATGTTGGAGAACGTAAAGAATCACAAACAAAAAAGTCTCAACCTTGTCAAACTGGCCAGACCATTAATGTATAGTGAGATAAGGTCAATCCAACATTTGTCATCCAATTACGTGAGAAACTACCTAAAAAAAAGGTTTGTAGTTTTGGTTTTGGAGGCCAATGGGGGCAATGGGCAATGAGAAGTGAGGTCAAATCTAACATTTTTCCTACTTGAATTAGATGGCATAATTCGATATTAGTACAAAACACTTGATACCTGTGGTTAATGAACACATCTCAAGTCAGTTTAATTATGATTTATGATTGAAGTATTAGGTAGTATGAGCATATAACAGTAATTATAGAAGTACTTGATATGAGAGTTTTACTTTTCAAAAAGATTTGACCTATTCGTAAAAGAATTAGATCGATTGTAGTATGTGCATGCATAAATTTACCTTATGAATTTTTGGGGTAAAAAAAAAAGAAAAGAAAAATAAACTAGCTTGAGGAAGGTCCCAAGCACGCACATTTTTCGCCTTTTGAAACTTAAAACCTAATCTTATCCTAAATTTCAACACAATCACTCGTCAACATAATGACGTAAGTCAAGATAAATTAAAACATTAACAAATAAATACGTCAAAATCTTCATTACACTCAATTGAAACTCTGGCTGTAATGAAAACTTGTGGACGAATGAATCTGGATTGGAAAGAAGAGATTATTTATGTTTACATTTTGCATTAATGGCCCAATCCGGCAATTTGGATCTAGTACCAAGTTCTTTGTGCACACTTGTAGTAAAACACTTAAAAAAGACCAATCATAAATTACAATGTCCAAATTAATACTAATATAGTTACACCAATGATCACTCACTCATGTCAATCTTTGGACATGATATATATGATTTGGTCGCATGAAACCATGATCTAAGTTCACGGTAATGTCCTAATGTTCGAAATTATTCATTGGTTTCAAGTGCAAAAAAAAAAAAAGAAAAAAGACGGTGATACAATTCAATTACCTATATGTGATAAAATGAATGAACGAATGGAAGGTTCATAGGAACAAAGATATAAGCCGATCAATATGATCAAATTAGAGTTGATACAAATAATTTGATCCTAGTTAGCTCCGAATTAATCAATGATGAATCATCATATAATTAATAATAATCATGAACATTGTTTTAGAACTTCCTCCACCAGCAATTTCGCACTCTTCATTAGATCAGGGCTCAACCTAAACATTAGGACACAGAATTCCATCTCATTCAAATTCCCATCACCATCCAAATCACCTTCTTCTAACATTGACACCAAATCCTCATCCTTCATGTCATGCAACCCTAACGAAGCCGAATTCAGCCTCAAGCTCTCCAATGTGATCAATTCCTTTTCCGGATCCATCAACAACCGAAACCCGTTGCACAGCTCCGTCAAGAACCCTTCCGCCCCTAATTTCTCCACCATTGTTGGGAAAAAATCTTCAAACACGATCTGATCACTTTTGTACGCCATCACCTATAAAAATATCTCAAGCAAACTATAAAAAAAATAAAAATTATCACTAGACTGTATCACTCGCAATCGCGAAATTCGCTAAACAAAAGTCCTAACTCAACCCAAAGAAAAATTTAGATGATTTGATGGTTGGGGAATGAAATAACAACAGGAAAAATGGCTACATATAAATAGTGAGAATCAAAAAGAAGGGTAAAAAAAAAGGATAGAAGGGAAATTTCTTGGCCTTGATCGGAGAAGGGTGCGGAATGTGCCAATGAAAGTACATAAGGGAAAAAGGGTTATAAAGAGGAAGATGCATATTTATGTTGGGAGAAACAAAAAAACAGGTGCTTTTTTTTTGATAGTTGCGGTTAGAGTGCTTTGGCAGAAAATTAACATCAACTCTTTTTCCTCGAAGTTGCATGGGAAGCTGCCCCATATGTTAGTTAATTTGATGGGCAAGTACCATATGACTTTCGTATTTTGATTTCGAAAAAATTTGAACTTTTTAATGAGTTTACATATTCCCTTTTTAGATTTATTGTAGTTTTATTATTATTATTGGTACATTTAAAATCCTTTGTATAGTCCAATTTTTTTTTTCTTTTTTTCTTCGGGTAGTCTAAATATTCTCTTGTGTTAAAAGGTTGTGGTGTGGACGGTACTTGAAACAGTTATGTCATTTTCCAGGGTGTGTTACTTCATCCTTGGCGTTTTCTTCTTCTTTGGTTTTGTTGTTTTATTGTGTTCTATCGTTGTTTATCTTTTTGGAGATCGAACTGGGCAGGAACTAACCTTTTTTGGGCAACCTATGACGACTAGCTAGCTACCGATGGATGTTGTTTTTGAATTGACTAAGCATGCAGGTGATACTATATAATGGACCCATGTCTATCTCAATCTTGGTAAATAAAAAGCACTATGTAATGCATTTGATGAAAAGTGATTATCTGGTTCGATTGATTATTAATCTGAGTGTGGTGATGTGTTAATGTTATTTATTCTTGAAATTTTCGTTACTTCAATTACTGAAAATCTTTGTTCTAATAATTACCATAAACTCATAAATCTAACACAACAAGTGACCTAAAACCATATTTCATGTATCTGACAAAAAATAGTGTATATTGAATTTTGAAATTTAAACTAACTTTAGTACAAATTTGAAAATTCATCTTTCAGACAAATGTAGTATAAATAAAACATCAGCATGACCCGTATTACTTAATTAGTTAAAAGTTCATGTATTTGACTATGGATTGGGTCTTCCAGCGATGAAGTTTCAAAAATGATGGATAAAAGGCGACAATAACTCCAAACGAGGGGATAACAAAAAATGCCTTATTTTCCAAGCAAACACTATGCGAGTTTGTTTCTTCGGATGGTGACAAGGGTGTTGGTTGGTTTGATGATATTCGCGGAGCGGGTTCACATAGTGCGCGCCATGGCCTTTAATCAGATTCATCCTCTCATCACGTTTCATCGTATGCCTAAATAAAATACTCTTTCCGTCCTATAATTATTGTCCAGTTTGAGTTTTCATTTCTAGTTCAAATTATACTAAAAGTGAAATTTCAAACTAGACAATAATTTTGAGACGGAGAGAGTATATTTTTTTTTCTAAATATCATGCGAGTTTAATTATAATTTAGATGCAATTTTAAAGCTTCTAGTCTAAAATTTCACTTTATCAGCAAGATGTAGTACAAGACAACGTACTTTGTCTTCTTACATGTAGGTATAAAAAAATAATTAGATTAATTTTACGTTCACCAAGGTTCGTCAGGCTGCTACATTTCTGAAACACTGCCCCCTTCATATTTGATTGATTCATTATTATTGTGTTGTACGTAATAATAAATTCGTCAATTTACTGGACACATAAGTCAGGAACCAAACTCAACTCAAAAGAACAAAAATTAAAAAAATAATTTTTTCAAAAACAAATACTCCCTCTGTCCCAAAATTATTGTCCAGTTTGAAATTTTACTTTTAATACAATTTGAACTAGAAATGAAAATCTAAACTAGACAATAATTATGGAACGGAGGGAGTAATGTTCTTCTAGATACAAAAAAAGACAACTGAAACCCAAAAGAAAAAAGAAGAAGAAGGTATAAACCTTGTATGAAATTCCGCCCAAGACTGAAAGAGAGAAAAAAGAAAGAAATTTCGCAGTAAAAACCCAGGAAGACACTGTCGAGTGTGTTGAGGTTTTTCCGGCATCATTCATCTTTGGATGAAAGCAGGGAAGGAAGGTTAGTGTATATTCTGGACTTTGACAGCCTGGAATCTATTTGGACCTTAGATCTACAAATTTTTTTATGTGTATTACTACGTTCCAGCCAAATTAAAACATGCAACTTAGGAAAAGTTTTGAAATTGATGATAACTAATCCCTTGAATTTTTGTTTTTGTAGTCCTCCCTTATTTGTCTAGTGATGATATCATCATTTTTCTGTCAGCCTTCCCTCATTCCCCTTGTTTGCAACAGCTCCATACTGCACTTCATATTTTATGGTTAAGAAAAAAACCTTCTTAATCATATCTACTACGTTCTAGCAAATACTTTTTGGTTATTATTAGAAGTTATTTTAATTTTTTAAACCTTAAAATTATATTTTCACATTCTCTCTTTTTCTTTTTTCTTTTTTTAAAATCCATCTCAGTGGACCCCACTTAAATGTGGATAAAATTCCCTTTACAATTTCTGGTGGAAATCAAACCATGGTCTATTATCAGGAAAGACAACAACCTAACCACTAGGCTGTCATTCAATTTCCTCGTTGTGTTCTCTCTTAATTATCAAGAAATATTTTTTTTAAAAAAAATCTAAAATATGTTATAATAAGAACAGGAGGGATTAATTACATGGGTGGCAATATGGCCGAATCAACTGCATTTTCATTGGTTGGACTTGGTTATACTAAGAGAAAGTTTGAGGAAACCGAAACTTTGATTATCATGACAATAAACTTGGTTTCAGTTTCTTCTTTTTTCCCCATTTATTTTTACTCATGGAACAAAAAAAATTACGTGCACGTGCGTAAATTTTTTAACATTACAAATTGCTGGATTTATTACGATGTTGTGTCAGAAATTACTGCCCGATAATGGTTTGGTGTCTTCCTTGGGCTCTCTATGCAGTGGAAATAAGAGGAAGATTTCATCCTCGACTTTCATTACAAAGTGAAGAGCCCATTTCCATTTCAAGGCTTGGTGCTAACTAGTTCAAGTCAAATCTGGGTCGTTTTGAAGCCCAAAAACATGCAAACATTTTTGGATAATATTTTGGTTTATACTTTATACATGCAATTTTCCTCCGGGTATGTTAACTTTCTGGTGGTCAATGAATTACCATTTTAAGACATTACCAGAAAGGAAGAATATTTTCCTCTCATTCAAGTTGGTTTTTTTTTTTTTTTTTTTGACTGAATTTAAAGGGTCTACATCATTATTACTCTTTTAACTAATGATGATCAGTTTTGCATCTGGCTGGATGCACAAAATCCGATGATGCCAGGGAGAAAGAAAAAGGATAATAATAAAATAAATCTTTTTTGTTGGAAGAGTTTTTTAAGTTTACTAAACTAGTGTGCCTTTATTTGTTTATTATTTTGAACTTATTACAAAGTGAGAATCTCATATGAAAACACTTTTAAATGTGTAATTAAATCACGTTAAGAAATTAATTAAAATTTTGAGATTTGATTCTTCTTCATTTTCACTCTTAAAAAATAAATAAATTTCACTTTACAGTTTGTAATGCGTGATTAAGTGGTTAAGTTGAACGCAAAGTGAATGAAGAAACAGGAGAGTACTGAATCGAGTTAAGTGGTTCATTTTTTTCTCCCGCAGTTTTCAAAATTTCAAATGAAAAGTTTTTTTTTTTTTTTTTACGGTACAATAAAGGAGGCATAAGCCTGTAAACTAAATTATTTTTAAATTGTGAATATAAAACACTAACGACATCATAATCTAGCCTTGGTTTCACGAGTGTTGCGCTTCATCCAAACGTTGTAAACTCTGAGCTTTGACACGAGGACAATGTACAAACAGCCCAAAGAAACTCATCTCCATCTCAAATGATGCAAGTATTTATAATGAAAATAAAAGGGAAAAATCTTTCTTACAGACGCTACAGTTTTCATAATTCCATATAATAGTGCTAATAAATATACATATTCACATTATTAATTACTTATAGCCATTTGTCCTTTGATCATATTTATTGAATAGTCTAGTCCTGTTCTTATGAATATCTAGAATAAAAAAAACAGCTGATCTTTCTGTTTGAGCATGGCTGCTGTACTAAATTTCTTCATTCTCCCAGACAAAATCTAAGTGCGTGTTTTTGTTTTTTATACCCATTTTCTTACTAGTCTTTTTTTGCTCCCTAGTCTCGTGTGACTGACGTCAATAATGGCCAATCCAATGGACTAAAATCTGGTCAACTGCAAGATTCTTCAACAATGTGTTGTTTGTCTATTCCTTTGACCATCAGTTCAATTCTCCCAACTTCATTCTACCAATGCGTTCACATTCGAGTTTCAACTATCATTAATGGACTCCTGAGAATCTTCTTCGAACAGGGGTTTGAGGATACATAATGATTCAGCATCTTTCAACTAAACTAAATTTTTTATAGCAAAAGTCCCGGCTCAAATATGGGACAAAAAAGCGTCATAAGCCTTAAAAATGTGTACTTTTGTTACTTTTGTCTGTGTTGTTGCTGTTCTGCTGACACAATTTCATCAGGGCGGGTTTTGGAAGATGAAGATGGCGATGAGATCATGTCATCTGGCAAATCTGGTGACAGGATTTCATCAGGGCAGGTTATGAAAGATGGGAGTTTGATCATTTCCCCAGGAAAAATTTTTGCTTTGGGGTTCTTCAGCCCTGAAAATTCATCAGATTTAAGATACGTTGGTATATGGTACACTGGCATTCCACAACAGACTGTTGTATGGGTTGCCAATAGAGAGAACCCGATTCGGGGTCGTGCAGGAACTTTATCCATTTCAAAACAAGGGAATTTGGTGGTCAGGAATCGAAATGGAGATCCACTCTGGTCGACCAATGCTTCATCTGTGGCAAGGAATTCTTCTGCCATCCTGACGGATTCTGGTAATCTTTACTTAATTAGTACTCATCATAGAGGTAAAACTAATAGACCCTTGTGGCAGAGCTTCGATTTTCCCACCGATACCTTTTTGCCTGGAATGAAAGTTTCTTTTAATGCCACATCCCAGTTGAACCCTGTAATCATTCCCTGGCGAACTGAATCTGATCCTTCACTTGGGAACTATTCCATGGGCGTTGATCCGCGAGGATCGCCACAAATCGTGGTTTGGGAAGGACAGTCTCGGCATTGGAGAAGTGGACATTGGAATGGACTGATTTTTATGGGGGTTCCCTGGATAAGGGTTATTTACTTGTATGGTTTTAAGCTAGTTAATGATGGAAATGGTAGGTTACACTTTACTTATACACTGTCTAGTAGTTCTCAGTTGACGTATTTTAGAATATTTCCCAACGGAACTGTGGAGCAGAAGAATTGGAGTTCTGATTTGCAGCAGTGGGAAGTGATACAGTTACAGCCGTCAAGCCAATGCGATATCTACAACAAATGTGGACCATTTGGAGTTTGTGACGCGAGGAATTCGCCAGTATGCAATTGCTTGGAAGGGTATGTGCCTAAGGATGTTGATCAGTGGAATAATGGTAATTGGTCAAGTGGATGTGTTAGGAGGACGAAATTGCAATGCGAAGTCGAGGGAAGTTACCAAAGAGATGGTTTTTTGAAGGTTGAGACTCTGAAGTTGCCAGATTTCTTGGATCATGTGGGCACTGAAAATGTTAAGGAATGTGGAAGGAAGTGTTTGAATAACTGTTCTTGCGTTGCGTACTCATTTGTTAGTGGTATCAACTGCATGATTTGGAGCAATGACTTGGTTGACATTCAGCGTTTTGAGGAGGGTGGAAGCCCTCTTTTCGTTCGTCTTGCTCAATCTGAAATAGGAGGTAAGGTATAATTTTCCCTTTATTTTTTGTTCATGGTTTATTTGGCTCTACATTTTTCCAAGATCACGTGATTGAATTGCTGTCAAAATAGGTAGCACCAGAAAGACACCTCAACTAGTGATAATAATAGCTACTGTTGTTGCCGGATTGCTCTTGGCCGGTGTGTTCATATGGCTTCTATGGAGGCAGAAAGACAAACTGCGAGGTAAATTTTGGTCATTAAGGCCTAGTACTTGACTTGTTACAAGAAAATAAAAATATGGAAATGATGATCATTTTGTACTTTGAACCCACATACATCATTGAAAGTGCAGGAATTTCTGAGTCACCAAACAGAAAAGGCAGAGTTCCTGATTCTGATCCGATCAAGAGCGGGGAACTTTCAGCAGATTTTTCAGGTCCTGATGATCTAAACGTTGAAGGTCAGCAAGGCAGTGGAACAGAATTAGCATTATTCAGCTTCAGCAGTGTGGTAGCAGCTACAAACAATTTCTCGGATCGAAACAAGCTCGGACAAGGAGGATTTGGCCTTGTTTACAAAGTATACATAACATACTTATTCTTCTTTGCTATTGAATACTAAATAATCTCCCTGGAGACTCCTGAAAACGAGTCTGGTTTGATTCTTGTGATGTTGCTTTAATTTAACTCCAGGGTGAGCTGCCAGGTGGTCAAAATATTGCTGTGAAAAGGCTTTCAGGAAAGTCAGGACAAGGGCTGGAGGAGTTTAAGACTGAGATTACGCTGATTGCTAAGTTGCAACACAGGAATCTTGTTAGGCTTTTGGGTTGCTGCATCGATGGAGACGAAAAACTTCTACTCTATGAGTACATGCCTAATAAAAGCCTCGACTCGTTTCTATTTGGTTAGTAGTACATTGGGAGAAATTCTAAATTTGTTGCTGTTTTAAGCGTCTTCGAATGATATGAAGTCTTCTTTAAAATGTTTTGATGTTCATTGGTTATCTGGATTCATTGAAAAAACTAGATCCTGTTAAGCAAAAACAACTAGGTTGGAGAACTCGGTTCAGGATAATCGAAGGAATTGCGAGAGGTCTTTTGTATCTTCATCGAGATTCAAGGCTCAGGATCATTCACAGAGACTTAAAGGCCAGCAACATTTTACTGGATGAAGAAATGAACCCAAAAATTTCAGATTTTGGAATGGCAAGAATCTTTGGAGGAAATCAGAATGAAGCCAGTACAAACAGGGTTGTGGGAACATAGTAAGCAGCATCTCAAAATACCCACATTTTTCCAAAACAGATAAGTACCATAAAACAACTTTGATTTTGATGATTTTTTCCCCCTCTAATCCAGTGGCTACATGGCTCCTGAGTATGCAATGGAGGGATTATTTTCAGTAAAGACTGATGTCTACAGCTTTGGCATATTGCTGTTGGAGATTGTAACTGGAAGAAGAAACATCGGCTTCCGCTCGACAGACAACTCCAGTGTCATTGGTTATGTAAGAAGCCTCTCACTCATCTTTCAAGAGTAGTATTTAATTATAAGCTGCTGTTATATTTCTCAGAGAGACTTAATTTTGCTTGTGAAAAATGTGGCAGGCATGGGATCTGTGGGACAAAGGTAGAGCAACGGAGCTAGTTGATCCATCGATATTCGACATAAATTTCCAACATGAAGTGCTGAGATGCATCCACATAGGGATGTTGTGCGTGCAAGATTCGGCTTCAAATCGACCAACCATGGCAGCAGTGGTGTTGATGCTGGAAAGCGAAAACGCGAATTTGCCGATGCCTAAACAGCCTATGTTTACCACCTCAATGAGGAGAAGAGATGTAAACAAGGAGGACATGTGGAATGAGATTCAGGAGGCTGCAGCTGCAAACTCAAACAATGTTACCCTAAGCGTCATTGTTGGCAGATGATCAGTAAAGAGACACAATTCTTCATTTTGTTTCTCTTGATTTTTTTTTTATTTTTTTTTTTAAGTTTTTCTTATTTGTAGTTGTTTTTGTTACAGAACCCTGAAGCAAAAAAACACTTTGAGAAGCACAATTTTGCTTGTAAATATATATACATAGATAATTGAATCCAAGCGGGCTGGTTTTCAGTTTCGGAATTTGTACTCAAATTGTTGTTTTGTTTTTGTTTTTTTTTTTTTAAGGACTCAAATTGGTGTTAGATTCCAGATTGTAATATTTAGGCATCCTAATATTTCTTTTTCTTTATTTAAACAAGAAGGACTAAATTGAATGAGGAAATAAAGTGGAGAAAAACAGGTTCAATTCACACAAATACACAAATAGCGAGTGCAATATACAATTTTAAAATGATAAATTAAAAATTAATTTTGAAAATAATGATAAATTTTAAAATTGTATAATAATATTTTTAATTAAAAAATAATATTTTAACAATTAAATAATGAAATTTTAATTTTAAAATATTTTTAATGATTTAAATTTTAATAAAAATTCAAATTAAATTAAAAGACAAAAATACCCCTGATTCCGGCATGTCAACGGGCAGAAACAGTAAAATGGGATAAAAAAAAAGCGCGAAAATATAAAGTTTGGGACTACGATATTGAAATGTTAATATTAGGGACGTAAATTCAAGTAGGCCCAAATGTAAGGGATCATTTAGACATTTTAGTCATATATATATATATTTCATCACATCACATCCGATCAGCAAATGAAAATCCGCTGTTTAAATAAGAAAAAAACCAGATCTCCAAAAGGGTAAAAACTCATTAGATTACACTAATTTACAAAGGATCTGGAGCTAGCAAAGCAATTAAGCTCCACATCCGTGAGTGAACATAGTCGCACAACAGAGTGAGAACTCTTCCAGTTTACTAGTACTTTTCCCGTCCTGAAATTATTATCCAGTTTGAATTTTCATTTTAAACTTAAATTGTATCAAAAGACAAAATCCAAACACTACAATAATTTTGAGACATAACGAGTATTTTTATGCGGTACACCGGCACCGGCCTATATATAGAGGGCCATACGTTGACTGGCCAGGGAGTCGCAATTCCAATTCATAGCTTCTCATCGTCAGCCGAATTTAAGACGGTGTTATATAACGAACAATGTTAATCCCGCTCAAATGAATTAAATATCTATTAAATATGATCAGAAAGAGTAAAATGTCTTAAACCAGCATAAATTATATTGTTGACATAATATAACACATGTAACTAGGGGTGCTAATAAAATGAAATGATTGTATTACTTTCTTCATTTGTTTATTTAATTGGAGTGACTTGAGCTATAAACCAACTTAACTTTCAAATGTTCTGTTCTCCTTCTTAACTGGAATAATAATTGAGGGTACTCCATTTCTATATGTGTGGCATCTGAATCTGTAAACTCTGAGTTGAACGCATAACACGTTTACATAATATTTTGGGTAAGGACAAAAATAAAACTTCTAGATTACTTAAGAAATTTTATTCAGTTGTTTGAAAATTGACCCACACAAGTCATTATAATACTTCAAACTTTTTTTTTTTTTTTTTTTGTGGGAAGAAATCAATCTAACATTGATTTATGATTGATCTGATCCAACTCAAATTCATTTCCAAAGGAGACTAAGGAAGAAAAATAACAGGAGCAAAAAGACAAGAGAGCAATCGCTGTATGTTGGACTAATTAAAAAGCCTGGATCATCCGTAACACCGTCCAGGGACTATTCCCAATTAATTTCGCTTAAATGCTCGCTGCTGGAAACTAGTACTACTAACATCGACATTATTGATTATTTGTTCACTCCAATTAACTTCTCCCACTATTATTATTCCAAGTTTATGACACCTGCCTCTACACCATCATCAATGTGACAATCAATTCAATTGCTATCAGACAAGAGTAAGTAAGATGTCTTATAAATTGCTTTTGAGGATGGAAAATGGAAATAACCAATTTGTTTACATGCATATATTATATTACTGGTGAATAACATGAAATTCAGTCGTTCACCACACAAATAAAACTCATCAAAATATTTAAGTTCGGTTGGGGAAAACATATTAAATCACACTTTAATTCAGGTCTAAGATTTGAATATTTGATTTGCTTTCACAATAATACAAAAATACAGTCTTTCACAATTCACGAATAATCATACAATCTCAATTAAAAGCACTTCACATTTTCTTTTTTACTATTTCTAATATTTTTTTTATTAAAATTAAAGTATCTGATACACTCTTACAATATTTCATTGCGATAATTTTAGAGCTTCGAACGTTCCAAACGGTATTGAATTACCTACTCGATCGATTTCGATCTCAAAATTTCTTTCTATGTAGTCATCGGAATAAACAAAGGAAAAATAGACTAATAAGACTAATTCTTATCGTAGTGAACTAGAAAGAAAATAGATGCCAGTCAAAAAAACGTTGATAAGAAAGTCTTGTAGGAATAAAGACAGACTACTGTATTTCTCAGTGTGAGAAGTTTTACTATTAACCGATTTAAATGAAAGATTTCAAATAATTTAATTATAAATCAAAGATTCTCTACGATAAGACACTTTTATGCGTTAAATTAAGACAACTAATATATTATCTTCCGAATCAGAGGTATTTCAGTATTTTGTTCAACGAATGTTACCATTAAGAGAAAGGACAAACATTGACAAGGAAAAACGGTGACATTGTGTCCATTTTTCCTCCCAACGCTGTCTATTTCTGTTTGTTATATATAAACCTTTCAAATTGGATATTTTCTCCATGGATAACAATATATGCAGGGAAAATTTACAAGAAATGAATCCTAACTGTCTACATTTAAAACTTACCTTTTAAGATTTATCTATTAAAAAATTAGGAAATAGATGAGAATAAGATTTAGTTACATCACTCTGTGTTAAAATTCCTTATAAATTTTTTCTGCATACACAGTAAAACCTCTCTAAATTAATAGTCTTAGGCTCTCTCAAAATTTATTAGTTTATCGAGTTATTAATTTATCGATAAATTAATAATTATTAATTTAAAGAATTTTTTAATTCTAATAGGGATAATCTTTGCTAAGAAAAGAAAAGTCGATTATGAATATGGACTTCTAATTTTATTAATACGGTATTAGGGTTCTCTTTGTATGGCTGCAAATTTTGAATCTCCAGAAAAGAAACACTAAATTCAACAACAACTCTTAAATAATTTTATGTTACAATATGCGACATCGAAACTTTTGAATGCAATGAAAAAGATTAAAGATGAAATCTTAATAGATATAAATTTTAAGAAAAAACAAAGATCAATAGATTCATATTTTACTAGAAATAATTATTTTTTGTTTAGGTAATTATTAAATTTATGAAAATGTTGGGACCTATATTTACATAGGAGATTCTTGAAAATTTATTATCTTATAAATTAATCAAATTTTTTCATTTTTTGTACTGGTCCCGAGTTGGAACTGACAAAAATTATTATTTAATAGAGATTATAAATTTATAGAGAATTAATTTAGAGAGGTTTTACTGTATCAGTTTTTTTTTTTTTCTAAATTGGAAAACCAATCACTCAAATGTGAAAGCCAAGCCAAATCCACACAGCCATATGGTTTACTTTAGTTTTTCAAAACATTGTACTCTCGATGCTACTTATTATAAAGTATTTTGATTTTGTCCTAAATTTTATTTAAAATATTTTTTTAATTATAAAAAAAAAACTTAAAAAAAATATCTTTACATTTCTTGTGTTCTCTTTAATATTAAGAAATATTTTTAAGGTTTTTATTTCAATTAAAAAAATATTTTTAAATAAAATTTAGGACAAATTAAAATACTTTATAATAAGGGACGGAGGGAGTATTTTGGAGGGGTTTATTTCAAAAAGTGTAAGCTTCTCTTCTAAGAATTTGGAAAATATTGTTTCAAACTTTACGACCTTTTTTCTTGTTTCTAATGACGAGGATTAAATACTGCATTCCTTCAATTACTGAAATTATTGAGTATATCTTGTTGGAGCTCTCCAATCGTATACAAATGTTGACAATTAATCTATCCCTGTACCACTGCTTCAAAAAATAAGAATGAAATGAAATAGTCAACGATTGCTATCCTCTATTAATTTATTATTTGTTTTGAAAATCTGCACGAATTTTCTTCATGGTACAAACTAATGACATAAAAAAGTCTTTGATGATCTTCTTTGCATCATTGCATACAAATTGCTGCATATTATAATATGGAATCCCACCAAACTCTCAAGAATTACTTTTTTCAGTCCTTTGAATCGTAAAATTACATTACTTCTGTCACAAAATTATTATTTAATAGAGAAATCAAGTTATGATAAAATAAATTTTTAGACACAAGGAGTAGATTATTTCCTATTTCGTGTGGCGGAATGTTGTGGTATTGTAGTAACAAAAATGGGGATGGATTAAATTATCAAAGAAACAAATGCTTCTGAAATCCCAAATCACTGCGAAGGTTGGTAAAGCATAACCATTCATACTATTAGTTTATATGAATGAAACACTAAAATGTGAAAAGCGCGTCCCGATTTACCTAATCTTTCATTTTTGTATGCAGAAAATAGCAAAAAGAGAATCAAACACTAATGTTTATATGGTTCGTGGTTATGTGGAGTGTGGACGCAACGCAACTTCCACAATGATCAAAAGCCATAATAATAATAATAGTCATTAAAGCAGTAACTACCAGTTCATTATTTTGTCTTTGAACTCAAAACAGAAGAAAAAAAAAAACTCAATAATAAAGTTGTTGTCAAACACAAAAAGTACTACTACATATCGAAATAAAAGTAACTAAATTTAGTTTCAAACTTGATCGACCACTTGATTGACTTACCCATATGAGAAGAGAGAATTGATCATATGCTTCTTTGAAGTAAGTTTTGAGCATCCACTCACCACACTCCATAGATGAGATAAAGTTCATATTGACATCATGAATGTTTGATGATGGATTGAACGGAAAAAACAATAAAAATAAATCAGCATTAAAATCTCTAGTGATGAGCCCGCCAAATTCTTGGTGATTTTTGTTTTTCTAACGATTGTTGAGATTGAAGGAGACAATAACAAAGGACGAGGAGAAAGGGTGGAGGAAGACGTATGTATTAAATTTAGGGGACAAAGCAAGTAATCCATCACCAGAAGATTCTGATTGTAGGGATTCTTCCATGGAACAATTTTCATGTAGTCTTAACCTTGTTCATTCGGCTTCATTACTAAACAACACACATTAAAGACAACCTGTGTTTTAGAAGGGGTGAATGGGACTTGAGGATCTTCATAGTACAAACAACAAATTACATATTGCAAACAACCATTTCGATAGTATCATTCTATATTGGCAAAGGACATATACAACCTACAATCTTATGCTCCTTAATTTCATCCAGAAATAATTGTCCAGTTTAAGTTTTCACTTATAGTATCAACTGAACTAAAAATGAAAATGCATACTGTGTTGAAGTATTTATTCCACATTGGTGTCTGGAGACACTTTGTATCAGTATATAAGCACCACATGCTACTCCCCTCATTGTCAATTGGTTTTGAGGTGGAACCCCATAAGCTTCTATATACTAAATAATAATTTTAAAATATAAAGAATAATTTATGAAACCATTTTATATCATATATTTTGTTCATCCCCAATAATAGTCGCGTTTATTGACACAATACAATAAATTGAATACAATTATTGAGACTGAAAGAGTATAATATTTCATTGAAAACATATGTACCAATATACTTGTATCCAATCCCAAATTTAATTTTAAAACTTACACCAGAAAAAGAAAAAAAAGTTTCAATGCATTGAAGCTGATGAAGAAATTAGCCAGAGAGGGTTCGTCTGCTCCTGTTACTGATTAATGATATTTCATCTAGGTAGTAGTACATATGCTAACAGAATTATATTTGAAAATGACCTTTTCTTTTTCCCTCAGCCTTTTTGTGCCCCTCATCAACATTGATTTTTCACGTGGTTGAATCGACCTATTGAAAAGAAAAGAGATATATTACCACTAAATTATGCCTAATTTAATATTTTAAGCAAAAAATGACTTATGAGAAGATACTATATGCATTAAATAATTTTTTTTAAAAAAACACTATCCTCTTTACGAAATAAATAAATGAAGTAGTTTTCAATTCAAACATCAGCATCCATTCATTTTTTTTCCCCACACTTTTCTAACTTTTAAGCTTTAATGACCAATGTTCGTTAATAAACTGTCCGCAAACTATTTTCGCTTCAAGCTCAACTGTTCATATTTGAATTCCATCGTTACCAAATGGGGTCCACCTGTCATGTTTCTCGCTTCCAGACACCTTATTTTACACGTATTGCCACTTTGGTATTAGAAATGGAATACTTGCAAACAGCTCCCTAAAGTGTGCCTCTTCTGACTAAACAGTCCTCAAATATCAAATAAGTAGCAGCACTAAGCTATAGCCTATATGCAGTTATCATATATCAACCTACTTCGGGTACTCCTCTGAATTCACATAATTCAGCGGGGGCAAAATTCCCAAAGCAACAAAAAGTTTTAAATTGTCTTTTTAGTCCTTTTAATGATTTAAACTTTGGTTTTCTCTTCCCTAAGTCATCCCAAAATTGATTATATTCCTTTTTTTGGGTGCAATAAGTTATTTTAGCTTAGAGAACAACAATTAATATTATGAATGACAATTAATCTATTAGTGAATTTCATCATAATTGCTTCTTCTTCTTTTTTTTTTTTGAAACTTCATCATAATTGCTGATTACACAAATCTCAAAAATTTAAATTTTTTTTTAAAAATAAACTTTTATTTACAAAAATTGGAATATTATATGATATGAGGGTTCACACTTCCATTTTCTATTAAAGTAATTAGTGAACCTTATACGTAACACTTGTGTTAAAAACATCATCAACTTTTTTTTTTTTCATGCATGATAGAACTTCCGAGGAGATATATATTAAAAATAGTACAACCTCTGTCACATAAGTTATATTTTATTGAGGTAAAATTATATAAAAAAATGATTATTTTTTTTTAAGAATTGAAGGAGTTTGAATTAAGAATTTGAACAACACATAAGAGAAAGATAAAACAAGGAAATAAGGAACCACGCATGAAGGAAAAAAGAAAATGAACATTAATCTCAGGCAATTCAAACAACTCAAAAAGGCTTGGAAGAATGTTTGCCCAATCATCACATAATTTCCAAAATTAGATAAAAATGTATGCACACAATGAGAAAAATGTAAACTGAAACAATGACAATAATTATACAACAATAATGGATCTTGACTGTAACATTTTACAAAATAGGCAAACTTGTGGAGTTGTTTTTAATTAACTCTATAAAAATAAAGCATTCAAATTTGTAAGGCTCCTTTTGCTAAGTCCTTTTAATTAAATACAGTAATTCTTCCTTTTTCCAAAGGAATACTATGGAGGAAGGAAGGAAGGAGAAATAGCCAAATAGGAACCCCCCAGCCGATAAAAGGAAAATGTAGCCTTGCTTTTCCTCCCACATTCTCTCTCTCTCTCTCTCTCTCTCTCTCCAAACTAAAACCTTTCATTTCAGACAGAAAAGAATGTACATTCAACAAGAAGATCACCAAACAACATTGAAAAAAACAAACCAGATGTTAGAGAATACTGGCTGCTTCAGCTTTGAAGAATGAATCCTCCTCAATTTCACTTCTTTATCTTATTCTTCTTGTTTCTTCTTCCTAATCATCATCATCATCTTGTCTCAGCCATAGATATCCTAACTCCGGGAACACCATTAACCAAAGACCAAACCTTAATCTCTTTAGGTGGGAATTTCGAGCTGGGATTCTTCAATCCAGGAAATTCCAACAGCTGGTATATCGGAATCTGGTACAAACGAATTCTCCCTGTCAGAACTATTGTTTGGGTAGCTAACAGAGACCATCCCCTGACAAACTCATCCGGGCTGCTCAAAATCGGCGAACTCGGAAACCTCCTACTTCTCGATGAAGATTCTGGAACGCCCGTGTGGTCGTCGAATCAAACCAAGGATTCTAACACAGTTGCCCAACTTCTAGACAATGGGAATTTCGTGGTTCGACACCAAGACGATGCTGATTCAGCTGATTTTCTGTGGCAGAGTTTTGATTACCCGACGGATACATTATTACCCGGGATGAAACTCGGGTGGGACTCGAAAACCGGGCTGAATCGGAACTTGACATCCTGGAAAACTGCTAACGATCCATCTTCAGGGGACTACAGTTTCGTGCTGGATACCAGTGGATTCCCGGAAATTTTCTTGACGGATAAAGGGATCCGAATTTACCGAAGCGGACCCTGGAATGGACTTAGATTTAGTGGCGTCCCAGAAATGAAAGCCACTGGCCCTGTAATTGATTTCACATTTGTCACGAGCAAAGATGAGGTATATTATTCGTTTGATATGAGAAACAATTCTGTTTATTCGAGATTGGTGGTGAATTACACGGGTTTTCTTCAAAGATTTACATGGATTGAAGACAGCGGAGTATGGAATCTGTATTGGTACGCTAGGAAAGATCAATGTGACTTCTACAAAGAATGTGGGTATTATGGAATTTGTGACACAAACGCTTCCCCTGTTTGTAAATGTATGACGGGATTTGAGCCCAGGAATCCACAGGCTTGGTATTTGAGAGATGGATCTGATGGTTGTAAAAGGAAGCACGGATTGGAGTGCGGGAGTGATGGGTTTTTGACTCTGAATAACATGAAATTGCCGGAAAGCTCGACGGCTTTTCTGGATTCGAGCATGAGTTTGAGTGATTGTGAAAAGATGTGCAGGGGGAATTGTTCTTGCACGGCTTATGCGAATTCGGATATTGCGGGTTCCGGTTCCGGGTGTGCAATTTGGACGGTGGATCTTCTTGACCTGCGGCAGTATGCGGCGGCGGAAGGTGGCCAAAATCTATACATTCGGCTGGCGGCTTCTGATATAGGTTTGTCTCATTTTTCTCTGCCTCCAATTTCTCCTAACATTTTATTTGGTGTGTTCTTTGAATTAGTATTTATTTTCATTTTAATTTTTTTTACTACTATTGTGAAATGAATGAATGATGCCGAAATTTTTTGGTCGTAGTTGTTTGGTATATCTGCGCACTAAAACCATTTCAAACTTCAAAGAGGATGGGAGGTGGTATCTGTTTGAATCTTTTTTAGTGTGTATATATATATTTTTTTAATGTCGATGTATGTTGGCAAGGTAAGAGTATTATAATTAAAAATAATAATAATAATTGAAGCCTTGAAGGAAATAAAAAATTCAAAAATAAAATAAAATAAAATAAACCAGCATATTTCCTGCTTGGATTTGAATCCAAATAATTTAACACAATGAAAATGTTGGTAAAATCTTGTTGTCAACCATGTGTACAAATTCTATATTCGATAATGTTGTAGATGAGCACGACGCTTTGGAAAGTGATAGATAGGCAGTAGGAAGTAGTAGGAACTAGTAACAACCTTTTTTAATCGATCTGGTTCCACGTAGTGATAATTACAAAAGCATTCTCCAGCTTTCACGGGAAAAATTTTAAGGTTGGGATGGCTATAGGTTTCTGGAATTTAATGAAGCAGGTCAAGTGCTAATAACATTACATATGTTGTCTCATCAATTAGGGTTGGTGAGAATCTACCTACATAGAATTAATGAAGGCAAACCATATAAATATGTCAGCCGTCTGGGTGGGGAGTTTAGGAAGACGATAGTGGTTTTGATACTTCCTCGATCGGGGGCCATAGGAGGCTGTCATTTTACATTTTATAAATGATAAACTGATTCCTTCTGTTTTTTTTTTTTTCCCCATCTTAAAAATCATTATTATGACAAAATTGATAAATACACGTAATACTACATATATTTGAAATACAAAAGAATAGTATATTAGTACGCGCACAATTTAATTTCAAATTTATGATTATTCTTTGATTACAATCGAATATTTTGTTAACCACCAATGTGTCTTAACGGGTGGCCCCGCTAATTGATGATCAATTAGGCTTTTTGAAAAAATTGTACGATCGATTTGATATAGGGATGGTCGCCCGAACCAAATTAGTTGCTTTTTGCACCGCAAATTAGGAGAAAACCATCACGATTTAGTAAAAACTGGAGACCATTCTTCCATTTGCTAAACAAATTATTGTAGTGGGTCATGCATGAGGTTGTTAATAACTTGTAGAAATGGCGCATTTTACATTTAGACTAATCAGTTTAACCGAAAATACTCATTATTAATGTTATACTAGTATTTTAAGTCTTGATCTTTTTTATCTTATTCTCTTTCTGTCCCATAATTATTGTCCAGTTTGAGTTTTTATTTTTAGTTCAAATTGTATTAAAAAGTGAATTCTCGAACTTGATAATAATTTTGGGACAGAGGGAGTACAATAAATTTTTTTTTCCGAAATTAAACTTATACGATTTGCATTGGATCAATAAAAATTATGATAAAAAGTTTGTAGGTAGAAATGGGTAACTCGGTTCATATTTCATTAGTAAGTCTTACTACAAATCAGCAGTCTAATTATTAGGATTCTAATTTCGCGGGGCCTAATTATTCCAGAATCATGGTCCCGTCATGAAAAGACGAAACGGCCGACATTGTTGACTTGAAGATTGTAGGTCATGAAGTCCCGAAAACGTTAACGCCCAAGCAACAGGGCCAAAAGTTACTACTAGTATTTACTTTTCTTCTTACGCTTTAGTATGTAACATTATAGATGATGCCCAATTAAATAATTTCAGATATGAATTATGATAAGAACTTATCTTACTCTCCTGCTAATGGAAAATATGATATAAATGATGGAATCACTTTGAAAAACCTTTTTCATTTTAAAAATCCACTAAAAATGGAAGAAGAGTTCATATTACTAGTGGTTCGTGATGAAAGTCACTAAACAAAATGAAAACAAATAAATAAATTAGAAAAAGATCTCAGCTAAAAGACAAATACATATGCATCAGAAGTGTAGTGTTAAGGAAAGAAATGTCTTTTTCCACAAAAGTGAAAAAAAAAAAAGTAAACAAAAACAAAGATGGATTATATTGGGCTCTTAATCAATTTCTCTATGCAATGCAGCAAGGAAAACTAGGGCCCATTTTATTTTGTTTCTCTCAGATTCATAATTAACAAGCCCCTTTTTCTTAGCCTGCTAATGTTGCTTACTGCATTGAATCAAGATTTCATCTGATATAAGCAGCAAGACGATTGCACATGGTTTTGATTCTTGGCTGAGTTGTTTGCTAATACCCTTCACTCTGAACTACATTCACAGACAAAAATGTTGAAAATGCAATGTGCAAAAAAGATGTTACACCTGTGTAACTGTGATATTGATCGTTCCTTATTGAATTGCAGACCAAACTAGCAATGTTGGATCCGGAACTGATTCCAATGGCAATGCCAAGCGAATCATCATGATTGTCGGCATTGTTGTCGGTTGTGCTGTTGTTCTCTCCTTAGTAACCATATGGTTAGTGCACAGAAGAATAAAATCACAAAGGGAAAAAAGAAGTGCCATAAATTACAAAGGTTAGTGCTAGTTAAGTAAAGTTATGCATATTTCGAGCTTTTTCTTTCGCTTGATTCCTCCTCAAATTATCATCACACAGCACTAATTGAATCTATTTTTACTTTTAATAACTCTAGGTCCACGAGAAAAGAGTCAAGATCTTCTGTTGAAAGCGCCAGTTACCCTAAGTAAAAGAGAGTACTCGGGTGAAAGCACAACTGAGGAGTTTGAGCTTCCATTATTCGATTTTAGTACCATTGCTTTGGCTACCGATAACTTTTCTCAGGCAAATAAGCTAGGACAAGGTGGTTTTGGAAGTGTGTACAAGGTATGTGTAACTTGATCACGATCATTGATCTGATGCTACGAATTTGAAATGAACATGAAAAGTGCTAACTTGTGCCTCGTGAATTGTGGATGGAAATATGTTAGGGAACATTGGTTGAAGGTCAAGATATAGCTGTCAAGAGGCTATCAAAAACCTCAGGACAAGGCGTTGAGGAATTCAAAAACGAAGTTAGATTGATCGCAAAGCTGCAGCACAGGAATCTAGTCCGGCTTCTAGGTTGTTGTGTTGATGCGGAAGAAAAGATGCTAATCTACGAGTATATGGAAAACAAGAGCCTGGATTCAATCTTATTCAGTAAGTCTTATTCAGTAAGTCAAACTTTTTATTACATTTTGCAGTCCATGGTTTTTGTGCTTTGGAATCTGATCGTGTGGCTGCAATATGAATTCCAGCCTTTTGAAACTAGTTTTGATGGACCTTATTCTTTGATTTTGCTTAGACCAAGAGAAAAGCTCATTGCTCAATTGGCAAAGCCGTTTCAACATTATTTGTGGGATCGCCCGGGGGCTACTTTATATGCATCAAGATTCAAGATTTAGGATTATTCACAGAGATCTTAAAGCAAGCAATATTCTTCTTGACAAGGAAATGATTCCCAAGATTTCCGACTTTGGGATGGCAAGAATTTTTGGAGGAGATGAGACTGAAGCAAGTACAAGAAGAGTAGTTGGAACTTAGTAAGCACCAAACATGACTAGCTACATTAATTTCCTAAACAAGCTTATGTATATAATTCTGAATTTGTGACTAACTTCTTTATATTTCTGCAGCGGTTACATGTCTCCTGAATACGCAATGGACGGCATCTTCTCTGTCAAATCTGATGTTTTCAGCTTTGGAGTTCTAGTCTTGGAAATAGTCAGTGGCAAGAAGAACCGAGGATTCTATCACGTGAACAATCAACTTAACCTTCTCTCATACGTAAGCCTCTTGTTAATATGATTCCGACTCTTCTAAAACACAGATACTACAATCCATTACTTTCAGTCTTAATGGATGCAATAACTTAGAGATGAATCTAATAATGCAGGCATGGAAACTATGGAGGGAAGGAAGAGGGCTGGAGCTGCTGGATTCAACAGCCGGTGAAAAATTTGATAGTTACGAAGTAATGAGATGCATACAGGTTGGACTTCTGTGTGTGCAAGAGCATGCAGAAGATAGACCAGACATGGCAAATGTCGTTCTCTTGTTAAGATGCGAAAGTGCACCAGTGCCTAATCCTAAACACCCTGGATTCATCCTTGGAAGAAGACCTGATCATACAAGTTCATCCTCAAGTAAACAAGATGAATCATTTACGGTAAATCAAGTTACAGTCACTATTATGGACGGCCGGTAGTAGTAAAGAAGTTACCCACCAATGTTTTCTGTATAGTTGAAAGGGATTCAGCAATTTTTCCTGTTAAGATAGAATGCGAAACTTGTCAGCTTAGTCAAAATGGAGCTAGATTTCAATAGGTCTTTTTTATTGAGTAATCGACATGGTATACATTTTGCTTGTAAAGTCAAATGTAAATTTAATTACTTTCTTATAGCTCTGTATGCGCTCAAGAGAGCTCTCTATTCTACCTACCTCTTCGCTATCATATTCATATGAAAATGTATCATATTACATCAGTTTTGTAATATTAGTCTTCACAAAGAATAACCCTTTTGAGAGTCAGTGGCTGGAATTCATTCTTTTATAATTATTATTATTTTTTAATCTTTCTATTGCTCAACGCTTGGCTTTTTCATGCTTCCGACATTCAAAATGAGTTGCCTATTTAAATACAAACTTTGCAGTTCCTGGTGGCATTTTCTAACTCGTTAGTCATATCAGAGGCGAAATCAAGACAGGCAGTAGGCAAGAACCAGTAACTTTCATTTATTAATTCTTGGAGCCCACAATTAAACAGGCAATCAGAAGCTCAATGAGAGAGTTTCAACTACTTGGTAAATTAGTACTTGGGTAGGGTTAAATCAAATGGGACATTAGGGATCAGTAGTAGCATCGCCAATTTTGACAGAGTCAGTTTCCACATGGTACTACATGATTAGACGAGGTCAACGATATAAAGACAAAAGTCTGGGAAGACGTTGACTGAGTACTCATTGTCAACCAAGGAAACACCATCACTATTAGCAAATTAAAATCATCGAAAGTTTTTGTGTTTTGTTGATTTTTTACTCCCTTCGGTCCTTATTATAAGGCATTTTGATTTTGTCAATAGTATTTAATCTAACGTACATGTCAATAAATCTAATGCGCAAAACCGAAAAATGAATCTACGAAGTGCAAACAAATAAAGAAACACTTTTTACCCCTTGATTTTGTCAATTATCGCTATTCTAACGCAGTTATTGTCCTATTAGTTAAGTTGTCAACTAGCCTGATGTAATTTGTTAGTCTTCATCGTCAGGCTATGACATTCACGAAATCTCTTTAATGGATATAAAAGGCAGATCAAATGGACTTGAAATGGCCATCTAAGTCATAAAATGGAACCTAACATTCTTTGTTTTGTTTAATTTATTTTGACTCTGCTTCATTACACGTACCATATTTCTTTGTTTGTTTAAAAAATTTCCAATGTAGCCAGCCGCCAGCTTAAAAAACTTTTGTAACTATGGCGTTTTCTCTGGTTTCTGTAGCTCTTTTTACATTCATGATTGCCTTCCAAACATCAGTGGCAACAGACACCTTAACTCCAAACCAGAACTTAACAGATGGTCAAATTTTGCTGTCTTCTAACCAGAGATTTGTATTGGGTTTCTTTAGTCCTGTCAATTCAGGAAGAAAATATTTGGCGATTTGGTATAACATGATTCGTAACATGCCATTTACCGTTGTTTGGGTAGCCAACAAGAACAAACCGATCAGTGATTCATCTGGGCTCCTAACATTGAGTTTAAACGGTTCTTTGTTACTATACAATGGTTCAGGGGGTGTTGTTTGGTCTACCAATGTTACTGGGCCTCAGCAGAATCCAGTTCTGCAAATTTTAGGGGATGGTAATCTGGTGGTAAGAAATCAGGTTGAAGAAATCGGGCAAAAAGACGATTATGTATGGCAAAGCTTTGATCACATGTCGGATACTATGTTGCCTGGAATGAAGCTTGGGTGGAATTTGAAAAGCCAGACCAACAATTTCATGAGGTCCTGGAAGAGTAATGATGACCCTTCAGATGGCGAGTTCACATTTGGCTTGGATCCCCCTGAAACGCCTCAGCTGATTCTTCGATCCAGATCGACCAAGACGTATAGATGGGGCCCCTTTGATGGCGACAGGTTTAGTGGTAGCAATCGATTAAGGGATAATTCTCTGTTTAAGCCTGTTTTTGTTGCCAATCCAGGTGAAGTATATTACACTTTTGAGTTGCTGGATGATTCGACGTTGTTGCGCTCCATTGTCACGCCATTAGGCGCGATTCAGTACCTCAGCTGGAGAAATGATAGCAGAGAATGGAGCCTAACCGTGGAGATCAACAGGGACTATTGCGATCGATATGGAATGTGTGGACCTTATGGAACTTGTTACCCTGATGATCCGAACTGCAGATGCTTACAAGGATTTGTTCCAAGCTCGCCACAAGATTGGCGATTACTAGATCGAACAGGCGGTTGTAAGAGGACTCATTACTTAAACTGCGGCAGTAATGAAGATGGTTTTGTGAGTTATGATGGACTTAAGTTGCCAGACAATCCAGTTGTGTGGGCAAATTACAGCCCGGAAGAATGCAGTTCGGCATGCCTGAAGAACTGCGATTGTATGGGCTATTCACGCATCAATGCGCTTGGTAATGGCAGTGTTTGTGTGGTTTGGCTTGGTCGTGACCTAATTGATCTCAGGATCTTCCCTAATCAAGGCGAAACGCTCTATATTCGTATGGCTCGTGCCGAATTAGGTAATCACTCATTTTCTGCAAAGGTAATTTAATACCTTTGGTGGAACTCTTTCATTCCTTGGGGGATGTTTAATGTTTTACTCATCATTTAGCCTTCTTGTTATCTCATATTTTGTCGGGCCATATTGTAATTGTTGCTAGATTCAATAGAGAGAAACAAAAGAAGAAGGTACATCAGAAGAGTTGTTGGGATCACTGTAACAGCAACAGCCACTTTGTTGCTTCTCCTCGCAATCTTCTGCTTTTACATCCGCAGACGAAAGAGAAAAATGGAAGTTGATAGAATGTCTCTGCCAACAGGTAATTTACATTTTCTACTCCATAGTACATTTTGTCAATTTTATTTTTCCTTGACTAATTAAGCAAAACCCGTTTCAGCCCATGATAATATCAGTCCAGAAGAAAGACAAGAAGAAAATGATCTAGATTTACCTATATTTGATCTAGCAACCATTTTCGCCGCTACAAATCAGTTTGCTTTCAACAACAAGATTGGACAAGGTGGTTTTGGCTCTGTCTATAAGGTATATATAACATATGCATTGATGAATGAATGATAATCCTCATTTTCCAATACTTTCAATTAAGGCGTAGAACATTTGTTTGGCTTATGAAATTTCAGGGCGAATTATGCAATGGGGTGGAAATAGCAGTAAAAAGGCTTTCACAGGAATCAGGGCAAGGCCTAAATGAGTTCAAGAATGAAGTTAAACTAATTGCCAAGCTTCAACATCGTAACCTCGTAAGGTTACTGGGATGCTGCATCCAGGAAGAAGAGAAGATGTTAGTGTACGAATACCTCCCAAACAAAAGCTTGGACAACTTCATTTATGGTAAAAACCTTCATCATCACATTACCAAATCCTGTTATCAATGCTTGTGTTTTTTTTTTTGGATTGACTTTAGCCATATGAACTGTAGCTAAAATGTTGTGTTTGATTCGTGGGCAGATCGAGCGAAGAGAAAGCTATTGCAATGGAGTAAACGATTCAACATTATCATGGGAATTGCAAGAGGGCTACTGTATCTTCACCAGGATTCCAGATTAAGAATCATCCATAGAGATTTGAAAACAAGCAATATTTTGCTTGATGGAGAGATGAACCCAAAAATATCTGATTTTGGAATTGCAAGAATCTTTGGAGGAGAACTAACAGAGGAGAAGACCAGGAGAATAATTGGAACATAGTAAGTCAACTTTACAGAATTAGCTTGTTTTTCTCTCTTTTTTCTGGTGGTTTGATTCGGTTTTGTTGATTGAAAAAGAAAAATGCTTGATTTTGGATGCAGTGGCTACATGTCTCCCGAATATGCAATGAATGGCCATTTTTCCACAAAGTCCGATGTATTTAGCTTTGGCGTTATAGTACTTGAGATAATAAGCGGCTTCAGGAATTGGGGATTTTATCATCCAGACCATGACTACAACCTGATCGGACATGTAAAATCCTACATCTTTCAGTTTCCGCCCTGTATTTTGAATTTTCCTATATCCTCTCCGTCCCATTTTCATACACCATTTTGTCGAACTAAAACAAAGTGGACTATCAGAATGGGACGGAGGGAGTACAAGGCTCTATTTCACACACATTCTCACATTTGCTGCATTGCGTGTAAATTATTTTTTTTTCCCTCTCCAGACATGGAAACTGTGGAATGAAGAAAGGAGTCTAGAAATTGTTGATGAGATACTACTGGATGGCTTATTTGTGGAGGATGAACTGAAAAGATGTATCCAGGTGGCTCTTTTGTGTGTCCAGCAACAAACAGAAAAAAGGCCAACCATGAGTGGTGTCGTATTCATGCTAAGCAATGAAAATGTGGAATTGCCGGAACCAAATCAACCTGGTTTTGTCACAGAAACTTCTGCACCGAAGACTGATTCATCTTCCGGTGGTGACAATTCTAATCACACGGGCCACGATATCACTTTCACTACAGTGGAAGGACGATGAGATTATCCAATTTCTCATTTTTATTTTTGGATCAATTTTGTATATTCCTTAATTCATTAATTATTCCGGTCCAAATTATAAAATCCAAACAAATTAACACTGAGATTAGTTCAAATTTGTACTTTATAATTAGGATTAGATGAAATGTATATACATTAAACACTGTATCCGTACCATATTTTTTTGAAAAAAAACAAACTTTATTAACAATTACTAGAAACGGTACATCACAAAGTTCGGAGCTATACTCCATGCAGATTCAGTTACAGAAGCCGATTTGGCATATTTCGCAAAGGAGTGGGCAATGGAATTATCCACACGTTGAATCCATGAAATATGCTTGACCGGGAGTTGTTGACATAGTCGAATCACATCTTCCATACCCGTCTTGTATTAAAGCTAAATTTAAGCAACTCGCATTAAAAAATATAACTGTAAATGAAAATCACGGCACTATTACTTTATTACGTTAACACAAAAACATAAGTACTTGAGTAGTTTTAGGACAATTATCATTGGTCCCTTTTTCAGGGAAAAAATAGACAGTGTCGTTTAAAAGTTTATCCAGCAAATGTATAATTGAAATTTATGAAGCCAAAAAACTATTTATAATAATTGCATTTTTTTTACTTTGAGCTAACAATCTGAAATAGGCTTAAAATTGAAGGACCGTGGGAGATATATAAAAAGACAGGATGTAATTTTGGGAAAAGGGGGAAATCTCAGATTTGATTGATCTGTGATTATATTCATTTTGGAGGAAAGTAGTGTGATTAAGGGACGATTAGGAATGTCCATGAGCAAACTATTGCTAATCTTCTCCCAACGGAGGAGAAGCAGTTTTTGGATCGGTGCATGTACTTAGGGATTATCTACCATTGGCAAGGCTGTGTAAGATGAGAATTTTAATGGGAACATCGAAGATTGTCGGAGAAGTATCTGGACTGATTTCCGGCGAACTGCTTTTTATTCGTGGATCAAGTTCGCCGGACTTGAGATGGGGAACTGAGCGAGAAAGTTTCAGTTTAGAGCTTCATCAACCAACATTAGACATACCCAAGTGTTTTTTTGTAGGAAGAAATACATTTAATTTGGAGATTGGCGTGATCAGACTGTCAAATTGAAAGGCATATGGAGGCCAAGGATGCAAGTACAAAACTCCATAGACTGCACATACCATGATATTGGAAGATGCAGATCGATGGAGGAAACAGAGAATTGTTCAAAACGAAGATTAGCGTCTTTCCTGTTGTAAAGTAATGTTCTTACCTTGTATGGCCTTGTGGATATTTCATTATTTTATTTTTATTTTTAAGGGGGAGAAGCTTTGTGGATATTACTTCATATTTTGGTAGTGATGACAAAAGCTATTTTTCCTTTTGTCCAGATTTGATTTCTATCCAAGTCTTGTTTTCTGGAGCAAGATAATCCATACTGATTGATATTAGGACTTGAATGTTTCAAGCCAAACTATATTGTTGTTGATCTTAGCTTGGTTAGAGATATGCTGGAATTCGTACTTTAGTAGTATCAAGTTCCACTTTGTTTACTTGGTCCAAAAAAAATTGCACTTTTATCCATGGACTTGACCAGCTTTGGAATATGAAACTTCAGTTAAAATAAGATGGTTGTTGAAAGTTTCCATTCTCATCATTATGGGAGGAATCTTATCCTTTCAAACATCTGATTTTAAATTCCAGGATGGCTAAATGGATTGCATCTATAATACTGTCTTAAACACCAGCTCTGCTGCTCAATATAATCTTCCATCTTTTGCAACGGCCTACCCATTATTTTATGTTATTCCAGTAGTCAAAAGCATTATGTTTTGTCCAAGTGTTGGAATCCCATGACTTTCAGCCAGAAGGCTTTCCCCTTTTGTCTTTATTGAACAAATTTGATTCTGTGGTTATTCCTCGAAATGTCTTATATAATGAGAAATGAGCCAGTCCGGCGATTTAGGAGCTCTTAAAAGATGAATTACAAGAAAATGTTCTTCCTTAACTTGAACAAGTAAAAGTTTGAATTGGATGCTTAATACACCGGAAATGACTACATATTTGGCTTATTCCTATACCAATGTTAACATTTCTGAACTATTCAATTCACAATGTTAAGGCTAACATTTTTAGTGTTCATAGCTTCTTTTCATTTGTGTGTTCTATTGTCTTTTCCATCTCGGTATAGCTCCTCTGGACTACGCTTTTGGGGTTCTAGATAGTGAAAAATGATCATTTTATTCTTCTTCTTTGTTATCTCTTCACCATTCTTCTGCTGCAAACTTTCTTTTGCTATTGACTTTTTATCTCCAAATCAAGTTCTAGTGGACAATGGTGGAACTTTAGTTTCCGCTGGCCAGAAATTTGAGTTAGGCTTCTTTGGTCCATCTGGAGTGTTGACTGAAAGATATGTTGGAATTTGGTTCAAGAACATCCCGGAACAGACAGTGGTGTGGGTAGCCAACAAGGACAGTCCGTTACAAAATTCATCCGGTGTTCTTACCATCACCCCGACTGGTAACATTGTGATCATTGATAACAGCACGAATTCGATCATCTGGTCGGCAAATACAGACTCAAAACCCGTGAGTGATCCAGTGTTGCAGCTCCTGGACAATGGAAATCTTGTCCTGAAAGATGGTAGTGATGATGGAACCAATCCAGGCAGCTACTTGTGGCAGAGCTTTGACCATCCATGTGACACTTTACTTGCAGGAATGAAGCTTGGGTGGAACCTTGCAAACAACCAAGAATGGTACTTGACATCTTGGAAAAGTTTGCAGAATCCAGGGATAGGGGCATATACATTGAGAGTTGATCCGCGTGGACTTCCTCAGGTACTTCTTCGCCAAGGATCTGATGTAGTGTTCAGAAGCGGGCCATGGGATGGTGATCGGTTTGGTGGTGGTGAACTCTCTCCAAACACGATTTTCAAACCTACATTTGTCTATGATTCAAAAAATGAGTACTACTCATATGAGAATAGTGATGATTCGATTGTCTCAAGGTTTGTTCTAAACCAGTCCCAGCTGATACAGCATCTTACTTGGAGCATTAGGCGTAAACAATGGGTTGACATTGCGACGGTTCAAAGTGATGCATGTGACAAGTATGCATTATGTGGAAGTTATGGCATGTGCAACATTAACGCTGGCTTTTTATGTAGCTGTTTACCAGGGTTCACACCAAAACTACCTCAGGATTGGGAAAGAATGGACTGGTCTGGTGGATGTGTTAGGAAAAAACAGCTGAACTGTAGTGAACCCCAAGGATTCAGGAAGTTTTCCAACCTGAAATTGCCAGACTCTGCGCATCTTTTTGCAAACTTGACTGCATTCCAATGCGCAGAGACTTGTCTGAAAAATTGTTCTTGCACGGCATATGCTCAAACTGAGGTAAGTGGGTGTGTCATATGGTATGATGACCTGGTTGACATGAGGACATACAATGAAGGTGGACAGGAACTCTACGTTCGGATGCCTGAGTCTGAACTTGGTACCATTTTATGTCGAGATACCATCAAATTCTGATATTTCAAAAGCCCTTCAGTAAATAATGTTCTGATGTTTCTTTTGCCATTGCTGACTTCATACATTCCTTGAAGGTTCTTACACAGCTGGAAGGAAGAAGTTGATAATTGCACTGTCTGTGGGTATCTCCATGCTCTTCATGGTCCCAATGAGCTGGTTTCTTTTCCATACTTGGGCTACTAAATTTAGACGAGGTAAACCTTTATAATTGTCTATACTGCTACATTACAATTATCTGAAAAATTGCCCGATAATTTTATACTTTGCATCATATTCTGTGTAAAACTAATGGAACAGATCTGAAGTTATTTAAGTCCATATAAATGACCAATTTGTTTTACGTTGCTTTTTTCAACTTGATTGTGTAACAAAATGCATTAGAAATTAGACATTTTCCCTGTAAAATGGAAAAACAAAAAAATTAAAAAGGTGGATAATTTGTATTTGGAAACTCTAAAGTGGGTTAGAATGTAAGACGGAATGCCTGTCCTTTCAAGCTTTTTTCTTTCATGTGACTTGTTTCGGATGTCTTCTTGTGAAATGTGACATTTTTTATGTGGTTTCTGCACAATTTTCAGCTAAAAAAGATATTGCAGTTCCTATGAAGCCTAGAAGAATTGGAGATGAAGATATAGACTTACCCTTGTTTGATTTGCTCACCATTTCAAATGCTACTAATGACTTTGCATATGCAAATAAGATTGGAGAAGGTGGTTTTGGTCCAGTTTACAAGGTAGTTTCCTGCCTGACAAAATTGATTTTCTAATTTGCCTTGCTTCTTCTTTAGATTTGTGAGCATTCATTTGGTTAACTTTTATGCTGCGTGGTTTGCAAGGGTGTACTTCCGACAGGGCAAGAAATAGCAGTTAAGAAAGACTCCAAAGATTCTGGACAAGGTGTTGAAGAATTCAAAAATGAAGTGATTTTAATAGCAAAATTACAGCATCGGAATCTTGTAAGGCTGCTAGGATGCTGTATTGATGGGGAAGAGAGAATGTTAGTGTACGAATATGTGCCCAACAGAAGTTTGGATTTGTTTATCTTCAGTAGGTTCTCTCTATAATCTCACTTGTTTCTTAAACTTTTATTTTGTTGAAGACACTAACTGGTCTCAATTACCCAAGACCAAGCAAGGGGCAAAGTACTCAATTGGTGTAAACGCTATAACATAATTGTTGGAATTGCACGGGGACTGCTATACCTTCATAGGGATTCAAGATTGAGAATAATTCATAGGGACCTGAAAGCCAGTAACATACTCCTAGATGGTGAAATGAATCCTAAAATCTCCGACTTTGGCCTGGCTCGAACATTTGGTGGTGATCAGTTTCAGGACAGCACAAGGAGAGTCATGGGCACATAGTAAGAACATCTTTCTAATGATTTTCATAAATTCTTATAGCTAAACCATTTTTACTTGCATTAGCTGTTGCTTCCAATTTACTAATATTCACTTGGTGGCTTGCAGTGGCTATATGGCTCCTGAGTATGCTGTTGATGGATTCTATTCAGCAAAATCCGACACTTTTAGCTTTGGTGTCCTGGTTTTAGAGATCGTGAGCGGCGAAAAGAACAGAGGCTTTTGCCATCCTGACCATGACCTGAATCTCTTAGGACACGTGAGTCCAAAAACCATGTTAATTTCTTGATAGACCATCTGCTGATTACCTGTCTAGCAACATGTCACGTAGAATCCTCTAACTTAGCTGAGAATGATCTTAAATTTTAGGCTTGGAAACTATGGAATGAAGGAAATCCTTTGCATCTTGTCGATCCTTGGATGCAGGGATCAGCTTCCACATCTGAAGTGTTGAGGTGTATTCATGTGGGCCTTTTGTGTGTTCAGCAACACCCAGAAGACAGACCGACGATGTCAACTGCTCTATCGCTGTTGGATAGTGAATGCCCAACTCTAGATCCACCTAAACAACCTGGTTATTATGTTGAAAGGACAGTTACGAACCCGCATTCTTCATCATCCGAGGAAAAGCCTCCTGTTTCTGCATGTGTGACAGTAACATTGTTGCACGGTAGATAACATTCTGTCCACGTCATGTAAATAGGTCTTGCACATATCTTGTAACACTAGTTTATCGTAACTGGGATGTTTTGTTGCTTAGATGATGTCAGATCCAGGGTGAACTTTTGACTACAAGGTTATCATTCACATAGAGGGAGCACTTTTATTTCTTTTCTAAATGGCAGTCAAATCTGCAAGCTGATACTAATTTTGTTAAGGCCTGACGTAAAAAGGGTTTATTCTTTCTCAGTCATCCCAATTCTCTTAGTTTAAAATTGTTCTTCTAGCGAAAGAAATTGAAATTTTCTCTTGAACATGTTTTTCTTTCTCAATCAGATTGTGATTCAAGTTTCGGATATTCTATCATTTTGTGTTGACAGAAGGTCGATTATATTATGAAAGCCTAGAAATGGTGTTTTATCTAACGACGATATACTGGCTGCTGCTGGATGTCTAATTGCGGACTGTGTACTGAGGCATGGACAATGTTTAATATCCCGCTATTGAATCTCACATGTTCATTTCAGGCTTGGAAACTCTGGAGCGAAGGGAATGCTAAACTACTAGGTAATAGATGAACATATGGGAAATCGGTTCTACACTTTAGAGGTGGAAAGGTGCATACAAATAGGCCTGTTGTGCGTACGGCGACGCCCGAAGACAGACCAACCATGTCCAACGTCCTGTCCATGTTAGATGGAATCAACACTACTGTGCTCCGGCAACCTAACCAACCAGCATTTTTCAATGTAATGATGAGTATAGACGATTCGAAACTACTAACCGCCACACTAATCTCCGCTGTTACCTTCATCTAAGGCCGCTAGCAAAAAAAAAAAAAAAAAATCGTTCAAATAAAAGGTGTAGACACTGTATATAGAACTCTTGTATGTGAAATTCTATAAACAAGTAACGATTGTCTTTTCTCCATCATCATATGTCATTGCACACGAAAAATAGAAAAATGTAAACCTATGATCTATATGGTATGAACAATGAACAAGTCATTTGTGTCGCGTGGACCTATTGATGGTAGGAAGCTGAATTTGCAGCGTTGTATATTGTTGGACCAGCATATTGAAAGAGCAATAAAAATGAATACGACTCCATTGAAATCACAGATCAACGCCCACGCCCTGTACTGTCGGGCTAAACTTGAATGCTTAAGCTTTATAGTACTAACTAAAGAACAAAGACCACAAGCTTCCCAAAAGCAAATATTAGAAAGAAAATAAAATTATATCAATATAAAAATAAGAATTGTGTATGTTGATTGCGAAAATGTGATCTTGATCCAGTCCAAGATATTTCTCTTCTTTCTTTGTTGTCATTTCATTATTAATTGGATTGATTTGGACTTTATATAAAAAAAGAAAAACTAACCTTGCACGGGTGTCCTGCCTTTATTAACGCCAACTATTCCAACACTGTTGCATCCATATTTCTTTCACCAAGACGAACCCATGAGATGATTACAATTTACAAATCACCTTCTTAATTCGAAATATTTTCAAACTGTTAATATGTAGTTCTCGTCTTCTCTTTAAGGAGTATTTTTAAGTTACAAACTCATTATTTTAGAGTATTTTAAGTTACAAATTCATTATTTTGGGACGACTAGAATATATATATGAATAAATATAGCTGCCAACAATCTATTCCAAGGTGCGGAGTGCCAACCAATTGTGAAAACATCAATTTTCTGTAAAACGTGCAAATCCATTAAGGAATTAGAAATCGCCAAATCGCTGTAATTCTACAGACGAAATGATTTTTAATATCTTTTTAATAATTTCAATCAAACACATTATTTAATTTTGAGGCCCTACTTGGTAGTTGTTCTACCATAAATGGCCGACTACTCCAATATATTATTAGCAGGTGTTCCAAAGCAAGTCAAGATTCATTGATCTTCAACTTCCATAATCATGCAACAGAGAAGCAATTACTTCTATATTACTACTTTCCTGTTCACATGTTTACTCCAATGTTGTACTTCAACTGACACCATCACCCAAAACCAATCATTCAAAGATGGAGATTTATTAGTCTCCAGTAATAAATCCTTTGCCTTTGGTTTCTTCAGCCCTGGAGCTTCCCTGAATCGTTATGTTGGTATCTGGTATAACAGAGTTTCAGAGCAAACTGTGGTCTGGGTTGCAAACAGGAATAACCCCATCAATGGCAGCCATGGAGTCCTGTCCATTGAAACTCCCGGAAATCTTGTTCTTCGTGATCAGAGCAATAAGAACAAGCTGATTTGGTCTACAAATGTTTCGATTTCGGGCTCCTCTGCAGCCAATTCTTCTTTCATTCAGCTCATGGATACTGGGAATTTGGTATTATTTGGAGGTGAAGGAAACAGGGGAATCATTTCATGGCAGAGCTTTGATTATCCAACTAATACTTTACTTCCTCACATGAAACAAGGGGTGAATCGGACTTCCGGTTTGCTCTGGAGCCTGACATCTTGGAAGTCGAAAGATGATCCGGGAACCGGCGATTTTCAGTTCAAGATGGTTCTTAATGGTTCACCACAGTTCTTTCTGTACAAGAATTCCGAAAGGCTATGGCGATCAGGGCCATGGAATGGAATACAGTTGAGTGGAGTACCTGATATGACTACAAGATTCATCTTCAGTGTTGATTATGTGGAGAACAATAATGAAGTTAGCCTTTCCTATGCTATTCATAATCCCTCAATCTTTTCCAGGATGGTCCTAAACGAATCAGGGACAATGGATAGGCTAACATGGCAAGAAGGTCAGAAAAGCTGGGTTCAATTCTGGACGGTCCCGAAAGATCAATGCGATTATTACAGCCATTGTGGTGCTTTTGGAGACTGCAATCCGTATAAATTGGGTGAATTTGAGTGTGAATGCCTTCCTGGATATGAGCCTAAAGTGAAAAGCGAATGGTACTTAAGGGATGGCATCAATGGTTGCACAAGAAAGCCTGGAGAACCATTGTGTGGAAATAGTACAAGGAATGATGTCGGCTTCATAAAATTGACATCTGTTAAGGTTCCAGATACTACGAATGCGGTTGTAAATCGGGTTCTGGGATTGAAAGAATGTGCTGATTTTTGCTCGAAGAATTGTTCATGCACGGCTTATACGAGTGCTAATGTTAGCAACGGTGGAAGCGGCTGCGTCACTTGGCACGGTGAATTGATTGATACGAGGCAGTTCTCAAATCAGGGTCAGGATGTTTATATCAAAGTTACAGCTTCTGAATTAGGTAAGCTGTCATTCTTGATGGAATTATGCGTATTAAGCCTTTACAAGAAACCTTTTTAGAAATTAATTCTTGCTCTCTTAGTCAAAGACTTAGTTGTAGAAAAATAAGTTTTGATGGTTTGCTGGCTTGAGAAAATCTTATACTGATGAATCATAAAATCAGTAGATAGTGACTGCTGATGGAAAAGGAAGAGAGTTGAATGTATAGTTAGTCAAGAAGGAAACTGGAAACAGAAAAAAGTGAAGTGATAAAATCAGAATCTATCAGTCAACTGCTTTGAAACTTTCTTTACTTGATACAGTTCTTCAGACTTCAGTGATGTTTATATTTAATCCATGGAATTTGGAACTTTATATATGATGATCACGTCGGGTTGTTGACGGCCTTTTAATCGCATCGCATTCTGTTTCTTTTCAGCTGAATATGTGAAGAATGTAAAGGGCTCACGCCACAAAAAGTGGATAATCATCCTTGTAGCATCCATAGCACTGATCGTTGTGCTGATTTTTGTGATTTTCATTGTACTCAGAAAACGGAAAGGTAAACAAAGCTCACTACTTTTTGTATATGATTTCCCATACGACAAACAAGAAGAAACTTCCTTTATTGTTGGAAAAACATCCCCAGGTAGAAGACATTACATACAGGAGCTGCTTAGCTTTAACCTTAGTCCACCTTCGGTATCATCCTATGGAGGCTCATCATTAAAGAGAAAGCAGATGGATGAAAATCGAGATTTAACCATATATGATCTCAAAACGATAAGTTGTGCCACTGATTCCTTTGCTCTTGCTAACAAACTCGGAGAAGGAGGTTTCGGTTCAGTATATAAGGTAATGTATTCTGTTTCATAACTTTCTAATCAGAAAAATAAATACGTGATGGTTCTTGGAATATAACTCAGGGCCGCCTGAGTAATGGTTGCGAAATCGCTGTGAAGAGATTGTCTAAAAGTTCAGGACAAGGGATAGAAGAATTCAAGAATGAAGTTACTCTGATTGCAAGACTTCAGCACAAAAATCTTGTTAAGCTTTTGGGATGTTGCATCCAGGAAGGGGAGAAAATGTTAGTGTATGAATACTTGCCTAACAAAGGACTTGATAATTACATATTTGGTATGTTTCCTGTGACCAATTATTGCAGGCTTTTCGTTTTCTCCCCACGATGAAGACAACAAGTTTATGTAGAAACACTGACATCCCTTTTAATCTCAATTGTGCAGATAAAGAAAAAGGAGAGTTGTTGGATTGGAGAAAACGGTTTGAGATAAGCTTAGGCATTGCTCGAGGGATCGTATATTTGCACCGTGATTCACGGTTAAAAATCATTCATAGAGATCTGAAATCGAGCAATGTCTTGTTGGATGCAAATATGCAGCCAAAAATTTCAGATTTTGGGATGGCCAGAATCTTTGGTGCAGATCAGATGGAGGCGAAAACACTCAGAGTGGTCGGAACTTAGTAAGTCAATCAAACCTGAGACAATCTATAAAATGGAAAAGAAGACTAGACTGATCTGTTCATTGTTTTGGTCTTTATATTTCAGTGGCTATATGTCACCAGAATATGCAATGCAAGGGCTGTTTTCAGAAAAGTCGGATGTTTTCAGCTATGGAGTCTTATTGATGGAGATTATTAGCGGGAAGAGAAACAGCAGTTATTTCAATGACGACGCAGTGAATTTGATTGGATACGTAAGTTCACTTCTGTTGTGATCCAAATCTTTTGTTAAGCTACTTTGCATTACAACATCAAGTAGTAACTACTAAATTTCCCCAGTTCAAAACATCTGAAAGCATTCTGAGCTTTGCTGATTGAATCTACTATCATTGATTACATAGGTCTGGGAGCTGTGGAAAGAAGGGAAGGCCTTAAATATAGTTGATTCAGCAATACTGGGGGAGTCGTATAATCCGGATGAAGCTGGGAGATGCATTTTGATCGGACTTTTATGCGTTCAAGAACATGCAATGGATCGGCCAACCATGTCTGAAGTGCTTTCCATGCTAAGCAATGAAACATCAGTTTCGTCCATCTCTCCTAAAGAACCTGCTTTTGTTATTAAAAAGTCTAGTTATCAAAGTGATAAAACTCATACATATTCATCGTCTGCTAGTTTAGGAGCTTCTGTGGATGATGTAACAATTACCGTTGTTCGAGCTCGCTGAACAATGCTTTATGTACCAAACTATTAAGTGTTGATATATACCTTGCTTAGGAAGAAGATTAGATACAGCAAGTAGCATATGGCATGTAAATGTTTACCAAGCTCGCTGAATAAAGCTTTTCTTTGGTATGTACATGGTGTCCAAGTCGTTACTTTGACTAATTCAGATTCGATCCTAGTAGGTTTCTTTCAGGACACAAAACTCTTCCAATAAATATTTTAATCACTATTATTTGATCCCAAATTAAATTATGTTGGTTATATTCCGGGGCCACTGTAATTTTGTATTCCGATCATGTGGTCTAGCTTCAACATTCTGTTCTCGTAGTCATCATTAAGTATGACGATGAATTTATATATTGTTTTTTTTTTGTTATAGTAAAAGTATATTTTAGTCGTACATATTGAAAATCGTCTAACTATTGATAATTAGACAGTGGAAGCTGAGTGAAAATTATACATTTAAAGTTATTTTTTTAAGCTAAACATGTAAACTCATGTGTAGAGGATCCATTAATAAGTAATAGAGTAATGATTGTTGCGAAAAATTTGGAAGAAAAATATACATGGGATGATTTATAATTGTCCATAATTCAATCTTACCTTTACGGTTTATCCATTTAAATGTTAGGAGATCATTAAAATTCAATTACATCATTCCTTGTTAAAATTTTCGGTAAATTTCTTTGCACGTATTACTATTCTAATTTATAAGAGAGAAAAAAAAGATAACGATTTGTGTAGGAAAATTTCATAAGAAATTGTAACAAGGAATGAATCATAAATGTCCATACTTGTACCTTTTTTTTAGAAGTTTATTCATTTAAGAATTAGAAAATATTTAAGATTTAGCCACTTCATGTTTTTTTAATTTTTTTTAATCAAATTTTCCTTGTATTTACCATTCAAATTAAAAAGTAGAAATCACTAGTAAGCAAGTGAAATGAAAACTCACCGGACGAACGTGTAGACAATTATTACAGGTAAAAGGTTAACTATGAGAGACAGTGAATTTTTACATTTTTTCTTTTACAATCAGAAAAACAATTAAAAGACAATTACATTGGGATGATGAGACTACGAAGTTGTCGGCTAAGAGCCCATGATTCCTTTATGAAGGGGCCGCCAGGGTTCCGACTCCCATTGGGCTTCACAAAAGCCCAGAAAAGAAAAGCTTTGTGTTCTTCGTCCTGGAAATGGAGAATTTTTAATGTTTCAGAGCTCAAACCCTTTATGGCTGCGTATATTTCAATTCCTAAAGCCTTCTCCCGCCCTGGGCTTCTTCTGCCTTCTCTGTAGTCTGAAGGTGGAGCTTATGGGCTGGAGCAGCCTCTGTTGGCTTTCCTGCTCGCTGGAGGGTTAGCCGAAGTTCCGGCCTACTTATATGGCGCCGGTGAACATCATCAAAGGGCTAACAGAGTTTTTTCATGCACTGTCATGATCGAAACCTCGTTGGGCATGTAAGTTCTTACATTTTTTAATTTTATCCAAGCACATTTGTTCAGTGTCAAAAGTGTATTTTTCTTGGTCAAAATTTCGATGTTTGTTTATTATGTAGTCTTCTTGTCATTCTTAAAACTTGATTGGGACTTTCGAACTCAGAACTGCTTCATTGTATATCCGACCACCAATGCTAACGTTAGCATTTGAAAAAGCTGTGCATGAATCCACTTTTTAAGGAATCAATGCATTGATTGTGGGATTGCATGTATGAAAAATAGAACTCTTTTATGACTATGTGTTACCGTGTTTGTGTGTATGAACCGTGTCAGCTTGATGCCCTGAAGCCCCCTTTTGATTTTCTGTCATACTTGCCATGTACCAGTCATTTTATATCTTTCTCTTTAGTTAGTTGTTCCTAATGTCTTGTTCTTCAAAAATCAGGAATTAAAACCAAAAAAAAAAAAAAAGAAAATTGAACTCATAGTATAGAGGTTGAAATCTTCAACCACCTGCATTCCATTGACTCAAAGATGCCATCTTCCACAACTCATACAGCCCAACATCAAATTCTTGTGTATCTATGATTAATTTTGGTTGTTCGACAGCTTGTGATTTATCCAATGAATGGAGCACTTCGGGTAGATTAACATTAACTAGCCTCGTTAATGTTCGATTTTGTAGAAGCATGAGACAGGAAAGAAAGTACTTATGTATCACTTTTCAATTCATTAGTTTCCTAAAACTTTGAGCTTCCAAAGACACCATCACATGGAACCAGTCATTTAAAGATGGAGATTTGTTAGTATCTAGCAATAATTCCTTTGCCTTTGGTTTCTTCAGCCCTGTAAATTCCCTGTATCGTTATGTTGGAATTTGGTACTATAAAGTTCCACAGCAGGCTGTGGTTTGGGTTGCAAACAGGGACAATTCCATCAATGGTAGCCATGGAGTTCTGTTTCTTGAAAATCCAGGAAATATTGTTCTTCGTGATCAGAGCAATAAAAAGCTGATATGGTCTACAAATGTTTCGGTTCCAGGTTCTTCTGTTCAGCTGATGGAAACTGGGAATTTGGTATTGTATCAAGGTACACAAAACGCAAGCATCATTTCATGGCAGAGCTTTGATTATCCAACAAATACCTTTCTTCCTTACATGAAAGAAGGGGTGAACCGAAGAACTGGTTTGCGATGGAGCCTAACATCTTGGAAGTCAGAAAGATGATCCGGCAACTGGTGATTATCTATTTGACATGGTTCTTGATGGTTCACCTCAATTTTTTCTGTACAAAAATTCTCTAGTGTTATGGCGCTCAGGGCCTTGGAATGGCATTGGATGGAGTGGATACCTGACATGAATACAAGCTTCATTCTTATTCCCGAATATGTTGAGAATGACGATGAGGTGAGTCTTACAAATGGTATTCGTGATCCCTCAATTTTTATAAGGTTAACATTACTTGAATCAGGGACATTGGGCAGGCTAATATGGGAAGAAGTTCGGCAGAGATGGACAAGTCTTGGGTCTGCCCTTTTGGACCAATGCGGCTATTACAGTCACTGTGGGTGATGAAGGATGGAATTGTACCGACGTCTCTGGTTGGTTACTCCGGTGGCCAAGGCGGTATCGAAACCCTGAAACCTGCAAAAGATGACCTCGGGGTCTTCCGAGGGTAGACACTCCGATACTTAAGTCAGTAAGAGTATTCGTAATTAGAGTATAAACCGGGTGCATAAAGCGTACCTTTAACCGCGAAGGGTTGATCCTTATTTATAGAGTTAGGTTATGGAACCCTTTCTTGGTAGAAAAGTAATTAAGAACCGGCCTAGGAGATTCCAAAGGCCGGTTGGACCTTTCACCGAACTTGAGCCGGCTTAGTCACGGGCCGTACTAATTTGGACTCGTCAAGTGCCCCTTATCAAGCCTATACTTCGAAGTCTGGAGATAGGGTATGCTTGATAACGTGAAGTATATAGTTTTCCCAAGTTCGGAAAAAACTGACTGGGATCGAGAATCTGCGATAGGTTAGCATCGAGGAGAGATTAAAGCAATAAAAGCACTAGCACGTACCTTTCTCGATGTGCATGTCACTTATAATAATTGACTTCGAAGTCTAAGGAAAATAAAGTCACTAGTCCAGACTTTTAATCAAGAAAGCATCATGTGATGATCTTCACAATCTGTACTAGAGAAATATCGAGGCGAGTGCCCCAATTCTTGAGAGGATTATAGAAGAAGTAGTGGAGATTCCCACCATTTCATATATAATGGTGTGTTGTCAATAATCCGGCAGAACAAGGGATCTGCTCGAAGACTAAAATGCGCACTTCTGATCGAGAGGCATTAACTCCAAATCTCGAGAATAATAACTGAGAGGTGATACCGAATAGCATCGTGAATAGAGGCAAGAGATATGCCTAAATGAGGTCGAACACATGAATCTCGAGGACTTCGAGAAGATAATCTCGAGAAGGAGATGTCTGGCAATACTATGTTGAGAACCAAGAGAGAAGATATAATAGACTGTGATTATTGACATTTGTTGTCGAAAACATAAGTTCAAGAAGAAATATAAGATGGAGCTGCATGCCGAGAACTTGGCCCAATATAATCTGTTGTCGAGAAGGAGACGTAGCGGAGATTCCCACTAGCCTCAAAAATATACGCCATTAGCAGCAGCTATGTATATCTACTGTCGAGATGAGGAGTCGACTAGAGAACTGTGACATATGCTTCTGAGCAAGAGGTAATAGACCCCAACCTTCGAGAATAACCACAGAGTAGTGGATCGAGAAGCATCATGAATGAAGACAGAATACGCCATTGATACTCGATGTCGGGGACATAAGTATGAAATTGAGCATTGTCTGAGGCTGAACTACACGTTGAGAATTTGCCCCAGCATAATCATAAGCATCCTCGATTGTCGAGGAGAGATAGAAGGCAGCATAGAACACCGTAGAAGATAACACATGTGATCACGTTAACGCAAGGATGGTGAGACTCGAGAAGATTCTCTCGAGTAGAATTCCAGACAAAACTCAAGAACTGCAACCATCTGACTTTGAAGAAGGTATGCAAGTATTTAAGCTAATTAATATCTGCCCAACCGACCCGCTTGCCATTTCTCATGTCCCGAGAAATAAAGCATAAAACCCTTAGTCCGGGTTTGAGAATTATGAACCAGGTTGACGTGTCGAACCCGAGTAGATGCATAATTGCACGAGATTCGAGCAAGAATCGAGGAGGTTTTACTTATTAGTGTGAGAAGGGACGATGCCCCAGTCTGAGCATTAAGTGTGGACTGTCGAGAATAGTCATAGGAAGAGATCCGTAGACCAATAATCATCGAAAAAACAAAAACACAACCTCCCAAATACCTCCGAAACACCTTAACACCTTCCAGACACCTTATACACCTTACAAACGCCTTACAATCTCCCATATATAAACACTCCTCGTTATAGATAACCCCGGAGCCATTATTCATCTCGGAGCCCCCAAGTCTTGGGGTGGCATTTGGCAGACCAAGACTTTAGATGAGAGTGTAATTCCCGCCGACAGTTCGAGAAGGTGCCTGATCAAGCAGCCCCCATACTCGTAGGGTTAAGGCCATAAAATGGCGTTGTCTAGCAGAAGGAGATGGATGGTAACCACCTTACAGAAAGAATAGGCCTGTATTAACGAGGCTTAAAGTGAATTCAAGAACATCGAGAATAAAGTCATTTTCATCCTGATGTATTGGATGATATGATATATCGATCCAAGAAAGTATACTCGAGAACAAGTCTAGTTCTCATTGAGGTATAAAACACGTATGTTTAGGTTTGAGGGATAGTCCACCCCTTGTTCATGGGCATGGCAATCTAGGCCTTTCTCAATACCAAATGTCGAGTACACGGCTTATGAGTTATTTGTAAAGCGCTTATAATAGCCGGATGTCAAGTACACGGCTCTTTTGAAGGCGATCCTAAAGGGGATACCTTTGTATAGACGATTCTGAAGAGAATGTCTTTTCAAGGACGATCCTGAAGAGAATAAATGTGAGGAAACCAGATACGGGCTCCTCGAGTTTACACTGTTAGTCATAACAGTTAAGGGTAGCATGACCCAATGAATGTCCGGATGTTGAATACACAGCACTTTCAAGGACGGTCCTGAAGAGGATGTCCGTTCAAATGACTAGTCGTGTTGAAGTGGGTGTAACTGGATATATGTGATACGCCAGCTCCCATGAGTACTCGAGTGGGCTACCACTATATGCATTAGACCGATGGTTTATATCCCGGGTTTGAAGCATAAACGCCCTAAGGTCAGAGCAAACTTGGTGTTGCTACTATCCTCGAGGGATCAACTGCGAGAGTTACGTTTGCCCCAGAGTTCTCGGGGTATATTTATCCTATAACTTTGTCCGAGACATGTATTGCAAGTATAGTAATAACATGTTTATGTAAAAAGTGTGAAATTCAACTAATAAGCACATGAAAACATTCAAGTGTAATATGTCGTTCTCCTTGATAAAGGATGCACACCCAAAGGCTCGTTCAAGCGTACCTTGGTTTAAAGGGAAGAATTCGTCCAAATCCTTTCATGATAATTGTCGAGGATGTAGTGTTCTGATGGTGATGCCTCTCGAGTGCAGGTGCCATGATAAACCAAGATGGTTTTCTAATCCTGACAAAACACGTACTCATGCACTTGTATATTTATTAATAAGTAATAAATTATCGAAGCACGAGAAATGACATGGAATGTAATATATTATTGAGGGACTCTACCCCCTTCAAAAGCAGCCATTTTGAGACATAAAAAGTAAGAAGTGGAAAGGTCTCACCACGATATGAGCAAGGCTATTGAAGCCATAGTCTGGTCAACTCACAACAGCTATGAAAAATGTTGCGGAGATCGTGCAATGCTTCTCCACGGATTTATACTTACTACGAACCCCTGAAAAGTCATAGCGAGTTGACATGGAACTGGACCATCAGATATGAAAGCCATTGTAGCTTTGAGGTAGCAACAGCAAGTTAGTTATTCGGTAGAGTAAACACAACGATCCATTGCAACTCAGGGCTCAAGGAAGAGGTACCATCCTGCACTATGACCTTTAGAGCATATTACCGACAGTTGTAAGTACGAGAGGGGTATCTACCCCCTTTCAAAAGAAAAGGAAATGGACATGACTTGCC